CAGTCTCAGCTCTCTGGTCGCCAACAAAACGACGACAAGAGCACGATGGATAAGTTGAAGGACAAGGTATCGATCCCTTGGCTTTGGTAGTTGGGCACACCATACACCTGTGTAGGCCAAGAGTGCGCTCGGAGCGGGGAACGACAAGGAGGTGGCGACGTCGACGTCGTACACTCAAGGCCAATCGAGTCGGGCAGGACAATCAAACCAAACGGGTCAACAAGTTCATTTGGGTCAGCAAGGGCAATCGAACAAATCTGGTAGCTCTGGACAAGTTGGCCAGTCGATGGAAAAGTCAAGTCAAGGTGAGCATCAAGAGAAGTGCAGACTTTGCGGGCAATCCATTCAACAAGGCCAATCCGGACAATCTAGCCACTCGGAGCAGTCGTGCCATCATGGAAAGTTGGGGCAATCCAGCCTCTCTGCTCCATCGACGCAACAAGGGCACTCTGTCAAACCGGGCCATCATGGGAAATTGGAAAATGTCGGCCCGTCCACCGAGTACAGACAAACTGGTGGACCAGCTTTCTGCAGTCATTGCGGACAGTCCATTCGACATGGCCAGTCCGGGCAAAAGGAACTCTTGGGCCAGTCAAGCCAACATGGAACAGCAGGGACGTCTGGAGTTTCCGTGCCAACAACGTGTCATTCAAGTCGTGTTGGCCACTCGGGCCAACCAAGCCACGCTGACCTCCAACACCCCTAAGGCTGGACTTGAGCGAAGTCCCTGCGATCGCAGGGAACTTAGTAGTTGGAATGGATCTGCTGCGTGAATTCATATGAGTTACATTGGATTTTGCCATGATCGTCGACGCGAAGGGCTATGTTCCTTTTGTCCTCTCAAGGCACACGACCTTGCACTGGAGAAAGGTCGACTCCGGAACTGTTTTTCAAGCGTGAAATCGCGAGATTCACTTGGCGAGGTCGCGCCAACCAGTCCTCGTTTTGGTGTTGTAACAAGACTGGCGATGCCTTGACGCAATTCGTTCATCACATCCAACGTAGCAAGCCCAGTTGGACCGATGGAGATCATGTGTCGCAAGTGTCGCTTCCGGTATGGACGTAATGTAGTCACACTGAGGTTGTCCCGTTGGAGGAAATTGTCCATCGAGGCTCGTCAGTTGGAGAAATATTGTTGGGACCGCGATGCTCGCATAAACGAAGTTGACGAAGCTCACGATGGTGAAGACAGGCGGCAGCACGAGCTCGACGAAGTCAGGAGGATCACATCAGCACGGCACTCCTGCGACGCAAAGGCACCCAGCACGGGATAAACCTACGCATATCCCGCATGAGGAGCATCAAGAGTTTCGCGAGTTGCGGTCGGGAAAGGACAAGATGGTGCATGCCCTGAGCAATGCCGATCGAGCTGTGCAATCCGCGAAGGACAAAGCGGCAGCGGCCCTGGACAAAGTTGCACGCCAATCGCACACTACCAAAGCACAAGCCGAACACGCCAAAGACGCTGTGCAAGACTCCATGGGAAAGGCACGCGGAATGGTAAGAGGGTGGAAATTGTCATGAGTTTCTGACAAGATTATAGCTGCGGAACTTTGGTAAAATCCCAGACGAAGTGGGGCACGAACTCGGCCAGCGCGGGGAGGCCAAAAAATGAAGAACAACTTGAAGGACCCGAGGCCAGCACGCTGTTTCGGGGGGCTCATTTGTGTGACATTGCATTTGCGTAATTGAAGCTGCTTGAGTGCCCGACGAGGCACGATAATCCAAACATGAGGAATAGGTTGCGTTTGCAAGTAGTTCTGCGCCACGGGAACTGGCACATCGACGGTTCAGCCTAGCGTAGTCGTGCAAATCCCCTTGTACTGACCAGCAACCTCTTCGCATCGCTGACCTACGGTGTTATGCATGGCCGTCATGCCTCACATCCCATGGTTTGAACCAACGAGAGCAATCTCGTCCCTCGACGCAATCGACATGAATGTCTTTCCTGTCCGGTCAAGCTGGGCAATCGAGCTACCCAGGACAAGCAGGTCCTCGGGATGCTAAAGCTATGCTTCGTGAAGACGCCACAAACTAGGACGTGCAACTGACCCAATGCAATCAAAACATCCCAAGTCCTCATTGCGGCGGTGACACGTGCTGGAAGGTGATGCTGCGGCAAATCACACACGTGATAGCAACCGCGGTGACAACTCAAACTTCTCGCAACTCGCATCCATATCGCAAGTTTGTGTTCGATGGGTGCTCATTTCTCACGAATATCAAATGGCTTCGAGTTGGTGCCTTCCCGATTTGGATTCGTATTCTATTCGCATTGGGGACGCATGCGTCGGCAACAGAGGAAGGCTCCCATACTCATGGCAAAGACGTGACGGACTTGGATCTCCACAAAGCGATGCATGCCCAGGACAAGGCGTCCTATGTCGTCGACAACAGCGAGGGAGCTTTGCGAAAGTCAGAGGTGCAGAGGCCTGGACAAGGTCTCGCACCCCTGCAGAAGAAAAAGCCCGGCACGTCGTTGTACAGGAGTAGTTGGGGAAAGCCCTTGGAGTGTGGTTAGGGGGCGGCGGGTATAATGCTGTGAATTGTAACAATCGTATGCTTGGGGACTTCGACAACGTTCAACGAAACGAAAGCAATTTGAACTCTGCCAGCGCAGATTAGCAGAGACCAAAAAGCAGAGCAACTTGTGAAGGGAGAAGGCGTAGCGCAGGTCTCGCGCGAAACGCAGTCCCATGAAAGGTCCTATGAAAGGCTGCTTTCATGCAAGGCGGTCCTTGAACAATCCAAACGAGATGGCGTGATTGCAGTTGAAAGTAGTTCTGCGCCGCGTGTGCTGGCGAAGCGCGTGTCGACTGGTGGGATTGTAATGTCGAGCATTGTGAATGCCAGAGTGTTTCTGTGTAGGCCAGTGACCGCTTCGCACGCCTGAAACAGTTTGGTTTTCACTGTCTCAGAGATTCGTATGGGGGCCTCGACAACCATCGGTGGCAGTGAATATCTTTTACCATGGCCAACATGACGCCCCTCCCATCCATGATCCAGGGAACCGGGTCATGCTGTGCACCCACGCCACACTGCGCACACATGTCCCACAAACCGTTGAGCTGAGCTCGCAGGTTTCCTTGTTGTCCTGTTGTCCAACGCGGAGCAGTCGTTGGCAGCTCCTCTCACGCTTTTGTTTACTTCATTTCGCAAGATGCCCTTGATAGCATTGCAACGATGTGCTCTCCGCCGCTTGGCGAATGCCGGGGTCTTCACACTGCCGCATACTCAGCATCCTGGGCGTTCGCTCGCCGCGCGCCATGACTTTTTGACATTTTCAACGTCGGGGATGCATAACGACGAGGCCAAGCACGCGAAGACGCCCCATGGTGACGACAAGACGATGATGGACAAAGTCAAGGAGACTGTCCACGCTGGCGTCGACAAGGTAAAGTGGGTTCGCCTGTTGAAAACTCTGTGTACTAACGTTGCCGCGATGTAGCTCAAGAGCGGGCTCGACACGATCGACGAGAAGCTTCATGTGGGCGTAGACAAGACGCAGGAGCAAATCGAGAAGGTAAAGGAGAAGACGCATGACCAGTATGAAAAGATGAAGGTCAAGACGCATGACCAGTTCGAGAAGGTGAGGACGGCATGGCGAGCTGCTCTAGTTCGGGTAAACTCTGATGTCATGCACAGCTCAAGCACGGACTCGAAAAGCAAGATGAGAAGGTGCGGACGATGACGTCCAAGTACTTCGATTCGGTCAAGACCAATGCGTCCGCCGTCCAAGACATGGTATCGTGTCGTTGGTAAGCGTGGCTCAGCTGACGATGTGTGAATAGCTCAAGGACTATGAAGAAAACACAAACGAAATGGGCGCTGACTACTATGAGCGCATTCGCGATTCGCTGGACAAGTGGAACGGAAGCTTGATGGACCTGGAGTCGAAAGCGAGCAACTTTAGTGGATCGTTTGGCAAGGATGTGTCGGACTACGTGAAGGAGCAGCGCCACCGCCACGCCGAATTAACGCGCAAAGCCAAGGCGCGCAAAAATAAGTAGAACACCGATCCAGGATACAAGAAGGACTGCTCTTATGAGGGCGATGTTGATATCATTGCAATGTGCGCAACTGGAACTTATTCAAAGGTGATGTTTGCGAAGTCAAACTGGGCGAGTTGGTGCTTCACATAACCTTGTTTGCATTTGTTTGACGGGGCTCGTGGACCATTGCTCTACGACCATCGACGTAATTGTACTCGAGCGGCTCAGGACGTCTCTTCAACCTTTAATTCATTCAAACTGGGATCGACCAAACGAGTTGTACAGCTTGTGGGTCCTGATACTTCCAGCTCTCTATATATCCCGATGTTGGGATCACTTTTGTAGCGACGGTGTGCTGCATTTCCGCTGCGGTCAAACTTGCAGCACTTCCGTGCTGTGGTCCGAAGCACCAGGAAATATTTTCAAATGTCCATTGACACTTTCACACTTTTCAACTGTCCTCGCACAATTTTCAACTGTCTTTGGTCAAGGCACCGTTAGAAAAAGAATTGTCCAACAGACACGGGCAGTTGAAGCGCGCGGTGCTTTCGCTTCTCGCGCGCATTTTGCTATCGAAGGAGCTGCCGCAACACGCAATGACGCACCACGAACGCGACGAGAAGTCGACGACGGACAAACTGAAGGACACGATCCATGCTGGCGTTCAAAGCACATCGGATCAGCTGCAAAAGGCAAACAACTGAAGGCGTGCTACTGTGCTAAAACGTTGTATTGTGGTAGTTCACGAGCGGATTCGAAAGTCGAGACCCAAAGACGTCGTCCAAGGCGACGCAGTTCGTCGAGGCTGTCAAGGGGCGCCATTCCCCCGCAGAGCAAGACGAGGTGGCGAATGTTGCCCAGCTCACGTCGAGTCAAATGTCGCTTGTGTAGATGGAAGTGCTTGGCAACGACGAAGGCATCTCAACCACCCACGGGAATAACAACACAAGAGGAACGGCAAACCAGTGCCATCAAGACGGCTGCAAAGTGGCAGCCGACTGTGCATGTCCTACGACACCCGGCGGAGTCCATATGCAACAAGGGAGCCAGCACACGCAACGCTAGAGTAAACTGCTGAACGAATTCTCTAGACGGGTCTTGGCTTCAATATCGTGTTGTCCAGCGCGTCGGCCGGCTTGGTTTCGTGCCCCCAGGAATGTGCACACTATATATCCATCTCCCGGTCGGCTTCCTACCTAGCTCAGCGTGCTGCTGTCGCATTCAGTTCGAACGGCGCGCCGATACTTGGCATGGTACATGTACGTCGCATTAGCTCGAGCTGCATGCAACAGCTTTACTCGGCTACACCAAGAAAACAAAGCGCACGCCGCACGTCTGCTTCGACAAAGTCGCCAACGATCAACAGCAACGACGCGCGGGGTATCTCAAGGCTTGGTCCATCGTGACATCGTGTCTTGAATCGATGCACTCAATGGGTGGGCTGGGACATGTCCTTTGTCAAAGCTCGTGTGGTGTGCACTGTGTCGAGGGCCGACTCGGTGACGACGATGGGGCAAAACAAGTGCGAGTCGTCCGATTTGACGGCCGTCGAGTTGGTCGGCTTCCACAAGTACTCGTGCACGCAGACCTCTTTCAGATACGACTTGACTTCATTCACACGGCGCGTCCACGCATCGACGGCAACTGTCGCGGTCTGGTTGGTCTCGCTGCTGCCTTCGACCAGCTGAAGCAACGGCTCATGCTGGAGCTGCTTTGCCTCGGCGGTTTCTTCGTCCCAATTCTTGCTATGGAACACCATCAAGCCGAGGACGGCCGGGAGATACCACAACGAGCACAAAAACACCTTTTGCGCGTTTGCCGTCGACGGCGCTGCATAAAACTTGCGCGCCAGGTTGACCGCATACGCGTTGATCGCAAGACCTTCCAGCGCAAACATGTAACTCGTGGCCCCCGATGCCGCGGCCGCCACAGGAAGCGCTGTCAAGCCCAAGGCATACCGCATGATCACCCCAGAAGTGCGGACACCGGTCGGATCGGCGCACGGGATCATCTTGTACCCACCGCGTGCGTAGTCGTGGCGCAATCGCCAGCTGAGCGCAAAAAAGTGCGGCATTTGCCACATAAACAAGGCGGCACCGGTTAGCATGGCTTCTGGGGACAACAGCATGCCGTTCGCAGCCGTGACACCCATGACGGGTGGGATCGCGCCGACAAGTGCCCCGACCCATGTATTCCATTCGGACGTTTGCTTCATGGGAGTGTACACGAGCGAATACAGTCCGATGTTGAACAGACTCAACGACGCCGTCAAAGGGTTGCACGCGGCGGCGAGCAACGCGGTACTGGTGACGGCAGTCGCGGCGCCAAAGGCAACGGCATGATTCCTCGTAATCGCGCCACGTGGAAGCGGACGCGTCATCGTGCGTTTCATCATGGAGTCGGTCTTGATTTCCCAAGCTTGGTTGAACGTGTTGGCGCTTGCTGCGGCCAAGGTTGTGCCGACGGACAGCGCAGCAAACGCCGACCACGAAATGGGACCACCCATCATGAAAAACCCCGAGCCGGCAGTGAGCACCACCAACGCGCTCAATCGCGCCTTCGACAACTGACTGTAGATCGTGAGTCGTTCCTTTAGCGACAGTGGAACGGCCACTGATGCTGCCGACACGTGGCTGAGCGTGGACGAGATCTGCGCATCAGTTCGAGTCGAGAGGCGTAAGATGCGGAAGACTGGCGCATTATGTCGCCGCATTTGCGCTGTCAGCGCGTGGTTTCTTCGCAGCGCCAGCATGTTCGCAACGACTCGGGCTGATCGGCGCGGAAGGCTTGCAGCGCCCTCTTCAATTCAGCAGTCAGTGCAATCCCACCAGCCAGGCTGCGGCCACTCTATTCATTTTATTACTAGAAATCTGTATGAATGACGAATATAAAAATCGGAATCATCTCGATCGCTGATTCGTGGAATTCGACACGGATCCACCAATCAAACCGTGTCGTTTACACAAAGACATGGCAGGCAGCATGTCGTATTTTTGTGGCTTTCAAGTCCATGACGTGGCACGACGGCAGCACACCAAAGACGTGGCACGACGGCAGCACACCAAAGAATGGGATAATAAATAGAGGCTGCTACGACACGATGCACTTGTCTTTGCCTGACCTTTGCGGCGGTGGCTTTGCCCCTGGCTTGATCGGCGGCAGCGACGATCCCGGGATAGGATGGTGGTCGGAGTCAGCCACGTACACTTTGGCTGGGGAGCTCGTTTGGGCCGACAAATACCCTTTGGCCTTGTCGTGTTTCATCGACACGGTGCTGTTGCTATTGGCAGAGAGATTGTCGCCAGCAACATGTTGGGCGGCGGTGAACGAAAGGGTATCGGGGACAGTCTGGCCTGGGTTCAGGTTTGGGATGGGTTTTGGAGGGGTGCGCACGACGTTCGCCCCGACGGGCGTGTTGCTCATGGTGGGTGGAGGAGCTTCGACTGCATCAGAGGGTGCTAGCACGGGCTGCTTCGGCTCGTCCTTTCGCCCAGTGCCCTCCAAGACGTCCGAGTCATGTCGGTCTTCGTCGTCGAGCTTTTCTGCGTGAGATCGATGGGTCCCCGGTCGTTTCTTCGTTCGGTGCTTCTTGGACGACTTCGGGGTACTCGATGGAGCTGGGAGCGTTGACGTGTCGTCCGTTTGGATGCCGGTCGTGGCGCGAGGCACTGCCGCACCTGGCGTGTCTGTGTGGATGTAGCTGTCCTCGAGCTTTTCCTTGAGGTTTCGATTGGTTTTTTGCAACTTGGCAACGAGCTCTGTCATTTGATCACGTTCAGCCTGCGCCTTGGCCAACGCTGCACGGACAGCATCCAGTTCTGCATGCTGGGTTTCGACCTCGACCGAGTTTTCGACAAGCACCTTTTCCTGCATTTGCAACTTGGACTCGGCGATCGCCAACGCTTGGCGCAACGAATCGATCGAGTCGCCACCTTCCTTCTTTGGCTTGGTGGGTTTGTCGTCGAGGGACAGGACTTCGTGGGGCTGTGTCTTGAGCGAGCTGCTTGGGACGTTTCCAAACACGGAAAATTCCACAGGAGTCGACCGAAAGTATTCAAGCAAGTCGTTCGTAATGGGGCATTCGACGCACACGACAAAGTCCATGATCGGATCGACCGATGCCGTCGCTGCCACCTGTGACACGTGGTTTGATTCGTCTTGGAACCATCTACGTCGGGACGAGAAGTTGAGTGGACAGGAGATGCCCCGGAGCTGCTGGTCGTACTTGAATGCAACGAATACGTCACGACAGAGTTTGCCTGGAATCCCAGATAAGCCAGGCACGACGATGTGCACACGCAGCGAAGTGTCTGGGATTCTGTCAGCGAAACGTGGATGATGTGGTGAGAGAGCGACATTGTACCAACGTAATTGCCCAACGTGGGCACTTGAATGGGCTTTCCCGACGTCTCTTCGATGAGGCTCCGCTGGTCATCGTGCCACTACTCGATCCGTTCAGCATGTTAGGTGGTGACGACCTGCTTCAAAGGCTGTATACTTGATGGGAGAGCACGGTTGGCGTGAGCTCGCATGCCATGGTCCCGCAAACAGCCCCCCGCGAGTCCAAGATGGGCACGTTGTCCACAATCTACCCACTACTTCATTGCAAGTTCCTTTTTGATGGAGGAGTACCTTGAGACCGTATTCCAACGTCGAGAGGAAGACGTAGGCCCGTCCGATCAACTGTGGTGTCGGAGGCTCGTAAAATGGATCGATATTGCCTTCGGGAACGGCAATGGTTTCGTGGTTGCGGCCGTTTTCGAGAAAAAGCTGTCATGAACATCAGATACACTTGATGGGGAGGATCCACATGCCTGGTATAAGTCGCGCATTTCAAAAATTTGGTTGTCAAACTTTTCAACGTCCCATAGCACGGACCGGTACGTGCCGGCATCCTGGAACGTCACGAACACCTTGAGCTCCGTCCCGATCGCGTCCGTCATGTCAGTGTGGAGTCCCAATTGCGCCAACTTGGGCTTTGTCGGTAGTAGCTTGACAGAGAACGTCACGGGCTTGTGAAGTTCTTCGCAGATCGAGTTGGCTTCCTTCACGAGGGGGATCGTTCGCAAGAGCTCCTGGGCAAGTAATGATCGCTCCAGCTGCTCGCGCTCCTTTTTTTCAGCCAGCCGCTTGGTTTCTCGCATTTGTTTTTGCAAACTCTGTTCGAGGTCACGCTGCTTTTGCATCAGTTCCGACTGCTTGCGTTCGTACACAACTTCGGCCTTGGCCATTTCCTCGGCGAGCTTGGTCTCTTGCTCCGCGAGTTGCTCCGCGAGCTTCTTCTTGTCCACGTCGCCGCCCTCTTCCGTGCGCTGCAACTGGCTCTTCAGCTCGACTTCCTTCCGCTTCATTTCCTCCTGCATCAACTTGACATGGGCCTCCCACTCCTCGCGCTGCTTGTCCATCTTGACGTTCGCGCTTTCCTGGGCTTCCTTCATCCTGCATTCGCACATTTTGTTCAGAATGACATATCGCAATTGTCTGGGTTCGCTCACCGCGCCTCCATGTCTTTGATCCGACTCTCCATCTCCGCTACCTCCTTGTCCGTCTGGCTCACGTCGTCCTTGAAGTCCATTTGCTTGCAGTTCATTTCTTTCATGGCAAACTGCCAGTCGTACGTGGCGTCGGCGCCAGTGTTTTCTTCCGTTCGTTGGGCTGGTATCACCACCTAGGATGAGAGCAACAGTCAATTGTGTTGGAAATACGGCAGTCGCGCACCCGCAATACGTTCACATTGCCCAGAATTAATCGATCGTTGTGTTGGAGCACGCGAGTCTCTCCACTCGGGACAAAGTCACCGTTCACGACAACGCTTGCCCCAGGCATCGCCGTGATTTTGAGGTCTGTGTCCACCTCATGCCGCTCAACCATGCAGTGCTCCTTCAGAATCCCGAGTCCGCCCAATATGATGGTCTGCGGCTGGTCGGCGTCGCTTCGCCCGACTCGATTTTGCCCTGCAGTGCGTAGGCATACCAGATACTTGCTTTCATGGCGGACCATCGAACGTACCGATTTGAAAAAAGTAAAAGAGCTTTTCGCTCATTTGTTGGTCTTCGTTCAAGTTGAGCAAGTGCGGCTCCGTCTTGGCCTTAGCTCGAATGTCGTGGAGATTCGTCGACAGCCCAATTGCCTTGAGCTGCTCCTCGCGCTTCTTTGCCAGCTCCTCGGTTTCTTTCAACCTGTCCGTCCAGGATTTCTACGCCAAAGTGAGCCGCGTTCTCCAACCCGACACGAGACAGAAACCTCGCTCTCTCGTAGCAGTCGCTGATTTTCCTCAAGCTGTTCACGTATTGCAGCCATTTCAGCCTCTTTTTGCCGCCGCTCTTCGGCCTCCTCCCGGGAAAGCATCCGTGTTTCCGGGCGATTCGCCAGCGCTGGGTCGTCTCGTGTGGCTACATGTCAATCACGTTTCAACATGGGAAATACACGACAACGTACTCATGCGGGAACTGGGGCGTGCCCCTGGGTCCATGCCGCCGCTCTCGATCATCGCTCGACGAAGCTGCTCAAGTTCTTCTTTCAACTGCCAAATATCAGTCGTCGTGGCTCTCGAGGCGACGAAGGACATGGGCGCGTACTTGACGAATGAGCATTTGATTCGGATCCTCGTTCACGATCGCTTGGTTCTTGATTTGTTTCGCGCGATCGGCATATCGTAGCGTCCCGAGGGTCTCCTGTACGGTCCAAGGAGCGTCAGCTCGACACCCGTGGCAACATACCTGAAAGTTGACGCTAGCGGGGCTCAATGCGGCAATCATGATCGTTTTGGCATTCCCGCCCAGTGAATCTTTGAGGAGATGCGTCTATAGGACGGTCAGGCCACGCAAGCATGCCATTGCATCGGACCAGCTTGGAATTTCGATATGGCACTAGCGTCTTTTTCTTGCCGTTGGCGTTGTCCGCCAAAGCAGATATGCAGTTTCCCAGGGCTGACAGGGACTACGCCTCTTGTTAGCACGAACATTTGAGCCTAGCTCAGATTGTTGGCACCTGGTTGATTGCTGCCCCTTCCTTGAGCCTCGCGCCAGTCGCCCCCGTGCTTGCAGCGCGCTCGCTGCCCGCCAAGTCGATGAGGTTGATGCGGCTCACCTTCCCATCACGAGATCGTCATGGACTTGTGCGAAGCAGCGAGGTACCTTGTCCATCATTTTGTTGGACGAGGGGTCCAGTTGCGACTGTGTCAGGATGATTTGGAAGATCGTGTGGGCCCGCGAACTCGTCGCGTTCATGTTTGTCGACGCCGTCGTGCGGGCCATGATCCCAGCTTCCATGAGCTAGAGTGTGCTGTCAAAGACAGCTCACCGACGGACGATCCTTGGATGCGACGTACGGCTGTGATTTCGTCGTACGTTGACACGGCGCTGCGCGTGAGGCCGTCGGCGTACGGACCCTGGCTCGGATGGTCACGCACTTTGAGGTTGTCCGACGACGGGTTGAACAGATCTGGGCTCGTCGTGACGTCAAGACGGCGTGCTGTTTCGCCAGGTCAGCGCACCTTTCACTTTTTCGTTGTAAATCTCCATCATGCTCGCTTCGACCTGCGAGACGTTCAAGTGGGTGGCCGAGATGGGGGACACTTGCCTTGAAGATCGTGCCGTCCGCTGCCGCGCCGTGGATACGCTGGAAGATCACCTCGGACGCTCGAGGAATGATCCCTTTGTCGGTGCCGTACCCGACCATGGAGAACGACTTGCCCGCGCCTGGATGTGCATCGATACTTGTGCCACGACGGACCGATAGCTCACCTGTCTGGCCATATGCAAACAAACTCACGTTGAATCCGGTCCACGCATGTTCCAAGACCTGATGCGACGAGCGTCAGGAGGATGGATGGACGAGACGGAACGAACTTTGATGCCGAGATCGTCCCACACGGTGTCCTGTGACGCGTGCTTGGGGTCTCCAGGGGGCGAGAACGAGTCGTAGCTGCGTGTCAGGTCACTTTCAAGTCCAATGAGTCGTGTATTTGTACCTAAAATCGAATGTGAACGACTTGTCCATGGATGTCTCGGGGTCTGTGATAATGGTTTGCTGGGTTTCTTTGACCATTCCTACGGAGATGGTCGGTCTCTCACATCTTCGAATTGGCACGTACGTATGCAGCACACGCTGTTCATCGACTTCTCGCGCTCGTTGAACGGCCGGACGCGCACCGCGACTTGTACGTTGTCACCCATGTCACAATGGACGACGTCGTCGGCGGCGCGATGGACTGCGGCGGTGGGCTAATTTGGATTTTGTAACGCGCCACGAGTAACTCCCTCACGTGATACACAGTTACGCCATCGCCACCACCAGCTTGGAACCGTCCTGGCGTCCCCAAGCATCGCGCCACGACCTCCGCAGGTTTCTCTTGTCTTCGCCAACTCGTACGCGTCTTGGTCATGTGTCAATGGATTCCACGCGAAAAGTCTCGACAGATGGTGGAGAGGCGCCCCGGTGTCCGCCCTGACAAGTATGCATTGTCACCCCCTTCGTAAAAGGTTGCTCAAGGTTGGCCATAAAATGGTTAAAAAGGCACGAGTTTTTAAGAAAACGAGCCAATTGGTGAATTTTTTCGACTCCATTGAACGGATTTTGCCGACGTACTTGGGCGCCTCGGGGCACCACGCTCCAAACCGGACGTCCCACTTCCGGATATGTATATCCGGATAAACACTGTCATCTGAAGTTTGTATGTGACACCACACGTTGACTTCGGGGTGCGACACACAATTCTCGCAGAGGACGACATCAACAAGCCATGCACCCGTGGGCGTCCATGCTGAAAGCCGCGGCAGATCACGCCGATGGCGATATCCTTGCTTCGCAAATTCCCTTGAACAAGGTACGGGGGAACGGGCAACTCGCAGTACCTGCAGACTTGAAGGTCCGAGCCAACGCCAAGCGACGACGACAGCGAGTCGATGCCACTGCCCCTGCGCCAACAGCTCGGCGTCCCCGAGCGAAGGCGGCTCCAGTACAAGTGCTCCCCAATATGGACGACGCCGTTCTTTCGTTGTTGGCCTTGCGACAATCGCCGTACGTGCAAACTGATGACTCAGCGATTGCACCACCATCCGAGAATCCGACACAACAACAGCGTTTTCTATCACCCCTTGCGTCTCAAATCAAGCAGGCAAATCACTCGATGTCGTTCATCTTGAATGGCGGAGCGTCCCTTGAGGACAAGGGGGGAGTGGTTCGACTTCCCAAGTTGGCGTCCCAACACTCGGGTCGCACGAATGGGATCAGAACAGACGAGCGGACGCGGCGCATCCTTCAAGATCAAATGGACACGCTCCATCAACTGCGGTATGAATCCCATCCATCCACGTCGGCGCATCTCCACCCCAACGACGACATGGTGGACGATGACGACACTGGCGACAGCGACGACAGCTACGACGACGACGGTGCGGCATCCGCCAGCTCGCTCGATCCCCAGAACCGATCGACGGGGCTTGTCGACGCGAGCGGCGTGTTCCAGCGTCTGCTTCCTCCGACGATGGCGCAGCAAGACCAACTTCAACAATCAGCTCGGAAACCCTTCTCGACTAGCTGGGCTCAACGCAAGCACAACTTTGAGCTGCTTCAAGTCACTGCCCGCCTTGAAGATGCGCGACAGGACTACCTGGGGCATATCCACGCGGCGTTGGAGGAAGACATGCGTATGCAGCTCCATTATCAGCACCTCCATCCCCATATGGCACCTCCCACCGATGCCCAAACACTCGCCCAGCGCCGACTGCGGGCCCGTGAAGTGTCCATGATGTACCTGTTCCAGACCGAGTGCAAAAGCGCGTACGAAATCGGCGCGTTTTCGTTCAACCACACCACGACAAGCAACGTCTTCCATGACTCGTTCACGGACATTCGCGCGCTGCTCGCCGCGCTTGACGGTGCCCTGACATCGCGCAAGTGTTGGATCATTGGCATCGAACAGGACAATGGCGAGCACGGCGCCATCGACGACATGCTGACGTTCCACGTCGGATTTCATGTGCTTTTTCGCGACGACGAGCGGGGTCTCGAGGCACTCCTGCGACCAGAACTGCACTGGCTGATACCCCACGTCATGAGCCAGAAGGGACTCGTCAGTGTACAAGCTGCGCTGCAATGCCGCTACCACACGTTCGATGTCGAGAGCATGCACGTTCACGTCGACGTTGCTGGGCTCGTCCACAACCTCAACATCCAGGTGAACCCTGCCGATCCCGTCGATCGAACGCCATCCCGACGGCTACCTCCCCTACCATAATGGGATAGAACCACGTGCAGTATTTATAGTCCGGTCAACATGATCACCAAGAACTCTTCTCGCATCCGCTCCTTCCAACAGAGTCATGCGCTAGTGCAGACGTGCAGTTGAGGACTGACGAAGAACGGCCTTGACTCCCGCGCATGCGAACGTTTGTGGGTTAACGGCAAGAGAATAGGTGTGGAGACGACGCAGAACGTGTGGAAGGTGAAAGCTGCAAGAAATGCTGCAACGCCGCCCCACGCGCAAGAACACTCCCTTTGCAGTGCGAATTCACCGGCAGTTCCTCCCTGGGTCACCCACATTCGTGCCATGCGCATCCAGCCCCCGCCTCTCAATTGGCAGCACGCTCAGCACACACTCGACTTGGCGGGACTGTCCATCGTGCTGCTGTCGACACTTCATCTTGCGTGGAAGGTGGAGGGTGTGTTGACGATCATTACTTGTACACGTGTGATTGGTGGAGATTGAAACAATTGAAATAATTTCAGCCAATGCCATTGGACCAACCGTGCAGTCACCTGCGGTGAGGACGCTTTCCCTCTATAAATGCATATTGTTCCTTTGCAAATTGATACCACAATAATTTACACCCGGCAATTCCGAGACAGCAGCACGTGGCGACCGCAGCCGCCGCACACCGTCGACCTTCCCGTTGCCAAACTTCGTCTCGACTGCAGGTGCGTGTGTGCAGCCCTTCCGAATGAACCCGTGGAGGTGTATCGTATTCATTCGCTGGCGACTCATGCTTCCTCACTGTGTCCAGAGTAGCAGACCTGGGAGTTTGACGACAACTCGCACACACGCATGAACACTCAATTCAACCAACAACCGCCGGGTAGCCAAGGTGCACCGGGCTTCCGGCCGTTCAATCCTGCGCAAGGACAACAGCCTGGTCCGCCTGGATCGGGAGCGATTCCTCCCAACAACGGACCTGCCGGGAGTTTCAACCAGCAACCACAACAACCTGGTTTTCAACCTCCCGTCGGCGGAGGGTTCCAACAACCTCCTCGATCGTTTGGAGGCGGAGCGCCACCTGCACCAGGCCCACAGCAACCCGGTCCTGCACCTCAGCAATTTGGCGCTCCACGTGGACCTCCGACTTCGCAACCTGCACCTTTCGGCGGACAACCTCGCGGTCCACCTGGCCCTCCCGGTCCTCCTCATTCCGGTGGACCACAATTGAACCGTCAGCATAGTGGACCTCCCAGCGGCCCACAATATGGCGGTGCACCTCGGGGACCACCATCGCAACCTGGTGGTATTCCTCCTCAAGGAGGCCCTCCTGGTCAATTTGGCGCCCCCACTGGTCTCCCGCCAGCCCCTGGTCTTGCACAACAATTCGGCCGCATGTCCGTTGGCGGCCCTCCCACTGGCCCACCACAAGGACCTGGCCAGTTCCAGCAAGGCCCGCCGCCTCCCGGTGGTGGATTCCCGCCCCAGGCTCCCCCTCAGTTCCAGAAGGGCCCCCCACCCCCTGGCCAATTTCAACAAGGGCCACCTCACTTCCAACAAGGCCCCCCACCCCCTGGCCCAGGGTTCCCTCCGCAGGCCCCTCCTCACTTCCAGCAGGGAACTCCAGGGGCCGGGTACCCTCCACAACATGCCCACCAGCAAGGAGGTGTCCCGAGTGGCGACTTCAACCAGGCTGGCTTTGTCTCGAATGCACCAATGCCGCCGACTGGCCAGCTCTCGGAAGCAGTCTTGGCAGCCCAGTGCGACCCTCGCTACATGCGCCTGACGGTGAACGCGATCCCGCACTCGCAAGAGCACGCGACCAAGTCGGCGCTTCCGCTCGGCGTGATCATTCAGCCGTTGGCAAAGCCAGACAAGGGCAAGGAACTGGACGTCGTCAACTTTGGCGCGAGCGGCGTCGTTCGATGCAAAGCGTGCCGCACTTACATCAACCCGTTTGTACAGTGGGTCGACAACGGCCGGCGGTGGCGATGTAACTTGTGCGGTGTTTCCAACGACGGTACGCCTATTCGTCGTCGGTGGTGCTTGGAACGTACCCCCTGACACGTGACCGTAGTGTCGGGCAATTACTTTTGCCATCTCGGCCCCGACGGCCTTCGCCAGGACAAAGACGAGGTACTTGTGATATCCCGACACGGACGTGTGATCATTCGCATAGCGCCCGGAACTCCGCAGCGGCAGCGTTGAAATCGTGGCGTCGTCGGAGTACATGATGCGCCCGCCGACGCCCCCGGTCTACGTGTTTGTGATTGATGTGTCTGCCCAAGCCGTGGCCAGCGGCATGCTGGCAGTGGCCACCGACACCATCAAGCACGAGCTGGACAATTTGCCCGGTGCACCCCGCACTCGCGTGGGCTTTATCACGTTTGACAACGCTGTGCACTTTTACAACCTCAAGGTGCGCGTTGTCGACGTGCGTGGAAGTGTCATGATGGATGTGTAGGCGGGGCTCAACAGTCCGCAGATGATGGTCGTGCCGGACATCAACGAGTTGTTCATTCCCATTCCAGACGAATTGCTCGTCAACTTGAGGTACGCACGACTTGACATGCGACTCGCCATGGTCCGACCAGTTCGGGTGCTAGCGACTCGCGCGAACTGGTTGAAGCGCTGCTCGACATGCTCCCGCGTGCCCATCAAAACACACGCAACCCAGACACGTGTCTCGGCCCTGCGATCCGCGCCGCCTTTCGCTTGATGGTACGGATGGTGACGTGTCTTGGGGTTGATTTTCCATGCGCAGACGTCTGTGGGCGGCAAGATGCTCGTGTTTCAAAGCTCGCTCCCGACGGCGGGCCAGGGATCGCTCAAGCACCGCGAAGACTCTCGTGTGCTCGGATCGAACAAGGAGCACGATCTGCTCAACCCCGTGGATACGTTTTACCGGAAGAACGCGATCGAGTTTTGCCGCCAACAAGTCAGCGTCGACACGTTTTTGTTTTCCCCGCAATACACCGACTACGCGTCGCTCGGTACACTCGTTTCAATGTCGTCCATCTCTTATCAAGGTGGTAGGCGCCATGTCCAAGTACTCGGCTGGCCAAGTGTTTTACTACCCTGGGTTTACCGCCGCAAAAGATGGCGACAAGTTTCGTGCAGAGCTGGCGCACACTCTGACGCGCGAGACGGGGTGGGAAGCGGTCATGCGAGTGCGGTGCACCAAGGGCATGCGCCTTGTCAACTTTTACGGCAACTCGTTCTTGCGCGGGCCGGACCTCCTTGCCTTGCCCAACTGTCACGCCGACGCTGCGTTTGCCATCGAGATCGAGCACCAGGACGCCCTCCTGACCGCAAGCGTCATCAGCATCCAAGCCGCTTTGCTCTATACCACGTCATGCGGTGAACGTCGCATCCGCGTGCTCACGGTGGCGGTTCCTGTGACCAAGTGTATGACGAATCACACCATGGTGTGTACAAACACTGACGCTCTCCCGATGATTCGAGTAGTATTTGCTGAAGTGTTTCGCTCCGTCGATGTGGACGCCATCTGCAACATGATTGCGAAGAACGGTAACCCCCGATCGATGGTTTTCAACGTCATCGTTGCGTAGCGCTGGAAGTCGCTCTCAAGACTGGCCTCGAGCCGGCCCGCAACAAGATGCAGCAAGTGTGCGTCGACATTGCTCGAGCGTATCGCACGAGTGGCGCGTATGGCCAAAATAACCCGTCCAACTCGGGCTTTCAGCTGCAGTTGCCCGAGTCCTTGCAGCTACTGCCTCTGTACACGATGGCACTGATGAAGAGCCCTGCGTTTCGTGGCGGTACCGACATTGGATCGGACGAGCGGTCGCATGTCCAGTACTCACTGTACAACATGCCTGTGTCGCTGTCGCGCAGTTTCATCTACCCGCGGTTGTTTTCGTTGTTGGACTTGCCCCCTGATGCGGGCTTTCCATCGGACGACCCGCGCGCCGCGACGGCCGGCGCGGACAAGATTGTGTTGCCGCATGTGCTCAACCTGTCCGTCGAGCGCCTCAACACGGAGGGCGCGTTTTTGCTCGAAGACACGCTCAGCTTGTACCTTTGGATCGGGCGAGGGCTCAACTCTCGATTTGTGTCGAGTCTCTTTGGCGTCGACTCGATCGACGGCGTCGACTGCCGCGAGTTGTCCCTGGCGGCCCCAAAAGACGACATCGGGACCCGCGTGCACAACATCGTCAAGGCGCTTCGGGAGGATCGGACGGCGCACATGAAGCTGCACGTGATTCGGGAGGGCCATCCCGTGGAAGGCAAGTTTTTTTGGAAGCTGGTCGAAGACCGCGCGAGTTTTGCGGGAGGCCAGGCGTCGTACGCCGAGTACTTGGGTCAAATCAACCGCCTCAGCCACGGCGGCAAGTAAGGTAGCCCCCATGGTATCCTCAAATACTCGAATGCATTTTGAACCACCCGGTCAACTTGACGCATGCACACGACTGTATCATGATCGACTTGTTATCGTCGAGAATGCGCGAGCATCGTCGCGAGCTACGAGTCAAAACCGGCACGCACATAGACGTAAACAGACACGTCCTTTGCCGTCCACGACGCTTCGACTTTGGCCTCTCGCGGCGGGTGCTCAAACAACATGCACGCGCTCTGGCTGTGCTCGCATTGCCGTACGCTGTGGCGGTTGCACAGCTTCTTGGACACAATCACGCGGCGGAGCTGGCGCATCTGTCGGAGTTGCTCCATCACGGCCAGCATCAGGTCGTCCGTGAAGACGAGGTTGTTGATAAAGACGACGGTCGCGTCCAAGAGGTTGGCGTCGCTCGGCGGTCGCACGATGTCACCTTGAACGATCATAACCTCTTTGCTCCGGAGCACATTTGGACAGGTCTTGCGGAGCCGGCGGAGGGCGCGTCGGCCAGTGCGAACGCGGTTCGCAAACAACTCGATGCCTTTGGACACGCGGCACGTCGTCTCCAGCGCCACCTGGAGCACGGGCTTGGCAGTGCCACACCCCATGTCGTAGAATACGTCCGATTCGCGGAGCTGCAGGAGCGGGATGATCGTGGATGAGAACGCTTCCTCCTTCATCTCGCCGTACGTGGTCATGCGGAACAAATCTGCCTGCGACGATTGCCGCACCAGGTCCGACATGTTTGCACATGTCGCCATTTCGGTCCGCACGATATCGTCGGACAGTTTGTACAAGTTCTTGTCGTCCTCAATGACTTCTTCGTAGGCATGAGCTAGGTACTACGGAGGAACACCATGTGTGCGCTCAATGTCGTTCGGACAGGTGTAGACGGACTCGTACCTTGAGGGCCTCGGAATGCCCAAGCATGGGGGTGGCTGACTCGTCCGTGAGATCAACATACAAATCCCCCGCAAGGAGCACTTCCCGTTGGATTCGTCTTGCTACTACGTCGGCCTCGGTCTTGTCGCTATCGTCCACGAAGTCAGAGATGAAACCCGCATTGGTCGGAGCTTGCCGACTGAGCTGATCGATGTCGCTGCCGAGGTCGCTGTCTTGATAGTCGTCCGCAGCTTCATCTGAATCGTTGTCCAATGTCAAGTCGATGATGTTGAGCTCTTTCAAGTCTAATCGAGTGTCACATTGTGGTGCTGGACCAAGGGAGGTGTACCCAGAGGAATGGCGCGAGATGGCATGCCTCGTGTGAGTTCTTGGGAACGCATGCGCCCTGCATATCATGGAAATGGCTCAGAGACGTCGAGAAGCGACACTTACGTGGGCTGACATGAATCGAAGCCGACGCTGGCACATCCGACCGTTCTGGCGACTTGTACGACGAATCATCTGCGTCAATTGTTCAGGACATCTCAAACTATGTGGCGGCATGGCCGGTTTATGTACCTTCGGACGAGTCAGCCACAATCACAACAGGTGAAGGACGCCTGCTTTTCCTAGCGGCAGATGGCGGTTCTACCAGCCGACGCCTCTTCCCACTTCCACTGGTCCCTTGCAATGAGGTTGCAGGAGGTGGTGGAACAGTTGACTGACGCATCGCGCTGGCGTCGTGGATGACGCAGCAGTCTTCGCTTGATGCGAGCGAATCGAAGAAGAGCCGCCGTCGACTGGTTCCCATGAGGAATCACTGCAAACCCCCGCTGCAGCTGACGCGGGAAACCGGATAACAACATAATTATCCGTACTACACAACATTGGATTTGCAGATTTGGCGGTAGATTCGACGGGGCATGGCGCAGCCTGGGTCCACTTGCATGGGTCCACTCGCATGGGTTGAAACGCCAGTCCCGCGACTCTGTGAACGTGACGATACCTGTCATCACTGGACTCCCTTCACTTTACAAGTGCTCTGAAACAACAGCTCCCATGTTCAACGCTCAAACGGAGCAAAATGTACAACAATTCCATCCACGTAGCACAATCAACGCAATGGAGCTGCTTTCTTCGCCTGTCGAATCCACTTGGCCACGTGACTCAGCTCTTCCTTTCGCGCTCGCTTGACGCCGGGCGGGTCCAACGGATGTGAAAACATCAAGTCCAAGTGATGGGCACCACCCTCGACGTCGATCGCGACCACGGACGGGTTCAAATCTTCAAGTACGCCCATGCCCGACCAGGGATCGTAGTTTCCGTTGGAAAATACAATGTTACTCGATGCCCGAAGCGCCTTGCGGCCGCCGTAGACGGTCGTTGCCCATTCTGGACGGAGTTGAACGTGCCACTTGGCCAGGCACCGCGCCGCGTCGGCGGCTTGATCATGCACATCGACCCAAAACATGTCCCTGATGCCTTGGTCCTGTGGTTGGTACAGCTCCGAGCAGAACAAATAGTCCCACAAGTCTGCGTCGATCTGGCTTTCGTTGGAAGGCGCGGCCCGGGCGTAGCATGGCACGTCGTGCGTACTGTTGTAGTAAACGCCGACACTCGCTCGGAGGGCTTGGAGCAGCGAGAAGTTCCCGGCTTCGGTCCAGGGAAAGGTTGGCGCAAAAGGTTTACACGCCTCGCGGACTGGGAATGCTGGCAACTCGCTCGCGCCATTCATGATATACGACGACGGGTAGGGAAAGTTGCCCATGGCCAGGTAATCAAACGCAGCTTTCGCCCATTCCCGCACGGACAGGGCGTCATCCTTCCCGGAGAGTGGATTGCAAAGACCCAGGCCACGTTGCACGATCGCTCGTCCGTCCTCGGTGGCAGCGGCATCAATCAGGACATCCCACACACGGCGGACGTTTGATGCGCAGTTAGCGACACTTCCCGCCGCTGGACTTGCGTCGTACGTCACAATTTGGGAAAACGCTGTGAGGTTGGCAGGCGGGGATTCGCCCAAGAACGACAGGACCGGGGCAGATGCTGCAATCGCGCCGTCCACCACGTGGGGGTATTTGATGCGGAACCAGGATGCCAACATGCCGCCATAAGACCCACCGAAGGCGATCACGGGACTCGACGACGCTCCACTGCGAGTGGCCTTGATGTGTCCAAGCAACGTCGCGTAGTCTGCCAACGCTTGCTCGGAACTCAAGTGCTGGAGGCGGCTGGTGGCGTCCGATGGGACTGACTTGCCAAAGTACCGATGCTCGGCGAACACGAGAATTGCGCCAAACTCGCGGGCGTTTTCCCACATGAGACCCGTGTGGTTCAAATACAGCTCGACGTCGGCTTCGTTCCCTGCGTAGAAAAAGATGGGTCCGGACGAGTTTTGGTGCCAGAACTCGTCGCACACAAAGTATCGCTGTCGGTAAGTGTCTGGGATCGCTTCAAAGTGGTTCAACGTCTGGACAAAGTAGGATTCCGTACAACGCACACGCAAATCCCCCGAGAAATCTAGCGGAGGGAGCTTGGACATCATTGTGGAGGACGAACCGGCGCCATCAGTCGTCGTAGATGGCACTGCCATCGTCCGCGCGACGTACAGGACTGAGCCGATGCAAAGCGCCGACAAAAGGCCAATCGCGATGGCTGCTTTGTCCGAAGAGGACATGCGCAGTACCTTCTTGGAGCGGGGACGGCCCGTGAGCAGCGGCGTGGAGGAATCGTGGTGCATGCTGTAGTTCCAGGTTTCGATCGGTGCACAAGTCAGTTTCTCTCAACCCTACGAGACACTTTGTTTTATCCAATGGAAATCCACCAATTCAATGCAAACGCTTCGGATTGGTCGAAATGACTTGATTTTCATAAATACATCACGTCCATCAAAGATCTTCCTCTGTCTTTTGGAGCACGAACTGCAGCCGCGCGGGCTTGACAAGTGACTTGAGCAGCGTCGTCACCACGGTCAAGTCGAGCGCGGTCGTGTCCATCTCGTTAACTGCGACCAGAATGTCGCCCATCTGGAGGTCGCGGAGGTTTGGGGCTTCTCCTTTCCCCGTGATGCGACTCACCACGACACTCTTCCCGCTCTGCTTGAGCGTCATTCCCAGCGGACCTGACGCCCACACGATTTCAATCATCGGCAGGCCACATGCCGAGACGTTAGATGGCGGGGCTGCATACAATCGACTTGTCAACAGGCCGGAATCGTCCAAATCCGAGTTCGTGGACGTCGAGGTATGGGATAGAGGTAGTGGCGGGTCTTTCGACGGCGGCGTTGACGACGATGGTGACGATTGAAGGGTGACGAGCGGTGTGACAACGTCATCATGTTCTGGAGCGTCCGACTGTGCGGCCTTTGCGTCTACAGTTGGAGGTACAATTGCAGGTTCGTCCCCCTGTTTGGATGCTTGAAGTTCTTCGTCGGTGTTGGAGACAGACGACGACGTCTGGACTAGACTGTCCCTGAGGCGTGGCTCGACTTCTGGATCGCTGACCCGTCGATGGAACACGAGCGTCGCAGGTTTCGGGACAGCTTTGAGGAATTCCATCGTGCCTCGGAGCCCAAGCTCTTGAACCTTGACGTTTGACACAGACACGAGGCGATCGCCGAGCGAAATCAGGTTGCATCGGGCTGCGAGACCATCGCCGTTGAGCCGCGCGACGACCATGGTGTGGTGAACTTTGTCTTTCTTGAGAGTCAGGCCAAGGGGACCGTCTTCCCACACCAGCGAGTAGTCTGACTCGCGGCTGCATGCGGTTGGCGCCAATGAAGGAGACGGCGGCAACACAGGCTGTACCTTCCGCCGAAACTCGAGTTGTACGGGCTTTTTCGCATCCCGCAACAGTACGATGGATGCTTTGTACCCCAGGTCAGCGGTGCTATGACCTTGGATTGCAATGAGCTGGTCATGTGCTTGGATTTGGGAGAGCGAAGGCGGGGCCAAGGACGCTGGCACCGTGCGTTCTTTTACCACGGGGATATTGCCCATCTTGATGATGCTAACGCCCAATTTGAGGCCTTCGAGCCACTCGATCGTGTACGTAATGTGATGGAGATTCTCGGGATCGTCCACGTCTCTGCTCACGATCGACTCGTTCATGTCGGTGGACACAAGTGACGGTGCGCCGCTTCGGCGGACCCTGCCAGGAGTTGTCTGAGTGATAGCGTTCTCGGACGAGGTGTAGAAACTACTTCTGTCGTCTAGCGAAAGTGATTGCGCGGCAGGGGCGACCGGAGATCGCGGCGACGGACCGAACGTTAAAACGACGGGGTGGTCCAGAGTTCGTAAACGATCCATGCACGCGTCAAAGTTGATATTGGGCTCGCCGTTAGTGGCGAGTAGAACATCGCCGACATGGGCTTGCTGGAGTACTTGCGGTGGTGCATCCGATTCGATGCGCCGAATCACGGCAAGGTTCTTTGAGTTGCAACGGAACGCAATGCCCAAGGTTGACGAGTTCCACACGATGTCATAGTCAGGGCGTGGAGGGTGCGGATGTTGGAAGGGAGGCGTCTCCAATGGTCGCGACAGGAAGCCATACGCTTGAAGCGAGTGGCGACTGCGCGGAACGACCGACGACGATACCAGGGAAGAAGGGGTGCCTTGCACACTCTTGCGCCGCTGAACAGGCCTGGAAGCATGATTGGGTCGAGGAATTGAGCCAGAGCTCTCCTTGTCCATGAGCGCCGCGCGCTGTTGCACCTTGGACCAGTCAAGCAGCGACATCACAACGAATCCGATATGGGACGGTGGTTCTCGTTGGCATCCATCGGCAGTCCATGACAAAGTCAAGTCTTTTTATGAAAGGTCAAAACTTACTTGATATTTGTATTGAACTGGAATATTACTATTTCGGGGCTATCGCATAGAATTTAGGCCGTTCGAAGTCTTCGACTTGGCAAGACGTTCGCGCTGTAGAAACCCGTCGCGCGCGTCTTTCGAACGGCCGATTTCTCTGGCTAGCATGCATGTGGAAATCGCCTTACGACCACCTGGCAAAGGACTTGTCTCGACCTCACCACGCATCCATAAAACAGGACCTCGTCGCCCTTGGTTGCGCCTATCCGTGTGGACAACGAGACAAGGTCGTTGGCTTGGGTGTTTGTTGGGGCTCTCGTCGTGTCATTCGACGGGGCTCAAACCGCCATCGTGTCCAGTCCAAAAAACACTCCTGAAGCACTCAAGAAGAAAGCTGAGGAGAACCATACAAGCCAAACGGTGGGTGTATTGTACCATCTGCACGATGCTGCTGGAGACAGCTCTGTGATGTCCGCGCATTCATCGCCGCTCCATTCATCTCTACCCTTCTTCAAGAAGTTGGATGTTGAAGGCAGCACTAAAACCCCGAAAACCCCCACCGGATGCATTATCCGGATTAGCGCCTGTTAATCATCATTCTTTCCCATGGCGCCATTCGAGTCCACGGCTATGGCGGCATGGCTGCCGTTGGTAGTGTCGCTCGTGACATCGTGCGCCACCATGTACTACGTCCATCTGATGCAAGGCTCGATCACTCGTAGCGAGACAGATCCAAAGAGCGAACCTGTACCTACAGCGACGGAACAATCGTCCGAGCGACGGCAGCGTCGTCGCGTCAATGTCAACTGTTTGGCGCTGGCTGATGTGCCAACTGTGCTGCGCCCGTCGTTTTACTTTCGACACCTCCAGGATTTCAAGCACTACGACCTATTCCAGAACGCCACGAATGTGTTCAGTGTCCTCGACAGTCTCCATGGGTACGTCGAGCAGTGGCTCCAATCGAACGTTCCCGACATTGGGATCCAAGCAAAAACCTCCGTGAAAACATGCAAAGTCGGTGAAGTGACCTTGACGTGTCCCGACCCATCCGTTGCGAACGCGTGCACGATCCTCAACTACGACACGACAACGACGCGACGATTGTGCCTCGACGCGGGCGTCCGCATCCTAGGCGGTATCCTCGACGTCACGGACGGGTCCATCTTCCTCGGAAAGAATGTCGTCGTGGAGCCCAATGTGTGCATAAAAGGTGAGCAATCGATTCCGTCGTCGCTCTCATTCGACAATGCGTTGTTTGGATGGCAGGACCCGCAATCGTCGGGGACGGCACTGTGCTTCGTTTTGGTGCGTACCTTCGGGGCGACGTCATAATTGGGAAGCACTGCGTGATACGCAGCGAAGTCAAGCACAGCGTGATCATGGACCACGCAGAGCTGTGTCATCCTGGTCTGACGGCATTCATGGATCCACATCTCACGATGCTGTGGACGTAGGCTACTGTGGCGACAGTTTGTGTGGGTACAAGAGCCACTTTGCCAACCAGGTCTCGACCGCCAACCTCGCGCTGTTTGCGTCAACCAAATCTCTCTTTGTGACGGTGAACGACGTCGAGTACGACACCGGACGACGCAAGGTTGGCGTCGTGCTGGGGGACTTCAGCCAACTCGGATGCAACGTCGCGACCGACCCATGCACCCTCGTTGGGGTCCACACGTCTGTGTACCCTCTCACGCGCGTCAATAAAGGCGTGTACGGCCCCAATGAGATCGTTAAAAACAAACCCCTCGAGCATGGAGTCATTGAACGCGCCAAGGTGCGCGGCGCCGATGCCACAACCGAATGAACGTGTTAACCTGTCAACCCGGTCAACGTGACAACTATCTTGCGATTGTGGCCGTGTCCCCAGCCCCCGACGTCGCGGTGTTCGCACAAGTAAATGCCTAATGCGAATTTCGAGCTGTCTTTATTGAATGGAACGTACCTTGCCATGTTCCAAGGTTGAACCTGCCGTTCGTCAACGGCACTTGGATGGACGCACCGATGAGAGTCGACTTGACGTGCGCTGGCATGTCGTCTAGAGTATGGGGGGGTTGAGGTATGTGTGGAAGTTGAGATGGACGAGAATCAAGGACGTGCCATCGCCTTCCATCGTGTGGCAGAACAGATCGCTATCGACATACGCATGATCGTAAGACTTCACTACAATACACCGGACACAACGACCGCACGAACCGGTTCCAGCTCTCGGGGACGATCCGATTGATGGCGCCTTCCATGTCAGTTCTACGTGCTCACAGTGAACATCGATTCGCTGTCATGAATATGCTTACCGCACATCGGGATCGCAGTTTTCGTTGAGCGACAAAGATGCCGACGTGTGCTTGACGAAGAGCGTCGCCATGCCCACCGTAAAGCTACGTATTTCAGGTACCTAGCACAAGGCAATTATGCATGATACGAAGGGGACGATGGGATGGAAAGGGTGCACCGACCTGCTTGTACACTTCGTCCGTCACCACTGGACCAGGTCATGGTCAGTTTGCGGCATGAGTGATCGAATTACTCAACAGATTTCACGTACAATGAAAGCCGCGCGACGGTGCCGTGAGCACAATCTCCTATGTGCAGTCGCCATGTGAGTTGCTACGCCGCGGTGGGCAGGACAGGCTGCACCTTCTGGAACCACGCCGACGCCCCAGTCTTGATGCTCATGCTTGCTCTGTCGAACGGTTGGACATGGGCCGAGGTTGAACCGCCCAGGTGTACCCGCCCAAATGCACCCGCCCATTTCCCCCAGCCAACGGGACAATCTCGACAAACTTCAACTTGACCTTGGATCCCCCGAACGATGCACCAAGTCAGCGCCCGCGTGCTTGCGCGACAAGCCGCGCACTGGCATGCCCATGGAGCGAAGAGTGCGCCAATGTCTTTGCGTTTTTTCTCGAGCAAAAGTGACAACGACGACACCACCGCATCACATTCAGTCAGCGACCACAAAGAGACTGGCAACTCGCTCCCTCCCGACCGTACACCAAGCCTGACCGATTTGCCCGATCGTCAACTTCAGCAGCTCGTCACAAACGTGTACGCTGCCGTGGAGGAAGATCTCAAATCGTCGTGGAGTCGTGTGCTCGCCGTGCAAACTGTGACGGACAATCGCCTACGCCAGAACGCGTACGTCCTGGCCCAGTTGGGCACAGACATCAGCGTCGCCCCCACCGACACTGCCGAGGCTGAGAACTTACGTACGTCGCTATGATGCCATTCACAACTTGCGCACGCTCTCACAAGAATCGTGTAGTCGACGACGGCAGCAGCCGCATTGAAACAGACTTTCCAATCGTAGGGGGGCAAGCCAAGGCTCGGGTGTGCGTGAAGGCAGTGATTGACACGGACAATTGTATGCATTTCTCGCAGTTTCTTTGTACGTTTGCTCTTGTTGTGTGCAAGGCCACCGGTGGAGCGCTTCCTCTTGTAGATGTCAACGACGACACTGGCGAGTCTTACGACTTTATGTGCCCCATGGAACAACTCACGGGCATCCGCTTGGACTCAGACCTCAAGGAAATCAAAACCCCTCCCCCTAGTATATTTTAACGACGTTCCAGTCTCACATCAGAGGTGCCAACGTTGTTTTGTGGGTGGTGCCAGCATTCCAACCCCGAAACCCCGCTCTTGGCGATCATGACACGAAACCAGGACCGAATCAACGTCGGGTAAGACCGGTGCGTGGCGCAGGGCAGACGCCGCTGAAGCTCAGTGTCTTGCTCGAATTGTATTCACGATTCGAGCATGTTGTGTGAGCTCAAGGGGAGGCTTCCATCGCTCTGTGGAGCCTGACAACGTGATGCACCCTGAGGTGCACGACACTCGGGATATCCAACCTATTGCGGTGACTAGACACAGAACGTATGGGTTTCGTGTGAAGATCGATCGACTTGAAGGCATCGACCGAACGAGCGAGCGATAAAGGACCCCCGTGCTTGCTCAAAACGACTCCCGTGTCGACCATTTCTGTCACTGAGAAAGAGGTCGACACGGTCGTCGATACCGACATCAAGTAATCGCAGTGGATGTCGGCGCTAGCGCAGCCTCAAGCGAGCTACCCGCCGAATGAACTCTAGACTGTCAGCTGGGTATTCAGGCAATGTTCAGCAACGGCCATTTCATGGCATATAACAATATTTGAGAGGTCCACCATAGACACCTCGTTCACGTCATGTCGATGGGTACATGGCTATGTGCTTGTATTTCACGTGGTGGTGTCTACCACTTCCGTCAACGATGCCATTGTGGAAACCAACGGTCTGTTGCAAGTTGGAAGGTGTACTCCAAACCGAGAGGAAACGGAGGCACTCGCTGTGCTACCCAGAGCCCCTTGCCAACCCGTGATTTTGTCGCGAGGGTGTGTGATGTACAACAGTGATATGTAGTGTACAACTCAGTCCAGGACCTCTTTTCTACTCAACCGCGCGGGTTTGCCACACACTACCATCTACTGTCGGTTCTTCACGCTAGCACGAGTCCGTGCACAGCGGCCAGCAAGGCCATCTTCTTGACGCAGGGGTATTTGGAGCATTCGCGCCGTGGCTTATCACTTTTGGGAAAGAAAAGGGACGAGCCCAAGGAGGAATCAACTAGGCTGATCTTCACCGAGTTAACTTGCTGACGAAGTGACCAGGAAGGTGCATGGCCTTGCTCAACAGAATGACGGGTGCGGAATGAATGTGTTGTTGAATGATGGTTATGTCGGAATGTAGGTCACCGACTTTTCTGGTTGCGCGGCAGCATTCGAATTCCACACGCAAGCAAGGATGTTGGCAAGAATCGCGTCGCGCCGCTTTCCAGCACTGTCGTCGTTGACGAGAGCCCGAGTTGTCCTTCCCATATCCACTATGAACTTGTCCACCCCTCGTCATGGTAGCATGCAGCCCCAGCCATCAGTCATGCGCCACGTCCAGCCTCTTGTCATCGTCCCATGCCGTCGATCTTACTCGTCCAACCATTTTGACGACTGGCGCCGCAACACGAGTATGGCAGATAAAATCAAGACTGGTGCCATCGTAGTCGCGGGGGTCGGCGTCTTCGCTTTGGTTTCTTCCGGTACGTACGCCTTCCACACCTCAACTTGTTCATGACTTCTATGCAGCTGCATTTGGCATATTCATCACTGGCGCTCTCGGTCTCGGTGCGTACAGCCTGTATCAGTCGTTTCGCCATCGCGCCGCAATTCGAGCCATGCAACAACCATTTACATCGTCGGATTCTCCGTTTGGGTCTATCTTTCAACAGCTGGCTCAGCGCCGTCGCGGTGTGTCCAGTGGCATGCCGCTCGTCGCGCAAGGGTTGATGGCGAGTCTCGTTCGCATCTTCGGCGGATCGTTGAAGCAGTCATGGAGCCGCATTGCTTCCGTGCAGACACACGTGAAAGCCACGCTCGAGAAGCATCCTTCGATGCGATCTCAACTCGGGCCCAACTTTTCCGTGGCCAGTCCCGAACAAGTCTCTGAGCAAAGTACGTACACACACGATGATGCTGTGGCTCTTCTAAAAACCCGTGTGCTATGTAGCTGTGAATGGCGTTGGCCGCCTGGATGCCCGGTTTCCTATCGTCGGCGGCCGCCACCGCGCCTACGTTCTCGTCTCCGCCTCCATCGACGCAGACTCGAGTCAGCTCACATACCGCAAGCTCACGTTTGTGAATAAATCGACGGGCGAAACACGCGACCTGCTGCAGGACGGCGGCAAGGCGTCGGTTGTGCTAGATGCCGAGTTTAGGGAAATGTAACATGGTGCACGGAACCGATTGAATTTCGCTTTCAAACACCAGCAAGCCGTGTGTGAATTCTCTGCACCTTTGTCCCCGCCCATGTCGTTGCAGGTGGAATGCCTGGCGTAACAACCAGTGTGGTGTGCAGTCTTTGCTGCTGTCACTCTTGTGAAGGGTTGCTCCGTGGAGAGGGTGGTAGGAAATGTGCATCGTGGCAACACCGCCATGTGGACGTTTTGTTGAGAGGATCACATAAACACTAATGGAGCAGGGCAACGGCGGCGCCACGTTGCTGTTGGTGGACGGGAAACGACCCGAGGAAGCGGACGTCTTGGGTCGTCGACCGCAGCGCCGCCAACGCGTCGGCGACGTGGAGGTCGTCGCGATGACCGTCCAGTTCCATGTAAAACCCGTACTCGCCGGCGGTCACACCGCGCTGCAGCGATTCCAGACACGTCATGTTGACGCCATGGGTCTGCATGAGCCGGGAAGTCAGGGAATCGTGTCCTGTTCATCAAGATGTGTACCTTGAACACTTGGAGAGCCGACAGCAACGAACCGACCTCGTGCTTGACGTTGACGCAGAGACACGTCTTGTCTCGGCCCGTCGGCGGCTGGGCCGCCCGTCCGACGACGAGAAAGCGGACCGACAGCGCCGGCGGGTGCTTGGAAATCGTCGACAGATTCAATGGCGGGTCAAGAACGTGGAGGTCTGCGGCATTGGCGGCGTCGGCGGTCGTGATCGCGATCGCTCCGCGCAATCGTTGCGCGCTTCTCGCAGCTTCGTCGACGCTGGCAACCTGGACAACCTTGGCGCTGCTCCACATGCGATCCACGATTAAACCGAACCCTGCTTCCGCCGACGACGGCATGTACACAACGGTCACGTCGGCCGGCGCGACCGCGGCATACGACGTGGCGAGGACAAAAGGCCGTTCAAACACGGTCTCTGCAGTCACGACAAGGCCGCTCGCGATCAAGAGTAGTTGCGCGTCCTTACTGATCCCTGTCTGTGCATCTTCAAACGCGACAAGGCCACACGCTGTTTTGTGTGCAACCACACTGGCAAACACATCGTTGAGCGACGCGACGGGATAAAAGTTGCGCTTCGCGACCGACGCGCCAAAGTGCGCGACTGCCGCCGAGTGGGCAAAGCTGCCAACAGGACCGACGAACGCCACGGACGGATGATGGAGGCGCTGGAGCAAGTACGTCACTTGGACTTGTTTGGTCAGTGGCATGACAAAGTTCTATCGGCGTGCAAAGTGAGATTGGAGGTGTTAGGACGAGCAAGGCCGACGGTGTTCTTACACGGTAGAGATCGGCAATCACTTGCGGATCGACTTTGCAGTGTTCGAAGGAAGTCGCGTCGTGCGTCGTGGAGCCGTCAATGTCTTGGCCGTACGTCGACGCCTTGAACCGCACGCGCATCACGACTTTCTGCACGCATGCATCAACACGTCGTTGAAAGCGCAATGGCAAAAGAACGTACGTCTTCGACCGCCAAGTTGGTCAGTGCGTCCATGATGCCTTCGGCGTCGTTGTTGAGAATGAGCTTGGTGTATCGCTCCGTCTCAGCCTGCAAAGCAAATGGTTGTGGGCCTTGGATGGCAAGAGGCGTTGTAGCAGCATGTCGAGCTTACTTGAAATTTGGCTTCCGCGATGAACTTGCCAAAATGGATGCGCTTGCTCAATGCTTGGAGCACCGCAACATCGGCGTTGGCCGAGGAGCCGTACTAGGACGCGTGAGGGTCCGAGGGTGGATATATCGAGAATGCCTACCGTCGTGTGATCATCGATGTCCTGTGTAATATGAGGCAGGAGCTTCTCGAGGTATACACTCATGATTTGATCGTTGATGTTGATGGTGTTGGGCATGAGGACAGTTTGGTAGTCGAGAGGTGGCAGGATCGGGTCAGGCAGGAAGGACGGGAAAAATGCGTGCTCGTCCGGCGACGTGTACCGCCGGTTGAGCGCATGTAGTCGCTCGGTTTCACTCAGCATGAACTCAAGGAAGCTCCCTTCGAAGCTGTGATACTTGCCTTTGAAGCTCAGGAGGGACTCGGCCGCATCAGCCCGCTTGCGGTAGATTGCCGTGTTGCGCGGGAATTGCGCGCGCTCAATGAGGGCAAAGATGATCGTTTCTTCTTGTCGGATAAGCACATTGCGGTAGTCGTCGAGGAGGACCTTCTTCGGCGTCGCCATCGTGAGCCGCCGTGTGGCCAAACTGAAAATGTGGCTTCAAATTCGATGTGTTTGAAATTCAACGTTTGCGCAGTGCATCGGATGGATACTTTCAGTAGAATTTCGGGTTTTGGGCTAAAATCTGCAGACTGGTCCTGATATTTCGTGGTAGTTGGGTAATTTCGGCCAAAACGAAAGGTATACGCGTTCAAGGAGAATTCTCTTGGCAGAAGGTGGAGCCACCGTCGCAAGCCATGGTGGCATCCGCATGCATCCATTAAGGAACACCGGCGCCTCGGCATCGTCCAGCGTTGCTACGCACCATTCAATTGTTGAACTCGTACTTGGAGAAGGAATACGCCCACATCGGAAGCAACTACAATTGTACACTCAATCCTTCCTCTTCAGTGGCCCTCCTCTCCAAGTGCTGGTGCGAACTCCGCCCCATTGCGACGTTTCCATACATATCTATGGACACAAACGATGGCGTTGTCTGGTCTTGCGCAATGCACCTATTCTGTGACAAATTTTGACCAAATTTGATTTTATTGATATCATTTTACATATTGAATTGCGTTGTATTATATTCGTAATATTCAATATTTAGTACATTTACGATATGCCTAAGATAAGTACTTCTGCGGAACAAGCATCAAATGGGGTCGGACCAATGCAACCTAAATTGTAAAGGCGTTGTTTCCGAGACAATGACACGCCGACTCAATTGAGGCCGTCATCGAAGCTCCTTTCCTATTCAGGATGTCGACTGGCACCACTGGCGATTGGAATGTCCTGAATCGGCCAAATTCAAGGCCTGGGGAGGGATTTTCGTAAATACTCCTAGCTTATGCAAGTCGTCCCCTCCAATCGAATTCTCCGCGACTACTGATTGGTGGACCGTGATGGTGGAATGAAGGTGCCGACATGCCTAGGCATAATGCCATCTTTGCAACCGAGAACGCTTGGACGTGCGGTACCTTGGGCGACCTGGTGGACGCGCGCAACTTGGTACCCGCGCCACCACCAAAGCCATGCCATCCAAATCGTCCGCGAAGCGATCTGCAGTGAAATCTCGAATTGTCCCTGCAGGCGGCGGGACTGCGTCGTCCGAGATTTTAAACGTTATGGGCTCGAAAGATGCCATGTCCAGGGCACTGATGTCGTCCCAGATCGTGCAGATGAAAGACCCCAAGATTGTTCAGTTTCTCCACACACCGTCTCAACTTGCGGCGTGCCATGAACGCCTCCGCACCGCCGTTGTCGTCGGCCTGGACACGGTACGCGCATCATCCAATCTCGGGTTCTGATCGTGCGCAACCAGGAAACGAAACCCGAATTCAAAAAGACAGCGATTCCAAACCCGACATCGCTGCTTCAGGTGGCTGTCCGGGATGCCCATGGCGCGGAAGATGTGTTTCTCTTCGACCTGTTGGCGCTGACTCCGTCCCATTACAACGACATGCTCGCCGAATTGTTTCTGAATCCGTCCATCCTCAAATTGGGCCAAGGGCTTCTCAACGATCTCAAGGTCTGTCTGTGCCATCCCACGTCCACCACAGCCCACTCACCTTTCCACAGGAACTTGCCCATGCCTACCCCACGGCCACGTGCTTCACCAAGATGCACGGCGTTGTCGAAGTAAACGCTCTCTTCCGCGAAATTGAAGGCCCCACACAGCCCATGATGAGTTTGCAAAAGCTGGTGTACTACTCCCTCAAACGCAAGCTCGTAAAGACACACCAAAAGTCCAACTGGAATCGACGGCCGCTGGCGCCTGGTCAAATCACGTACGCCGCGCTGGATGCGCTCGTTCTCGTGTGGATATTTGACGACATGGTGGCTCGCATCTGCCAAAAACGACCAACCTTCAAAGCGGCGGTGATCGCCACGACGCTGGACGTGCATGTTGCCGACAACTACGTGTGCCCGACGTGCAAAGCTGTGTTCACGTCCGACCATGCCTTCTATAACCACAGCAGTAAGTGCGAGGGCCTAGTCAAGGGCAAGAAGGGGGGCGACAGACCCTTCAAATGCAGCACATGTCCGCGCGGATTTGCGTCTGCCAGCGCCAAGGCGCAACACGCCGCTCATTGTTCGGCCAAGGGTACACCCGTCCTTTCGGTCGTGGTGAACGAAGTGATTGCATGCTACTGCGGGCGAACAGTTGGTGGTCCCCAGATTCATCGAATGTGTGATGCGTACAAGACGTTTGCGTCGACGGTCGATGGCAACGCCCATGTGTGGACATGCTTGGATTGCCAAAAAGCGTTCGACGCCCCCGAGTTGCTGCTGTACCACCATGGTTTGTGCCGCCGGGATAATGGGAGCGCAAAGCACGTTCGTTTTGACAAGTCGGATAGCGACAGCAACGAACCCCCACTGAAGCGATCAAGGTATCGTCGCACTGCATCAGAGGACTTCACAGATTCCGCCGAAGAAGAAGAGTTGTGGAGTCAGGTCGGTCAGTGTGGATACGACATTGGCAGTAACGGAACCTAATGTACAACAATACGCTGGCCACGCCTACCGTCTTCCATGCACGCTTCCTCGCATCTCCCGCCAACAGCCTCTCGCTTCCCCGCACCATCTTCCGACTTTCCATCCTTTCGTGAATAAACCTCCAAGACATAATATATCGAATTCCAACTTAATTGAGGATACTTTTAAAAATACTCTTGCATCTTACATCCGACCGGGCAATTTTAATCCCAACGTTAAAGGAATGCAGATTTATATTGTGGGGCGAAAATTTAATTTGTGGATACAACCGAGGGCCATTTCTTTCGACCTGCCACCCCGAACACGATGATGCAAGCTCCGGTCATGGTCTTAAGTATGCCGGCATGTCACGGCGACTTCTCACGATGCATGTAGACACAAACACCCAGCGCGAGACTGGTCGCACTGCCCAGCTAGGCAACATCCAAGCTGCCAAGGTACGTGCAAGTAATCTTTTGCATCCACTCGCTTCGATCTCCAACATCCACATCGCAGGCTGTGTCTGAAATCGTGCGCACAACGTTGGGCCCCCGCAGCATGTTGAAGATGCTCTTGGACCCGATGGGGGGAATCGTCATGACGAGCGACGGGAACGCCATACTTCGTGAAGTTGACGTGTCTCATCCCGCCGCAAAGAGTATGATTGAGTTGAGCCGTGCACAAGACGAAGAAGTGGGCGACGGGACCACGTCGGTCATTATTTTGTGTACGTGTCATACCCGTGGGCGCCTTGTGCTTCATTTGTATTCACGAGTGATGCAGCTGGTGAGATGCTCGTGGTTGCGGAGCCATTCTTGTCGCGGCAGGTGCACCCCACCGTCATCATTCGCGGGTATCATCAAGCTCTCCAAGTGTGCTTGGAAACCGCAGAACGCATGGCGAAGAAGATCGATATCCACGACAAACCATCGATGCGCAATTTGATCATGTCGAGCGTCGGCACGAAATACTCGCCGCGCGTCGGGAACATTGTGAGCGACTTGGCGTTGGAAGCCGTGCTCACCGTCATGCGCACCAACTCAGTGACGGGAAAGAAGGAAGTCGACGTGAAGCGATACGCCAAGGTCGAGAAAATCCCAGGCGGCGAGCTCGAAGAGTCGCGCGTGTTGTCGGGCGTCATGTTCAACAAGGATGTACGAATGAAATCTGTCATCCCACCGTCTCATGCCGTCGATCTACTAGGTGACCCATTCGAAGATGCGCCGACGCATCGTAAACCCCCGCGTACTCCTTCTCGATTGCCCGCTCGAGTACAAGAAGGGCGAGTCCCAGACGAACGTCGAGCTCACGAACGAGCAGGACTGGAACACCCTCCTGCGCCTCGAAGAAGAATACATTGAGAACCTGTGCGCTCAAATCGTCGCGATGAAGCCTGATATTGTGATCACGGAGAAGGGTGTATCGGACCTGGCCCAGCACTACTTTGTCAAGGCCAACATCACATGCTTCCGCCGCCTGCGCAAGACCGACAACAACCGTGTCGCGCGGGCGACCGGCGCCACCGTCGTCAGCCGCGCCGACGAGATCCAAGACTCGGACATCGGCACCAAGTGCGGCCTCTTTGAAGTCCGCAAGATCGCCGACGAGTACTTTGCGTTCTTTGAAGAGTGCCAAGACCCCGGCGCATGTACCATTCTCCTCCGCGGCGGGTCCAAGGATGTACTCAACGAAATCGAACGCAACCTCCAAGATGCCCTCCAAGTCGCGCGCAACGTGGTGTTTGAGCCACTGTTGCTGCCCGGCGGCGGCGCGACCGAGATGCGACTGGCGCATGAACTCCGCCAGCGAGCACACGAAGTCGTCGGCGTCGAGCAATGGCCGTTCAAGGCCGTCGCAGATGCCCTCGAAGTGATCCCGCGCACGCTCCTGCAAAACTGCGGCGCAGATGTAGTCCGTGTCATGACCGCGCTCCGTGCCAAGGTGGCCGCGTCCAACGGCGGGTGGGCCGTCGATGGTGTCAAGGGTATTGTCGTGTCGTCGGAAGATCTGGCGGTCTGGGAACCGTTCCAAGTCAAGACCCAAACAATCAAGACGGCCGTCGAAGCGGCGTGCATGTTGCTCCGCATCGACGACATTGTGTCAGGGTTGAAAAAGAAGAACTAATAGGAGGACCGCTGTATACAACAAAACGCAAATTTAGGACAACCAGTCTCCCAGTCATCCAAACCAACGAAACAATGGGACCCCTGCATCCGACTGCATGCGCCACATCCAACGTGTTTGCAGGGGGGGCGTCGTCGTGCGAGAGATTGTTGATGTTTGGATGTGGTGGCGACGGCGTCGTTTCTTCCAACGTTCGCTTCCATTGACTCGACTGCACCGAAGCCATGAGATCGAGTCGGATCGACAGCGTCCGAACGGCGACGACGCAACTGTTGATGGCGCCGTTTGGAGCCGACAGTCGCATGGACAACGACTCATGCAAGTGGACGCTCGCGATGGTTTGTTCGATGGATGCAGTGGCGAGAATGGAGCGATGGACTGAAACACAACGGATCGAAAGCGGTGGAAATGGGATAAAATTCGTTTAGTCGGCAGAAGCATCGGCCTTTTTGAGGTCGCCAGGGGACTTTCGCAGCGCCTTGACGCGACGCACTTGCATGCTGTAAATATCTTGCTTGTCCAGATGGATGCGACCAATCTTGTCGCCCGTGAGTTCGTCGCGCGAGACGTTCTTGACCTTCTTCGGGGCCAATCTACCAAACAGCATCAGTCGCCACCATTCCCACAACCACGATCATGCCGAACGCACTCTTTCGGCTTCTTGCATGCAACTTTCATCATGTCGGCCGATCCAAACTTGTGTCGGCGGAAGGACAGGTCGAAGCGAGGTCCCATCTCGTCCAATTCCACACGAGGGTGCTACATCCATGGCCGTCAACGGTCGCGCACGAGGGATAGAGCGACGCGACGTACTGTGTCGGTGGTCAGCTGGAACGCAATCGAGTAGTGTCGGAAGAGCACGCGGTTGTTCGCGGCCGAGCACACTATGACGTGGTCGAGACCCTTTAAGTTAATGGCCGTCACAATGGTGCCGCGGAAAATATCAACGAGAACATTCTTGAGCTTCTGGTACGGCTCAGACTGCTCCCACTCGGCGCCGGCAAACAAAAAGCACGGCTTGGACCCTGGCGCCATCTTGCTCTTGCACTTGAATTCGTCGATACTTTTGAAGTTGTCAAAGCCCATTTCCAACATGTCCATGATGTGTCCGTCAAACGTGCGACCGAAAATGATGTTGTTCGGGCGTTTCTTCGTGCTACTGCCGAGCACAAACAGGCTCGTGTCGTTCTTGTGCGTGAGAAACTCGATGCTGTTGGGATCATCGAACGGATGGAGCTCATTCTTCTTGGACAGAACCTTGGCATCGGGAGCTTTGATCATCTTGAGGTCGCGAAGGAGTTGGTTGACCGACTCGTTCGTCTTGTTGCCGCGCAATACGAGCAGCTGCTTGGTGTTTTCGACCAGCTTCGCTTCCTTGTTCTTCACAGCACGCGCCACGCTCGCCTTTTGGCGCTTGGCTTTAATGACAGGGCGCTCTTTCTTGTTGCCCTTCGCAGGAACCGTCTTCTTCTTCGACGGCGGGCCAGCCGGCTTTTCCATGCGCTTCGTGATCTTGGCCATGGTGGAGAAGTTGCGATGATCTTGAACCGCTTTGGTTGGTGGCGGCCGGGTGGTTGTTATTGGCTGGCTCGCCATGTTTCCAATTGGCCAATCCCAGGCCTCAAGAGTCATCATTTAATCCAATCAAAATGGTATTTATATGATTTATAGCCAATCCGAGTTGGCAAAAAGGAAAGAGTATAAACCAATCAGCGAATGTCTCCAACACATCCGAATATTTATCCGAAAGCACTACGTAGTTGATTGCCCAACATCGATGCAGGCGCGGACGGCGGGAGTCTTTGCCGTCGGACTCATCGTCCGACTGGCATGCGTAATATGGGCAGAGTACCAAGACCGCACGATGCCTGTCAAGTACACTGATGTGGATTACGACGTCTACACTGATGCATCGCGGGAGATCGTGCAAGGCAACTCGCCCTTTGACCGCACAACGTATCGCTACACTCCCATCCTGTGCGCTAGACCGCATATGTCTTGTGTTTCAGTGAATGCAGACTCATGGTCGCATCGTAGGGCGTTCATGCTTCTTCCAAACGTACACGTGCATGAAGCATGGGGAAAACTGCTGTTTGTTGCAAGCGACATAGTTGTGGGGTACCTCCTGTACGCGATTCTGCGGTTGCGCGCCATGCCCGAGTCATGTGAGTCCATCGTGCACCTGTAATTGTGCATCTGATTTGACCTTAATGTTTGTAGCGGCGATTAACTATACGATGTGGTGGTTGTTCCATCCCTTCTCGATCAACATCTCGACTCGTGGGAATGCCGATACCGTTGTCGTGCTCATGTGCCTGCTGACCATTTATTTTCTGATGAGAAAGCACCTCGTTGTGGCTGCGATATTGTCAGCATTCTTCTCCATCATCATCGCTTCTTGTTCATGAGGATGTCGTAGCTATGGCTTGGCCGTACATTTCAAGATCTACCCCATTGTGTTCGCCTTGTCGTTCCTCGTCGTAAGATCCAATGCCAAAGGATGGCGACCGGCAATGATCAATTGGCTAGTTCCTCGACGAGGACTACGATGCCTCCATCCGGCCTCTGAAAACGACTGCCGGGGGTTTTGCCAAAGCTTGGCACTGGTTGAACCGTCGACGGTTGGCGTTTGGCGTCATCAGCGGCGGCGTCTTTCTCGGCCTCACAGCGGGATTCTACTTCATGTGGCGGCCGTTCTTGCATCGTGGACGCTCACATGATCCTGCGACGTAGGTATGGATACACGTTCCTGTTTGAAGCATATTTGTATCACTTGACGCGCACGGACAACCGGCACAACTTTTCCATGTACTTTTACGATCTCTACCTGCGGTACGTCGCCGATGCATCGCAATGCTGAAACATCTCATGTGCATGATGTAGCTACGGCACGAACATCGGCTTCGTCATGGGTCTGCTGGCATTCCTTCCCCAGTTTCTCACACTGTTCAACATTTCGCTGCGTTGCGGGAAGGACCTGATCTTCGCCCAGTTCCTGCTGACGATCACGTTTGTCGTATTTAACAAGGTGTGCACTGCCCAGGTCGGTTCGTCGCAATGCCATAACCCTCTTTCCTATCTGACTTGCGTGCAGTACTTTTTGTGGTACTCGGTGTACTTGCCGCTCGTGCTGCCCACGAGCGAGCTCAATGGGTGGCAAGGTCTAGGAATCATCGGCGCGTGGTTTGGCGGAGAGGTAGCGTACACGTACTCGCCTGTATCTAGCGCTTCCTCACACACGGTGTGCAGTTGCATTGGCTCTACTGGGCGTATGGACTCGAAATGCTAGGCCACAACACATTTTTCCCCGTACGTTGGTGCCTCATTCATCTCGCTCGTCTACGGGGTGTAATGACGAAGTGTAGATCTGGGTGGCGGGCCTTGTGTTCTTCGCAGTCAACATTGGCATCATGGCGCTCTTTATCTCGAAGCACCACCTCCATCCGTTGTTTTCCAACGGCAGCGTCGTCGCTTTGGCAAAAGATTAGTCCCAACAATGAACGTGGCTCGTCCTCGATAGAAAAAAATTGACTATCAAGACTCAACAAGGTTGTGCTCTATCACACGCTGTGCAATGCGCTCAGCCTCAAACAGCGCCGCGTCCAGCTGCTTCTCTCGCTTGGTCGGTTCCTTGAGGCCCTGCAACGAAATGACATGCCCATGCGTGAACCCGATGCTGCTAAAGACAGACCGAACGAGCGAGAACGTTGTGTCTTGCTCACGAATGTCCCCGCCAGCTGACGTGACAAGGACAAAGGTCCGGCCGCGGACGAATGGCTCTTGCGTGGCTTGTGAGTAAGTGAGTTCGGGCTGGACAACGCAATCCATATACTGCTTCAAGACGTACGGCACGCTACACACACAACCATTCGCATGAGAAAACTATCCTAGTCCAAGATGTCGTGCCTGTGGTTCCACACAGGTGTTGAAATGACAACGCAGTCGGCTTCGAGCAGTTCTTGAGCTAACTGCTGGACCGGAAGCATGCGCATTTGATCTTCAGGTGAGCCCAGGCCATGCAGCACGCGGTAGCAACTGTTCATGGTGCCCTTGCAAAACTTGGGAAGGTCTGGAGACCACAAGTCACGTTCTATCACGCGGAATGGCGTCAGTTGTTTCGTGCTGCTGTTGACGACGATGTTCTTCTTTTGTGTCCATGCCGCACGCAGGAACTGCTGGTGTACACACGCCATGAGAGCCATGGACACCACGGACGTTGCCGAGTCGTCTGATATACTGGCATTGAGGTGCAGCAACGAAATGCCTCGCCTTCCAGCGGCAAACGACACCGCCTTCCTTTCCAACGTCCGTCGCATCATCGTCGCGGCAAATCAACCCGAGCGAGCGAATTGTATTGTACGTCGTACACCGTACAATATAGTACAATAGCGCACATCGTATATCATATTCGAGAAACTTGGAAATATCGGAAATATTTTTTCACACTATTACTGGAAACTAGAATTAGTGTACGTTCCTTCCAGTCTACTGCCGTCATTTGTCGAGCACAAGTAGGATGTCATCGGATTTGTTTGCCGATTGGCACGAAGACCGCAAGGAGCGCGACGTGACCGCGTCCCGAGTACCTCCAGCACCAAGGGGGGAGTACCAGTCCCCTTACTTGAGCGCTTCTTCAAACAGCAATCCATATGCCACCGTCTCGTCGGACGACGACGAGCCGATCAAGCCGAAAGCAAGCGGTCCCCGCAACGTCGGCGGTCGAATTGGCAACCAAAAGCCCATGTTTGAGCTGCGTGAGCATGGATTGAAGGTTAGTCGACGCAAGAACTTTACGCCTCGCTGCATCAGCGTGGGCAACGGCGTCATGGCGATGGGGTCTGCAGAAGGCTCGGTCCTCCGATGCACAGTCGAATCCACGGATGCAACGCCACAGTCGATCGAAGAAATCATTGTTGAACCCAAGGTGGCCATCGTGTCCATTTATCTCGATCCAAGCGGAGGCCATATGCTCTTCAGTTTGGAAAACGGTAGCAACTACTACTTGCACACAAGCACAAACCGTCCGCGCAAGATTACCAAGGCCCAGGGCCGCATCACGTGTGTCGCGTGGGACCGCCAACACGGCTCTCCCGCCAATTCCGAGTCGATCTTGATCGGGACGGACGCAGGGGCGATTTATGAAGCTGAGTTTGACGGGAAGGAGAAGAAGATGAACTGCGTGTACGCGATCACAAAGCAGGGTGCGATCGCAGGGCTTGAGTTCGAGCATGTGGACGCGACGCAAATCTACGTCATGATGACTACGTCGGGCGCGATCCAGCGCCCCACGCGCATGTACCAGTTCCTTGGCGGGCCGACGTTCCAAGCACTGTTTGCGTCGTATCAGTCGAGTGATTCCCTGCGATTCCAGGAGATTCAGGGCGACATCACGACCGCGCAGCTCTCGACCTTCTCCAAACACGAGCGCGAGCGGGCCAAGTGCTTTGGGGTGCTGACCGCTCAGGGCGTATTCAATGGCGAGTTTTCCATCTCGACCAAGAGCTCGATCGACAACATGTGGACCAACTGTGACATTCTGAGCTTCCCCCACCAAGGAGAGAAGAGCCCAGTGCTTCCCGTCGCGATCGCCATGACCGAGTACCACGTCGTTTTGCTCTACTCCAAGTTTGTCCAGGTCCTGTGCAAGTTGAACGGGTCGATAGTCCTGGAAGAGCCATTTGACCCGCGCGTTGGCACCGTGACTGGCCTCGCCTACGATCCGACCTTCAACACGTTTTGGATTTTGTCGGAACGCCGCATCCTCGAAATCCTTGTCCTCGAAGAAGATCGTAACATTTGGGCCATGTACCTGAACAGGGCCCTGCACCACCTGCACCAAAAGAGCCCGGCTGACCTCGATCGCGACTTTGACCGGGCGATCTCCGTGTGCCGCGACGGTGCGACCCGGCAAAAAGTCTGGACGGCCCAAGCCGATGCGCTCTTTGATCGCGAGGAATACGACATGGCGGCCAAGCTGTACGTGAAGAGCAGTCGGTCGTTTGAAGAAGTCGCGCTTCGGTTCATGGAAGTAAATGCAAAATCGGCGCTGCACCTGTTTTTGCTCAAACGGCTCGCGCTCACGTCGGTCGAGGACAAGACCCAGGCAACCGTCCTCTGCACGTGGCTCGTGGAATTGTACCTGGACAAGTTTAACGAACTCACGGCGCTGAGCGAGCACGATGTGGATCGAACGATTGACCTCCACGCGAACTTGCTCTTTGAATTCAAGCAGTTCCTCCAGGACCACAAGCGCCACTTGGACCCGAACACGACATTCAACCTGATTGCGTCGCACGGCCGGACGGACGAGCTCGTGTTCTTTGCGAGCTTGATCGAGGACTACGAAAAGGTCGTGACGTATCACATCCACCGTGGCGAGTACGGCGCTGCCATCGAACTGCTCCGTGGCGCGCCGACGCAAAAGGTCGAAGAGCTCTACTACAAATACTCACCCGAGCTGATCGTGGCCAAGCCCAAGGAAGTGTTTGACGCGTGGCGGGCGGCAGAGTCGCTCGACCCGACGCGATTGATTCCATCGATTGTACGGCATGTCCACCAAAAGGACGGCAACGCGCGCAGCATCCTCGAGCTCGCGATCAACTTTCTCAAGTTTGCCATCGAGCAGGGCAACCGCGACGAAACGATCCACAATTACATTGTGTTTTTGCTCGCCAAGCACCCGGACGAGCGCCTCCTGATCAAGTTTCTGCGCCGGCCGTCGCAGTCGGCGCCGCTGTTTGATCCTGCGTTCGCCCTGCGTTTGTGCACGCAGCACGAGAAGAACCGCGCGTGCATTTACATTTACTCGTCCATGGGGCTCTACCAAGAGGCCGTTGAGAAAGCCCTCCAGGTGGACGTGAAAATCGCCAAGGAAATGGCCAACATGCCAGACGACGCCGACGTCAAGAAAACGCTGTGGACGCTCATTGCCAAGCACACGATCGACGCTGGTGGCGACATCAAGGAAGCAATGGGGATCCTCAAAGAAAGCGAACTGCTTCAGATCGAAGACATGCTTCCGTTCTTCCCCGACTTTGTCGTGATCAACGACTTCAAGAAGGAAATCTGCGAGTCGCTCCAGGCGTACAACGACCGCATTGAACAGCTCAAAGGCGAAATGCGAGAGTACACCGACTCGGCGGAACTCATCCGCGAGGACATGCACAAACTCCGCAAGCGATCGGCGTTTGTGAGCGGCAACCAGCGCTGCGACCTGACCGGCGACAACATTCTCGGCAAGGAATTCTACCTGTTTCCATGTGGCCATGCTTTTCACGCCGTCGCGCTGCGCCAGGAGATGCAAAAGCACCTCAACTCGTTTCAGCGTCAAACGGTCAAGCAGCTCATCCAGAAACTCAACGAACTCTCGGCCGATGACTCGACAAACCAGCCAAGCAGCGCGTACCAGCGGGCGTGGAATGCCTTGACGAACAACAACAACGACAAGTCAGCAGAAGCCACGATGTCGGCGATGAAGGGCAACACGAACGAGCGAGACGTTGTGCAGCAAAAACTCGACGAGATCGTCGCGGCCGAGTGCATCTTTTGCGGTGAAGTCATGATCAAGTCGATTCACACGCCGTTCATCACAGACGAGGACGAGGCGCGAGAAGGCGCCGAGTGGCGGATCTAGTGTAGTCGGTTGTGCAAGGCGTGGAATATCGAGCTGCAGGTAGCGACGACAGCAGCTCGAACGCCTTTTAAACGTGAACACCATCGAGCTCTTCTATCTCAATGCGGTGTGTTGATGGGTTATTTTTGGACTGCGGCTGAGGGTGTGGTCGAGCGATGCCGTCCAAGCCTGGCACGGGTACGTCGACTACCTGCTACCGACCTGCTTCCAATGTTGAGCACGACGTGTGATGGCCGTGGCGCGCTGACCGACTCGTCCGAGTAGGGGACCCATCGATGGCTCAGTACGGTGGCTCGCGTCCTTTTATTGTGCGCCGATGGTGCAGGTGAGCTCATTTGTTTTGTCTGTTCTAGTGGTGTGCACCAGCGCTTGCAGCGGCTGGGGTCGACCAAAATGATGGACAAGGCCATGGAGTCGACGTCGCGGTCCAAGGAACGGACCACCTCCATGTCACGGAATGGGTCGCTCCATGTCGTCCCGAAAGGAACGAAACATTCCGTCAGGTGTGTGTACGTCAAAATGGACGCACATCTCCTGACGCTGGATCGATGTAGCGTTCGTAAGCCGATGAAAGGCCACCCCGACGTCGAGCTGCTCATGGGTACCGACGGCTTTCATGCGTGGCGTGACCTGGTTGTTGTGTGCAGCTGACGTGTTTGCCGAAATGGACCGGCAGCGCCAACGCGGCCAGATCAAGTTCCCCTCCAAATTCGCCGACTTTTTCCATCATGGTCGGGACGCCTTGTCTCCCTTGGCTTGACCGGATGGATTGGCGTAGATATGATGGTCGAGTTCGTCAAAGCGTGCATGCAGCTCGCTGACACGTTTGTGGCCGTCCAGCACTTGGAGCTCGCCATCGCCCTTCATTCTCCTCCGTCGCCACCGGCCACCGTCAACTCCCCGTTGGTGCCGCCGTCGATCGCGACGATGCCGGACAGCGAGCGAACACTGGCGTACCACAAAGCCGTGGCAAACCACAGCGACAGCGTCGCCAATTTGGCCAAGTGGTATTCTCGCGTCGTGCTCAACTGCAGCAACTTTGAGCGCCATGAAGAAGACCGGACGTTCTTTGAAGCTGTCTACTACTTTGTCTGCGCCATCGTCAAGACGACCCACCCTCCCGATACATGGCCGTTGATCGAAGAAGAACTTGGTGTGTCTGTCAGCCTCTCCATCGCCTGCGTGATCGCTGTCTAGGCTATGCATTTCGAGGAGAAGTGTTTAATGTCCACGGAAAGAGGTCGGCTCGCTCGCTCGCTCCCCTGCGCGGCCTTGACGGTGGTGGACGTAGCAATCTGCAACCCCCGATGGCCCCCGAACCTGCCAAAGTCTCGGCGACGCGATTTGGACAGCCCACGACAGCCCACCATGCTCCAGACCCACTGGCGGGCGACCTCAAATTTTCCCCACGCGCGGCAATCGCGTACGGCAGCTATGGCCAAAATATCTCGCTCGCTTCCATTGTGGCCCGGGTCGACGCGACAACGTCCCGCGCCGAACACAATGTCAAAGTGTCCCAAGCCATGCGCGACCGCATCCATGGCCAGCGCAACGAAGACCACAAAGCACGCCGTCAACTTGGTAAATCGTTCGCCTTCCCCCCAACGCGACCCATCATGTGTTTCCAGAGCGTGCGTACAACCAGCGGAGTGAACGCCGCGCCGCCGCACGGCTCGACCACCTTGTCGACAGCCCTTCAAAGCCCCTGCGACCTCTCCCTTCCTTCGTCCTTCATCCCGACCAGAACCCTCCATCCTCACCACCTTCCAGTTCCATGCCGAGTCCCCGCGCGTCGATGCGGCATACTTTGGACGCGCGGTCGCCCATCGTCGCCCACATCTTTCCATCAGCACAGGACCAAGTCCTCCTCACTCAAACGTACGCCAGGCATCCCACCTCGTCGCACTGCATGGTACCATTTTAGGCTGCTCGACGCCCAGCAACGAGATCGGAGGTCGAGTCCTTGCCCAAGCCCTCAACCGCCGCTCCCTCGCACGACCCGACCCCCCACGACTCGCCTCGCCATGCCCCGCTTTCAAGATATTCATGGCTTAACTGAAAATTGAAGAATAAATCGTGGTCGATTGCGATGGCCATTGCTACACCCACTTGCGCGTCGGCGGACTCGTCACCGACGCGGCAGGCGACGGACGAGGAATTGTGCCTTTCGTCCGCACCGCCGTCGACTTTTCACGCAAAGCCGACCCTTCCGCGACACCCAACGAGTGTCTTGCGACGCGGGAGGTCGGCGACGATGACCGCACAGTGCTCGACACGCGCTTGAGCGTTGGAGACGAGGTTGCGGCAGCAGCAGGCCGCGACGGTTCGCTCTTGGGCTGACCTTTCACAGGCAAGCTCAATCGGCGGTCGAGCGATGTTTGGCGGACAGGTTTTGGCGGGACTGGGGGTGGCGGTCCCGATCGCCCCAACGACAATCGACCCGTCGATGACGGCATCGCAGTTGTCGCGCGCTTTGTGAGCACCCTCTTTTTGAGGTCGCCGCTGCTCCCGCTGGAGGGGAGCAAAGGCGAGGGACCGGCATTCGTCTCGGGCGATTCATCGTTGAGCTTCTTCCACTCGTCGTCGAGAGAATCGTTGTCGTCCGACACGGAGGAGGTGGCGGTGGCGCCGTAGCCCTGGCTCTGGTTGCCGGCGGCGGCCACTTCGTCACGGACGGCGTCCAGTTCGCGCTGCATCTTGGCGACGACGGCGTCGTGGTCTGCGCGGACTTTGGCCAGTTCGTCCTTGAGCGCGAGGAGCTCGCCAGATTCGACACTGCGCTGTTTGACAGCCCCCAGCTCAACCTGGCTCACACGCGCGCCAAACTGCAATGAGCACACGCTTTCGCCTTCGTCTGCGATGTCGGGACTGACTTGAAGCATGAGCAGAGCCTTGGCACCACCAGACAACATATCTCGCAACGTGAAAGTGAGCTTGGAATTCCGGTACGGCACGTGCTTTGCTTTGTGCTGGAGCGCGTGGACGACATCCCCGAGCGTACTGAGCGACTTGTTGATGTGCTGGGCTTCCTTGAGGCGGTCGCCCGTCACCTGGGTGCGCGAGATGCGCTCCGACCCCGCCAGGTCCACGAGGCACAACGTGCTGCTCTTGCGCTCGAGGGTCTGTTTGTTGGCCGACGACACGTACACAAACACAATCGCGTGGGATCGAGAGCTTTCAAAGTTCATCTTGGTCGCGGCCACCGATCGGTTCGCGTACCCCTCGGCGAGCACAGCCTGGACATCGTTCCACGACCCGACCACCCGCGTCTCCATCGCACTCTCCTTGGGCGTCAAGACGTCCTTGGATAGCAAGTCGCGCGGCTGGTCGTTGTAAATTTCCTGCATGCTGATCGAGATCGTGTCGTCCATGAGCGCGGACCGCGCGTCAGACATGGCAAAGAGCTGGTGGAGCGCGCGGGGGATGATCCCGGGCGACGAGTCCTCGCCGACCATCGAGTACGTCTTGCCGGCGCCGGTTTGGCCATACGCCATCACGCATGCGTTGTACCCGTCCATGACGGACCCGATCAGCGGATCGATGTGCTCGTACACGTCCTCTTGCGTGCTATCGGGGCCGTACACTTGATCGAAGACGTACTCCTGCCGCTTGGATGCCACGAGCAGCGTCTGGCTCTTCGGGTACATGAACGCGCTTTCGTTGGTCGCCGCGTCTTGGAGCGGCCGGACGCGGCAAAACACGCGGATCTTGCCAGACACTTCGTGGTATTTCTCCGTCATGCGCTTGCGTTCGAGAATCTCCCGGTCCAACTGGCTGTACAGCACGTGTTCCCGCGACTGCACGACAGCTTGCATCTCGTGGATGCTGGATTGAATCAGCGCTTCCGTTTGTGCCGCTTCCATCGTGACGTGCGCCTTGAGGGCCTGGAGGTCGCCCGCCATGGACGCTGTCGATTGCACGAGCGATGCCGTCTTGGCATGGGCGGATGCAACTTGCAATGTCAGACTTGCGATCGTGTGGTTCTGGGCTGCCAACAACGCGTCCTTCTCCTGCAGCGTTGCGCTCAGCTCGACGATTCGCGCGTCCTTTCCTTCGCCGACATTCGAGAACGACGCGATGTCCTGTTGCAGCGCCGCCAGTTGATGGTGCAACGACGAAATCGTTGCCACGTGCGTGTCGACCTCGTCGTCCTTGGATTGGCACGTCACGACCAGCGCATTCAACTTGGCCTTCATGTCGGTCGCGTCGCGTTGGAGGGCCTCTACGAGGGCTGTTTGCGCCTTGACCTGCGACTCCGTGTCATGCTGGAGCTGCTGTGCTTGAAGGAGCGACTCCTTGAGCGTCAAGACGTCGAGATCCAATCTGCGTGTTCGATCGATCAAGGTCGACACACTCGACTCGACAGAGATGCAGCTTACCGCTCGACAGTCATTTTCTCGCTTGCGAGTTGAGCTTCGACCTCGGACAACTTGGATTCGTGCTCTTTCGCCTGGAATCGATGGACGTGAGATTGGATCGAATTGCAAACGAGGGACAGTACTAAGTCGGCAAACAGCGACGAGTTGCTCGTGTTTCGAATGAGTTTGTTCACTTTGACTTGGACGGGAATCGGAATCGACTGCGCCTTCGCAGGCGTTGCATTGCCAGGTGCGGCCGTAGGTGGGGCAGTCGCTGGACTCGCCTTCGACGACGCATCCATTTCTTGAAGAAGGAGCGGCAACGTATTGATCAAGCGATGCATGTCAATGTCTTCGTACTTTGGCAAGAACAGCTTGAGCGCTGTGAGCTCCTTCTTGGATACAATCAGTCGCGATCCTCCCTTGCACGTGACGACAACGACGTCGTGGCTCGACCCGGCGTTCACGAGTTCGTTGGGTGCGACGGGACCCTGCTGCTGGTACTTTTCATACAGCAATTAGTGCATCGGTGCTGTCGGCTGCTGCGGCGTCGTCATGTTTTGCAGCGACCGGCCTTCCTCCACCGGCGAGTTCGTCGGCAAGTGTGGGGAATTCTTGCTGGTCATGACGAGTCGAGTGGAAGCTACCTATACCTGCGTTATGGTCACTTTATTATATTATCTTGGCATTTATATACAAGAGTATTGTAATTTGGTTGGCGGCCAGTTTGCCCCGACCGGTTTGCAATGTAAATCGACAGATTCCACCAATCAAGCGTTGTTTTCTTGGTAAGAAACGAGTTTGTCCCATTTTCCTCAGTCGTTTCGCCGTCTCGCGAGGGGAGCTTGTGGACAGCGCGGGGGATGCGCACGTCAGGATCGGGTGACGGAAGATGCAAAGAGCTGCATCGATCCTAAGCTCTCTGACATCTCGCCGAGAAACGCTATCGTGCCCTACCGCTGGTCCAACGCGAAACACAGCAGAAACGTCGAGGATGGCTTTGCACGATTGTGTCAAATATACCTGGGTCGATGCCAAGACTTCGAGAACACTTCGATCTGCCTCCGTCGCTCTCTCTCTCTGGTTCGAGATGCTTTGTCGATGGAGCGGCGGCCGCATTGCGTTGTCCATATTGTCCCTTGTTTGAATGTACAACATGGATTATCATGTAATGCAGAATGTGCTGTCACGGAGGATTTTAACTTCGATCGCGAGCGCTTTCACGTCGCGCTTGTTCTCGTCCATGAGGTGGATGTACCCGTCCTGGTCTTGTCCTACGAGGAGCATCCCGCTGGACGGATCGTCCGTCGGTACCTTGGTGTTGTTCACTTGAGCTTTGCTTGGGCTGGTTTGGGCATTGCTGCTCACTTTCGACATGGCCGACTTGGACTGCATCACAGACGACGCCCACAATCGAATGCTCTTGGGGTCTTCTTGCAGGCCGAAGCAGATGAGATGGCTCGAGAGGAACCACCGGAGCGTGCAGAGCTTTCGAGCTGGAAGGATGATCGCATGCCCAGGCGCGCCGTCGGCCTTGTCTTGGATGCGGTCGATGCCACACAGGATGGAGGTCGAGTTGTACATGTACTGGCGCCCGAGGGAGTTTTTCGCAATACAGGACCACCATTTGTAGTTGATCATTCGATCCAGCGCGAGAATCACGATCAAGTTGACAAAAATGACAAGGGCCATCGGTTCAAAGCACCGGACATACCACGACGCAAACAGATCGAGGTCCGTCCCGTCGAGCGACTCGACGTGGGACGACAGGTCATGGCGCACGCTGTTGCTGTAGTCGATGAATTGGTGGCGCGCCATGAGCGCAATCGAGCTCAGGTAGATCGGGACGACCGAGCTAAAGTTGAAAAACCCGACGAGCCAATTGTGTCCGCTGTACTGGGCAAAGCTGATCGTGTGGCTCAAGAGCTTGAGAAGTTTGACAAAGAAGCAGTTGATCCAGAGCCATCGAAAGCTCATCGAGTAAATCTGCACCGACACCCAAAAGTCGGGATTCCACTTGTTCCATTCGTTCATTTCGCGCGTAAACTTCATCGCGATGTTTTCGTCCAAGACGACCGTGACCACGTACAAGAACACAAACAGGTCGCTGTTGTAGCAAATGAACTGGATCGTGAGTGCGTGGCTCGGGTGGCGGTACAGGTCGGGCGCAAACTTGTGGTACATGCGCTTGAACCACGGCCACGCGAGCTGCTTGTCCGTGTCGATCCAAATCACAGTCTTGGCGCTGGCCGCGTACCCCGCGACGACCATGATCAACGCCAGCACCTTCAAGTAGAACGCGAGGATCGCGGTTTGGCTGCGCTCGATGATAATGGCCAAAATGTGGACATCTCCGAGCATGACTGTCGAAGATACAACGTCGACCATGTCGGTCGTGGCATTCCACACGTACGTGACGTTGCAATTATCGACGCCGAGCTCGGCCATCGGCGTCCCGCCCGTGTTGAACGTCTTGGCGAAGATGCGATACATGAGGACCTGCTCCGTCCTTGGCGCGATGTCGTCGGTCGACACGGGAAGCCCCAACGTCATCCGGAGGTCGGCAGTGAACAGGCCCGCTTCGTATCCGAGTTTCAGCAGGTCATCCTTGGTCGCATCAGGACCAGGCACGGGGTCCGTCGCGGTCGTGCCAAAGATGTGGCTGAGCGCGTCGCCGCGGATGTATGTAACATAGTCCATGGCGACGGCGAGGCGCGCCGTTGTGTTGGTCGCGTTGCGCGGAAATCGGACCGAGTACGACCTTTCAAGATCGCGGCAGAGATCGGGCGTGTTGGGGCCGATTTCATGCATGCCGGCAGCGAGAAAGTAAACGGTGTCGTCGTTGGTGATGAGTTGGTCCATGTGCCTCGCGAGAAGCGCACGGGGGATCGGCGATATGGAGTCCCAGTTGTCCTGTGTGGAAAACACATAGCGCGTGTGCACGTCCTCGTACGTCTTCATGTCCATGACGGCGGTGCGGACATGCATGGCGTTCCCAATGTAGCAGTTGAGCGACCAGTTGTTGGCAAACACGTCAAACCCGACGAGGAAGACGCCGATGGCGCTGATGGCCAAGTTAAGACCTGTCTTGGCCCGCGGAACCCACGACGAACCAGCGGATGGAGGCGGAGCCCGCGCCACGGCGGATGGCCCAGGGTCCGGGACGATCGCATTGGGCGACACCATCGAATCTCAAGGCACAACGACGACGGACGGCACCTGACGATACAGCCCACCGTTCTCGAATGCGCAAGCCGTGCGCGTACTCCTATAAATATACAGGCAGCAACGGCCCAAAGCGTTTTCACGTGAAGCGGCGGAGACAGTGCCAGCTAAGATGGCCACTCGATCGTTTCGGGCCATGTAATCAAGTCAACGTGGCAAAACCCCGTTTCAATCGCGACTCACTCGTCGACGACACATTCATGCGTTCCTCGCATTCCACACGACAGATCCAACCAGCCACGGTGGATGGCATGGTAGTCCATGGCTTCCAAAATCAACGAAAGCACCATGTAACTCGTTTGAGGTCACCAATGTTAACCAAAGCTTAGGTTGCGTTGAGCGGTGGTTCCAGTGGAACGGGCAACTTGTCCCAGACACTCGGTCCACCCCAACGCCCAACGAAACAGGAAATCGCCATACTAAACCGAGAGTTTAGTTCTTGGCCGCCTTGACTTCAGAAGCCTTGCGGCTGCTGCGGCGCTTGGCGACTTCCGAGGCACGACGTTCCTTCTGCTCCTTAACACGCTACAGTGCCAAATGGTGAAAAGGAGCAGGGGTACCCCCAGGTCACCAACAACTGTTAGAAGTGGCCATGGACCGACGATGGGGCTTACCTGGGTGTAGATGCGCGAGTACTCGGCGGCATCGCGCTTGACCTTTTCGCGCTGAGCCACAATCTTGGCGGCGATTTGGGCCTTGTGGTGCAAGGTGCGGGGCGTCACCAAGCGTTGGATCTTGGGCGCCTTGTCGTTCTTCTTGCCAGTCTTCGAGTCAAACTTGCGGCGGATGACGTACTTGCGGACATCGTCTTCCTTGGTCAAGTTGAACAACTTGCGGATGTTCGACGCGCGCTTAGGTCCCAAGCGGCGAGGGATGTGGCCATCGGTCAGGCCGGCCACTTCGTTGTCGCCGGTCTTGACGACGACCAAGTTGAGCACCGAAAGGTCGGGCCCGACGATGCACCCGCGCACAGACTTGCGCTTGCGTTCACCCTTTCGGCGGGGGCGGTAGCACGACTTGCCCTTGCTCAAGAGGAGGCGGGCGCGGCCGTTGGTCAGCACACCTTGCTTCATCGGGAAACCTTGCTTGTCGTTCCCGCCAGAAATCTTGAAGACGAAGCCCTTGAATTCTTCGCCCAAGTGTTCGCCATCGACTTCTTGGGTCATGCGCTTTTCGTAGAACGCGCGGAGCTTGTGCTCGTCGTCGATTTCGAGCACTTTTTGGGTCCCGGTGTGGGGGTTGGCGATGTTAAGCTTCATGGTGGTGACAGATCGGACAATGAAGCGCCCGAGACGCCACCACGAACAGCTTGGCGTGTGCCAGACCAACCATTTTGACACGGTCGACCAATCACCGCCCGCGTTGGGCTAGCCAATCCCAGGAAGCGATGCCTGAATTTTTTAGCCAATCACATCAAGGTCCGTTCGGCGAATCACCACGATTGAAGCGTCATTTCCACCAATCAGGAAGATTTCTACATTGACCAATCCCTGTGCTGAAACACAAAATGGATGGAATATTAGCCAATCGTGGGATAGAAAGCAAGGCCAATCACACACTTCAATTGTGCAACGACTTGGGAAGATGGGCAACACGTCGTCGACTGCCGTGCCCGCTGCCGCCGCCGCGCCGATGAAACCGGCACAAGAAGGCTGCCCTGTCAAGCACAATGATGCTGCAACACCTCAGCAAATGGATGGATGCCCAGTGAAGCATGGAAACAACGCTGCGTCGGTCGAAGAAGGATGCCCTGTCAAGAAGCAGAAGGTGTACAATGTGTACAGCCAAGAAATCGATCCCACCAACAACATGCCGTCCAACCCGAACCAGGAACCCAAAGAAGGGCAAAAGTACCCGTTGAGTACGAACCGTGTCACGTCGACGATCCCGAAAGGCGGCACCGACGGCACGTGGACATACCCGAGTGAGCAAATGTTCTTCAACGCGTTGCGACGCAAGGGAAAGGGCGAAGACGTGCATGAAGGCCATGTGCAAACCATCGTGAGCATCCACAACAACATGAACGAACGAGCGTGGAACCAAGTCGCCGAATGGGAGGAAACGTTGTACCCAGGGTATGCATCCCCTTCGTTGACCTGAACGACACCATGGCTTATTTCTCATCGTCATGGCAGCTCCGACGCCAAGTTGCTTCGATTCTGCGGTCGCCCCGATGATTTGTCTCCCATTGCACGACTCAAGACGTTCCTAGGGTAACATTCTTTGCTTCCTCGACGACGTCCAACCTCCTCGCTTTGAAATGGCAGATACGATAAACCGTTCGATCGCCACGACTGGGTTGTCATCCGCAACGATAACACGGAGCAGCGATATGTCATCGACTACTACTTTGACGACGAAAAGGCCGCGCAGGACGCCGTCCCTCGACTGCATGACGTCACCAGCGTCAAGTCGATCACAATGTATGCCCGCCCAGCCGTCGACTCGCTGTCAAACGTAATCGACCGCATCAAGTTTCCAATTCTGAACCTGCTGGGCTCGACCCAGCGCGTCCCGTTGCCGACGAATCACGCTGGCAACGACACCGACGTGGACACGGAGGACGTCCTCTCTGTCGACCAAGTGAACGAAACGTTCGAGAAAATCCAGGCGAACTGCAAGACGTGCTTCACCAACGTCCAAACTTGCACGGACGAGGCGTCGTGTGCCCAAGCTGCCACAGCGCTCCAATTTTGCATGGCCAACATCTTGTGCAAGCCCGACGCTGTCAAGTTCACGACTGCCCTCGCATCCGGCGACGAAGCACGCATCGAAGAAGCATACGCTGCCATGGAAACCTGCGTCGACCGATTCGAAGTTCGCTCGCGTGCTGCATTGCAAGAGCAAGCCCGTGTCGCCGCTCGACAGATGTCGACCGCCTCTTCCACAGCATAGACTCCAGTTTTTCTAACGCCATCCACAAGTCGCACATGCATTTCGTTTGACCGTACCAGTCGATCGCCATGTTGTGCGAGGTGCACGTGCCACAAACACTTTGCCCACGACGTCATCCTGAGCTGACCTACGCGACAACGACAACGGCCAGCGGTGGACAGCTTCCACTCCACACCCTTCTTCATGGAGGTGGTCAGAATTTGTCCGACGCATTTCGATGTCGACGAGTCCAGCACTCATGACGTTGTAATTTGTCGTGGATCATGCCTACAACTCGTCCAAGTCGAGCACCTCGATATCTTCATGGATGGCACGGTCGCTCGATGGGAGATCCTCTTGGAGCTCGTTTTCGTCGACACCTTGGGGGAAATGCTCCTTACTCGCCTCATCCATTCTTTCGCGGCGCTGGCGCTCGCGCTCGGCAATCTCTTGCGGGGTCTGCGTCGCTGGTTGCTTCTTTGGGCGGCGCTTTACTGTCACTTCCTTGGTCAACAGGCGAAACGAGTCGGACGACACATCGCCGATAGCATGCTCGTTCAGGAAGGTTTGCACAGGCAGTTTGTCGAAGTAGGACGTGTACGCTTTGGCCGACCATGACGCGGGGCTCGTTATATCGTCGCGGGCTTTCGTCGCCCTCTTGAACAGGACGAGGCGGTGGTGGGAGCTGTCCGTGATGGGTTTCTTAAATAGGGAATCGACCGACAGCTTCAGGATCGACGCGTCCATCCAGACAAACTTGACCAGGCGATGCTCGTGCATGAGCGCCTGAATCCACTGCTTCTGGTACTCATCAAATTTTTGCTTGCCGTTGCGATGGATCAACACACATGCCGTCGCTGTCTTTCCGAGGCACTTGTCTTCAAGCTGCTTGGTGTTTTGCACTTCATGCAACTGCTTTTGTACTTGAACCAGGGTCTGCGCGACAAGGGCCTTTGGTTTTTGGAGGTAGTTCAAGAAGAGCTATGGACTAACATGAGATGGACGAGACAGTGGTGGAAAGGATGTACTTGCTTGGGCTTTTCTCCATTTGCGATGGTAAATACGGTTGGGGAGATGTCGTCGCGAAGGAGGAACTTCTTAAACACTGACTTGCCTGACGGGAGTTTGTCGTGGCAGTCGACAACGCCGACATGGACCGCCTTTCCTACCAACCGCTTGGACGCCTTGTCAAACACGTCTGGAAGTATGGCGTCGGGCTTGGAGCACAGGACAAGCCACGGCTCACCCGATCGAAACACTCGATCGATGTCTTCACGATTGCCGAGGTGGATGAAGTGGATGCTGTTGGTCGAATTAGCAGCTTGAAGAAAGGACCAGCAAAAGAGCGCCACCACAACCACTGACGCTCCAGCAATAACTTGCCAATGGTCTCGCCACATGCGATTCTTCATAAACATCTTCATCTCCTTCGCGTTGCTTGCCCCGCCATGGCCGCCCCCTTTCGTGGTTCCTTTCGCCATCGTCCAAAAGTGAATTCGTTTTGATTGGGTAAAAAGCTTACGATTTACAGCCAATTAAGTCAATAAATATATTTAATTGGACAAAACACAATTCAAAAATCCTGTGATGACGAAATCGTGTCGAGGCCCAGGACCAGGTTGTGTGTGACATGAGCCTGCCTCTCGTGGCCGGTTCTCGAGCTTCGGCAATGGGCGCACTTCGCAGACCACCGCCGCGCCTTCCCTCTCCGCCTTCATGTCAGCACAGCTTGAATTGACTTGGCAATCATGTCACAGTGTCCCCTTTCGAGGAGGGGCCAATGACCTAGCACGACCACATTCTGCTTGGCCAACGCAGACTGCACCTCTGTGGGTCTACGTTCGTGCTGCCATTGTCTTGACTCGATCCAACCGCGCACGGAGACGCTTGGGGAGCTTACCACGGGCACGATGACATCATCGCCCGTCAACGACACATTCGACGCGAATCTTCGTAAAGAATAATGCATGGCATTTCTACCAATCAAATCACTCATTCTATTCTGTTCTCGGGGATTTCTTCGGGATCTTGGAAAATAAGTGATAATTTGTATGATGGAGAATTCGAAATCCGCGGATTGCCAAGGATGTAGTTCACGTCTTCACTTCGGAATTTGAAATCTTCGCATCATGTCTGCTCCCGCCGTTCCAGAGCACATCCTTGCGGACGAGTCCAACACAGGATGCCAGTACATGGGGGAGTCCTTGATCGTGTTTGTAATTGGAGCTTCGGGCGACTTGGCCAAGAAGAAGGTACGTGCGCTGAATGCGTTCCTTCAACCCCCTGATCTGTCTTCTTGCATTCGTGTGTAGACGTATCCTTCCCTCTTTGAGCTGTACACGCACGGGTACTTGCCGGAACACACTACAATCTGTGGGTATGCTCGGTCCCATAAGACGGATGAAGAGTTTCGCTCGTTCATCGGTGGGTACCTCAAAACCACCGAGACTGAGAAGAAGGAGGCGTTCCTCCAAAAGTGTTTGTACCGGTATGGCGAGTATGGTTCTGTTGAAGCCGTGGGTAAAGTGAGTGCCGAAATGTACTTGAAGGAGATGTCGACGGGACTGAAGACGAAGAATCGATTGTTCTATTTTGCCATCCCACCCAACGTGTTTGTCCCGATCGGGACGTCGATCAAGGCTGCCGCATTGTCGAGTGAAGGATGGAACCGACTGATTGTGGAAAAGCCATTTGGCCACGACCTTTCGTCTTTCAATGAACTTTCGACGGCAATGGGTGCGTTGTATTCGGAAGACGAGATCTACCGCATCGACCACTACCTTGGCAAAGAAATGGTGCAAAACCTCATGCTCCTGCGCTTCGCCAACATCACATTCGAGCCACTGTGGAACCGCAACTACATTTCGAGCGTCATGATCACGTTTAAGGAAGACATTGGTACCCAAGGCCGAGGCGGGTACTTTGACTCGTACGGGATCATTCGAGATGTCATGCAGAACCATCTCCTTCAAGTGCTGTCGTTGGTGGCGATGGAACCACCCGTCCGTGCATCTGGAGATGACTACGCTAACTTTGTTCGTGACGAGAAGGTCAAAGTGCTCGAATGCATCGAGCCCATCAAGCTCAAGGATACCGTGATGGGTCAATACATTGCCGACCCCGAGAACCCAAAGTCCGAAGTCGGGTATCTCGATGACCCGACAGTGCCCAAGGGGTCTGTGACGCCCACGTTTGCGGCCTTTGTAATGAATATCAAGAATCCTCGATGGGACGGCGTTCCGTTCATCATGAAAGCCGGCAAAGCCCTTAACGAGCGCAAAGCAGAAGTCCGCATCACGTTCAAGTCCGCCCCGGGCGCCGAGCACATGTTCCCCGGTGCCAAAATCCCACAGAACGAACTCGTCTTGCGCTTGCAGCCCAACGAAACCGTGTACATGAAAACGAATGTCAAGAGTCCAGGGTTGAGCACCAAGGCCGTCGCGAGCGAACTCGAACTGAGCTACTCGACGCGGTATGCCGACACGCACCTCCCTGACGCATACACCCGTCTGGTGCTGGACGTGTTGCGTGGAAAGCAAGCGACATTCGTTCGCGACGACGAACTGCGAGCGGCGTGGAAGATCTTTACGCCGCTACTAAATGAGATCGATCAGAAGAAGATTCCTCCAATTCCGTACAAGTTTGGGTCCCGCGGCCCTGCCGAAAGCGACGAGCTGGTGCGAAAGCAGGGGTATGTGTACCACAGCGGAGCGTACCAGTACTCGCTTCGTGGGTCATTGTAAGGTTGTGAAGAAATACCGTTTATTACATGGATGCGTGTGGTGTTGAAGCAAGGATGGATTGTTCCAGGGCGAGGTCGGTCTTGTAGAGGCGCACTGCGAGCGCAGAGACGGCTCGACTGAGGGCTTCATCCGTCGTGATGGACTCAAAGCGAAGTCCAAGGGAGGCAAGGTAGTTTTGGACTTCCATGGGGAGTTCCAAGTGGAGGTGGCACGATGGCGCTTCGTTCTCGAGAGGTCTCGCTTTGTCAGCGTTGTTCGGACAACGCAACTGCGCGATGCTGTCTCTGTTGGAGCGAAGCTTCAATTCCATGTAGCGCAAACGCTGGGCGTCCATTCGCTCAGCCAGCGTCGATTGCCGCCGCCGCATCGACGGCCGTGACTCTTCATTCCGTTTCGGCATTTGAATAGTACCCCAATTCGATGCGACCGTGCCGACGACTTGAAGGATGTCATGGTGATTATATTTAGGTTTAGTATTGCATTTGTGGAACAGGAGGTACAAGCTCTGGTCGTCCATATTAAAACGACAATTATAAACTAGAGATATGTATGCTCGATTTGTTGGCCGTGATGTCGAGTGGGCCAATCAGAGCCAAGACACCGTTTGCGATCAAATATTGTCGGCAAGATGGAGCCGACGTCGCCGCCGCCGACGACGCGATGCGCCTGTCGCTGCGTGGCTCAACTAGAAGAAGAAGTTGAAGCGCTGCAGAGCCATTTGCTTCGATACCGTCGAAAGTATGGCAACCTGGACGTCCTGGAACAGCGTCAGGCGATCAAGGAGTCCACCGACTCTGGTGGAACTGCCGCGTCAGCCAAACTCGACCCCATTCCGCAACTAACCCTGGACGACAACTCGACGACTCTCATATCATCGACCGTTGGAAAGCATGTTGTCCTCGACTACGTGGCCGACTCGCCCATGTTTCGCAAGAATCTGGAGGGTCTGGAAGAATCCACGAGCGGCCTACGAGGGTTCATGAAGGAACTCATGGCGCGAACGAAGGAGTTCGTTGCGGCTGGCAAGGTCCTCGGCTCCAAGGAGGTTGCTCTGGCTGAGATGTACTCGACCAAGTACAGTCGATCGCTCTTCACGTCGTGCTACGCCGAACTCGGTGACCTTTCGACTCTTCTCAACGACTTCCACGACACGTTGACGCAGATCCAAAGCTCGCGTGAGAGCATGCTCCTTAGTATTGAAGCGCTGCTGTACCAACCCCTTGAGAACTTCATCGAAGCAGAACTCAAGCTCGCTGCCGACTTGCGCAAGGACGTGTCCAAGTCCAGCGACGACTACGATGCGCTGTTGGGCAAGGTTCTTAGCAAGCCAGTGACGTTGTCGGCATCCGCACCCCCCGTCGCTCGATCGGCTTCGTCGTCCATCTCGACTGAAGGGCCTCCATCGAGCGTCGACGACGCCGTGGCCCTGTCCCGCCAGCCTTCTCTCTCGTCGATGTCTCCCCCTCCTTTGACCACAGCCGCCCCAACTTCGTCGGTCGATAAGGCGCTCATGGCTGCGCGCTGCAAGTTTGAACTCGCGCGTTTCGATTGCGTTCGGTACTTCAACGCCCTCGATGCCAAGAAGAAGTTTGTCTTGGTCGACGCATTCAACTCGACTTTGTATTCGTACTTGGGACACTTTCACGCGTGCCACGAACTTGTCCACGCGATCGAGCCCGCCCTTCGCACCAGACAACGCGCCTTACAAGATGCCCGCGCGCAATTCGCCGCGGAGGACGACATGTTTGAGACACAGCGAGACTTGCTCCAGTCGCGGCTGTCGGCGTACCCGACGCATGTGGCGCTTCCAGTGGAGATTCTATCCCTTGCGACGGCAGCCAGTCGACCCAACTTGAAGGAGTCGGTGGGGAGTCCTCGAGGCGGTAGCTCGGCCTCCGCAGACAAGCAAGGGTACCTCCTCGTGCGCGGGGGAGGCAGCAGCACGGGCGGGCCGTCGTCGTTTTCGTTCTCGTCCAAGGCATACAAGCGCGTGTGGTTTCAAATCCATGCAGGCAAGCTGTACGCGATGCAAAAGAACATGGAGCTCACAGTCGTGTGCGACCTCATGATATCCAAGGTCCGGCCATGCGGGAAGGCGGCGCTCCCGTACACGTTTGAAGTTCTCGACAACAACCAGACCAAGCACATTCTGCAAGCCACGAGCGAAGCGGACATGGTCGCGTGGATTGACGCGGCCCAAAACAGCACCGAACGACTCCTCGGCCAGCAACCCCACGACAAGGCGGTCCATCCTGGCCACGCGGACGCAGTCCAAGTCCTCATGGATGCCAACCCGTTGTGCGCAGACTGCGACCAGTCTCCAGCGGAATGGGTCTCGATCAACATCGGAGTGTTTCTGTGCATCGAGTGCTCGGGTATTCACCGGAGCCTTGGCGTCCACGTGTCGAAGGTTCGGTCGCTCGCCTTGGATTCATGGGACATGTCGCTCCTCGACTTGCTCACGACGCATCTCGGGAACACCAAGATGAACGCTGTCTGGTACGTGCGCTTCTCGTCATGGTGCGTGCTCGTAAGAATAGTTCGTTAGGGAAGCGGAATTGGCGCCGGGATGGACGCGGCCCGTGGCGTTGTCGTCGCGCGCGGAGAAAGAGAAGTGGATCAAGGCGAAGTATGCGTTTCGAGGGTTTTCGACACATACGCTCGATCCAGCCCCTCTCGTCATGGCGCGGTTTTTCGACGCTGCAACTCGAGGTGACGTCCGTCGACTCGCGGAGGGGCTTGCGCACGGTGTGGATGTCAACGAAAAAGACTCTGCCACGGGAGCGACACCACTGCATCGGTCGGCCGCCGCCGGCCATGCCCTGGCGTGCGAGTATTTGATGCAAAATGGCGCGTCCCTTCGAGAAGTCGACAAGCAGGGACAGCTGCCGTCAGATGCTGCGAAACGCGGTGGGTTCGACAGTCTCAAGCTCTTGTTACTCGAGCGAATGCGTGAATAAGGAATGGCCAACAAGGGGTCGAATGTGTGTTGCAGAAAGAGTGTGGAGGTGGTCGTGACATGCAGAACCAGGTTTCATGTGTAGAGTGGTTTAAATAGGAGGGAAGTGAAGGCGGTGGCGGAGGAACTGGTCCAGCACGGCGGCTTCGAACGCTGCAAACGTCCCAGCGCCAAACCATCGCGGCGGGCCATCGCACTTGAGCTCGAGGATCTTGGCGACCAGGCGGGACTTGTCGAGCACGGTGGGCCACACGATCTAGATCGTCCCAGAACCATCGCATTTTCACTCGACATATTCACACGAACGACTAAAGGGTGGTATGAACGACCGACCTGAAGCGCTTCAGCTTGATGCTTCTCGGATGCAACCGTGCGCAAGATATCTGGCACCATCGCGCTATCGCCTCCAAATGAATCGAGTCGACCGTGGGAACGGCGCAATTTCGACGCGTCACCTGGTGAAAAACATTGGAGGCGTGTCTCGGTGCTGCAAGTCGTCGTGCTCGTGGATACTGAACAAGGTGATTAGAGATCGCCCCGTCATCCGTGTGCTGCCTGCAGTACCCGCACGCGGCTTCCAAGAGGTACTTTTGTCGGTCGGGGTTGTCGGCGTGCAGGGCGAGTTGCTGTGGACGGAGAGACCAACAAGATTTTAGCACCATCGAGCATGGATGGACCGAACGAACCTCAAGAAGAAATGCTGTCATGTCCGCGGGTGACGGGTCTTTGCCGAGAAAGACGAGCCCGGAGAACTGAAGCACCCCCTGAGTGCGCTCGAATCAGTGGCTCATGACGCCTCGCGCTGCGTGCGTACCGTCGGAGGTAGCATCGTATTGGACGCAAAAACGTACGACTTGCCGTTGATGCTCGCGTTGGTCCACACGTAATGGTTCGAGTCGGTGGCGGCGACTCGGCGAAGGCACTCGGCGCGGATGTAATCGTCGTAGTCACCCAGGTCGAACTGGCACTCGTCGACCTCCATTGTCGTCACAAAGTGCGCGGGTCGAAGCAAGATGAAGTCGAATTCAAGGATGCCACGATGGGGAAAATCAAAATCCTTGTCGAGCGACTCGCTCAGGCGAAAAGGGTACCCGTCGATCATCTCGTTCCACCAGCACTCGCCAATGCCTTCGAGGGACCGGACACGCAGCTCGTGGGCCTATCCATTCGTCAGGGAGGCGACGAAACCTGTCACGGCTTACGAGGACTCGGTCGGCGTCGTTCGAGAGGTCCAATCGATAGTGATGCGCCAACACGTGGTGAGGATGCGGCGTGAAAAAGTCAAACTCGATCGTGCCTTGCATCGGCACGCGCCACTTCCACTTGGTGGCAGTTGGTAGGGCCGCCATGGCCACACTCGGCGCGATGGTCCACGCATCCAGCGACAGGGCGGCGCCGTCCAGGGTCAGGTTACGCCACTCGTCGCCGACGTTGTTCCGGCTGTTGATGTTGCTGCGTTGCACGCGCTCCAGGAGCTTCCAGGCCATGGCGCGGTCGGATTTATCGTCCAGATGCAGCCTAGGACATGCACCTGTCAATCCCGTCTTGGTTCGGATGTCGCCGAGCCATACTTGTAATGGGACTCACAGAACAACGTCGTCGAAAGGTAATCGAGTTCCAGCACCCCCGTCGGATGCAAGTCCAGCCACTTGGTGTCAGAATGCCGTTGTTCATCAAAGTTGAACGGGACGCCGTCGAGAGTTTCGTTCAGCCAATTTTCCCCTGGACATCACCACCATCAACACCCAGCACGTTACTCGACAACGCCGCTAGCACATCCATGCGGAGGGCTGGGAAGGACGTACCCGTCTCTGCTTCGGCGCGCTGCATGAGCGCGCGTGCCATGGCGCGATCGGCTGGCTTGGCCAAGTCCAGACGGAAATGGATCAAGTCGTCAGCTGTCTCGCCCGACGTCGACGCACGCGTTGCAATGTATTCGAAGCGCACGGTCGCATTGGCCGGAATGCGGTCGAGATGGTTGGCGTCGATTTTGAATTTGTTGGCCACGACATGGTGAAATGTTCCCAGTCGAAGTTTGTGGCGGATTTTCAACAGCTCAAACGCGGTGCGTTCGGCAGGGACCCGCAGGTTGAATCGGTAATAGCTACGCATGGCATAAACGTGTCGTCAGTAGGAAAGGCGAACGTACCCAGACGGATCACGGGGGTCATACGGAAGCGGCGGCCTTGGCGCGTCCGCTTCCCGATGCTTGAACACCATGTGGTCCAAACTGAGTCGCAACGAATGCTTTTTATTCTTTTCCCGTTGTTTGGCTGCCTGCAGCATGAGCGACAGTCCCGTCTGATCGATTGGGTTCTGGTCTAAAGTGAGTCGAACGAGCCCATCGTTGAACGTAACAGCGTCGGCGAGAAAGCCGACCGATGCACACGATAGTTGCGCGCTCGACAAGTCAAGCGACTCGAGCGTGCAATTGTGCACGAGCATGGTCGCCACAAAGCAGCCCGTTTCGTCACCGAGTCGATTCCACCCGAGACTCAAGTGCTTGAGTGTTTTGTTGGTGGCAAGCGCAGACAAGATCGGAAGGCATCCCGTTGTCGACATTGTGTTCCACGTCAGATGCAGCGTCTACGACGGCGTCATGAACATTTCACGTGTGGAAGGATCGCTGCACCTCTAGATGGGTGTTATCGAGCAGGGCGTCACCGACGGCGGCCCCCGTTTTGTTGCGGAGGCGGTTGTCGCTCATGTCGAGGAACCTGAGCGACTTGTTGCGAGCGAGCAGCGCTCCAATCGCCGAGTGGATGCGGTCGCACAGGTTATTCCCTTTGAGGACGAGTCGTGCCATGGACGAAGATACTGTCGCAGCACGGAGGACGTCGATCGCGCTTTGTGTCCCAACCCGATTATTTGTGAGGTCCAGCGTCTTCAGGTTCAAGCAAGAGCCCACAACCTGGGCGAGCTCATGGCCACCCGCCTCGAGACTCCAATTGTCGGTCAAGTTGAGCTCGACCAGCGAGGTATTCCACTGCAATGCGCGGCACACGGTAACGACGGCATCACTGCCCATGTTGTAGTGGGCGCAGTTCACGACGTTGGCAGGCAGTTGACGCATCACTCGCTTGGATGGCAGCACATGTTGTACAGCACACTGCTGCAAGTACACGCCCACCAAGTCAACATGTGGATGCGTCATTGCAGCAGCCACTTCAGCTTGGGTCGGTCCGGTGGCAGGGCCATTCGGTCGTGGAGAGGTCGTAAGTGTTGTCGCTGTGTCAGTCGAGTTGGCAGATGCAGTAGGAAGCGCTGAGTCCACTGAAGCTGCATTTTTGGCAGGATCTTTCTCCATTGTGTTGTCCAATTGAACAAGCGAATCTGCACCCTCGTTGTCTTCGTCGTCAACTGTCTCGTCGGCCTCGATCAACGGGACATCGCTGGCAGTAGGTCCAGCCAGGCGAGGTGTTGCCACGTCCTTTTTCGGTTTTGCGTCCAAGAAGATGCTGAAAGCGTCGATTTGTTTCAGGATTGCCATGATGCGAGTCGATGTGCGTGTCGAATAAACAGCTTTCGCCATGTTTTCCCGCATCTGGCCTTCGCGGCCGTAGATCCTAATACGAACGAGCAATAAGACCATGCTCGATGGCGGCAATCACCGTCACGCACCGCTCTTTTGTGTACAGTTGGTAAAGCGATTCGACCGTGGAAATTCCAAAAGCTCGAACGATGCCCTACTTGTCACCCCGTTGTTCAATCAGAGTGCTTCGTGGTCGACTCACCTTGGCTTCGTAGATGTCGATGCCAAACAACATGCGAGCGTTCTCGGTCGTGGGCAGGCCAAGTCGCTCTTCCTCCGACACAGAGCTCGTCAAGGACGTGCCCCACACTTGCTGCATGCGGTAGTAGAGGGGCGGGAGTTTGCGTTCAACAGGAGCTGCGACGTGGGTGTCAACGTCTATCAAATCTGTCGTGCTGTGTGCGGGCTTGAGCTTGGATGCTGCGTGGTTCGATCGAGGGACCAACTCCTTCGTGGTCCGCGACGTTTTGAGAGGCTTGAGGGGTTCCAGTACGGACTTTGACGATGTCTTGGAGTGTGGATGCTGTCCCAGCTCGTCGGAGTCGCCGTCCTCGTCTACAAATGCCGGTGCTGCGTACATTTCGTGGAAGCGCCCGTCCAGGTAGTTGGAGATGCTCTACCAACCACTCAACGTCGTGAAACGAGTTCGCTCGCGACTGCATGGCGTACCTGCGCTTGTTCGAGATGCTCGAGCATCCTACAACGTCACGTGACGTTGATGGCAAGTACGATAAGGCGAACGTACACGAGTCGATTTGGTTGATATCCCGACGACGGTTGGCGGGCGCTGAGTTCTTGCAGACGCTTGGCAAAGTCGTCCTTTTTCATCGCTGGCAATCCTTTCTCATACCGTTTTTGCTGCTGCTTCTGCTTTCGCACTCGCTGAAAGATGTTGTGCATGCGGCGCGTCCCAACCTCCCATGGGAGGCGACCTCGGCGTTTTCGAGACGTTTCGCCATTGTTTGGAGTTACACAAAGGGTACATTGTGCACGGGTAAATATTGATTCATTCCAAGCATGCCATCCAACGACAGCCCCTGATCGTCCTGCACATTTTTATCCTGTCCACAGGAATTTCGCGCTGGCTTGGACAACGGCCACTTCGATAGTCGCATGGCCCGAGTCAAACTAGAGTACAGAGCGCAGGGACGTCACGCACAGCCGACATGTTTTGTGATCCAAACAATCGGAACAGCAGACCGCGCCGCACCGTCGACAGTGATGCCGACGGACGAAAAAGTTGAATTCGTACTTGCACACCATGCAGTTGGCCACGTCGTCGTCTGGTATCCACTGGGGTGGGTGGATGATGTAGGGGAGCAACTACAAATCGTTTTTCATTCAGATCACACCTCGTTTATCCAGGACACTAACCTGGGAGGACACATCTGATGTGTGCAACACCCGGACGAGGTTGGCGTCCGGTAGCGTCATACTCGCTCCGTGCTTAACCAGTGCGATGGCTTGGTCGATGGACCCTGGTCGAACGGGTTAAAAGAGCTCGACGACCAACTACGAGTCGTTTTGGGGCACCGTACCTCGCTTGGCAGCAATGTGCAGTGGCGTTTTCTTGTCGATTGAGTACACATTCGGGTCGGCTCCAAACGCCAACAACCGCATGATGAGCTCGTCATCTCGTCGCATGAGAGTGCAAATGTGTAGCGGCGTGCGACCGAGGACATTTTGGGCGTTCGGGTCGGCCCCAAGCGTTAGGTAGAGCTCCATCACGTACGCCGCCTTTGGACGCGCTGAAGCGCATGCCAAGTGCAGCACGGTGTTTCCGTCTTTGTCCGGGACGTTCACGTCCAGTAGGGGAAACACATCGGGGCGACAAAAGATGCTGTCGATGACGAAACGAGTCAGCGGACTGGGCAACAAAAACGATACGCACCCCGACACTTCCATGTTTGCCATTTTTGCAGCCACATGGAACGCTGTCGCCTGACACGTGTAGTCGGTAATCGTGACACTGGCGCGATGCTGCAGCAGCAAGTCCACAAGCGCGACATGGCCCTACATGTTGTAGCCAGTCATGACGATGGCGACCCTTGCCAGATCGATCCAACGAACCATTTCAACGGCCAAGTGCAGCATCGTACGACCCGATGTGTCTTGGACGTCTGGGTCGTCGCCGCGTTGTAGCGCTGCTTCGACTTGAGCGAAATCCAGCACGCGATGCGATACCAGTTCAGACAACGAACGTGCCTGGAATGCCATCACACTCGTCATCTACGATGCGACGCCGTGCATGAAACTGCTTACATTTTGAGGAGGGTGCTGCATGGCAATGGCTCCATCTTCTTCGTCGATGGGTTTCAAATATCCGAGAGGTCGGTGGCAGTCAATCGGGGCGGGTTGGGGTAAAGTAGATCGTGCAATCGAACGAGGCGTAGGAGGGGAAGCTGCCGTCGGTAAGGTGTGCTCCCCAGGAGCTTGACTCGGAGATTTAGTGACAACGGATGTGTCGTCAATGGAGGTAGCTGGAGTGATTTCATCGTCGGTTTCTGGCGGTACAAAGCGAGCACGTGGGTGGTGAGAAGGTGTTGGTGGCAAGTCCATTTGAAGGGACAACGACACTGGAGGATTGGCAACAACTGGTGACGGCAAGTCGGTTGTCGCGGTTGTGCAATCCCCCTCTGCAGGTCTCGGATGCAGCAAAACGTCTAGTTGGTTCGGTTCCGGGGGCAAATCGTTTGGATGACAACGACGACGTTGTCTGTCAAAGGCCGTGTCCATCGATGCAGGCGGTGTCATTGCAAAAGCAGTGGTTGAGTTGCCGCTCTCGCCACGAGGGGTAAAAGATGCAGTTGGAACTTGGTCGGAAGCAAAGCCAAGGAAATGACCAGCGTCGAGTCGCGAGGGGGACTGCACATTGTTTGGAGTTATTATGGCAGAAGGTCGAGCGGGGGTCAGAATCGTCAACGGTGTCGATCGTTGTACAGGCGGTGCGATCATTGAAGCGACCGCCTCAGCCGCACAAGTAGCACTTTCAATACTCCCATCGGCCGGTTTGGTTGAATTAGTGTAAGGGGTCGGCTCGGGGACAGCTGTCATGACTTCGACCGATGGCACGACAAGCTTAACCAATTCAGTTGGGCCGAGCATTTGTGGAGACGGCGCGGTGGTTGCAATCTCGGTGAGGGTTTCGACAACGGCCATCACTTTCGCAGGCAATCCAAGCGAAGAATTGACTCGTGGTTGCGAGGGTTCGACGACGACGATGCGAGGCACTCGTGGAGCACCATTTTCGGTGGCAGCCGTCTGTTGCATCTCGAGAAGCAGTTGCTTGACTCGTCTCAGTTCTTTCTCTGCTTCTTCCGCTCGCTGGTTAGCCATCGTTGCTTCCGCTTTGAACAGGTGCAGCTCTTCTCGCAATTGATTGCGCTCGGCAATCGTGTGTTTCAGTGACATCGCGTCTTGCTTCAACTGTTTGACATGGGCTTTGGCAACGCGAGACCGCCACGCACATTGAATGGTCAGAACCGCTACCACGACAGCTGCAAACACTCGACGCTGTTGCGATCCTCGCCACCAACGCTGCACACAAATGGCTGCAAGGTGTTGTCGAAGCTGGCGAACCTTGTGTCGTCCAACCCAGCCGCGATACCTTGCCTGGAGCAACACGGCGGCAGTTCTACTCCATGCGTCACCACAAGGCACGTGTTATCATGCACATACCTGGTAGCTGTCTGCCGGCGAACCTGTTGCCTTGCCAAGTGACCACGAATAACTCGCTGCAGCATCCCCGACGCTTGCTGTGCGACCAAGTACCTGTGGCGACACAGCGACATCTTTGCAAACGCCTGGACAACGACTGCATGCTTGTGCAAAGCCGTCGCGCGGGCCGCTTCCAAAAAATCGTACGTCGCCTGGCGCAGAAACACCAGCGTTTTGCCGCGTTCCATGCCGAATTCAAACCATTTCGACCTGGTCGTCGTTTTGGACAGTTCGACATCTCGTCGCGGCCACGTCAATCGTTCTGGTAAAGTCTGTGGACTCCCCAAAACCTCCACAAGATGCGTTAGCACGGTATCAACAGCCATGGTGTTTCCATTGAATTTCTGCGATGACGTGCCACCGACAGTGCGGTACATCGGCGGCAACAACACACCGGCATACCGCGACACGAACGCATGATGGACCAAATGGACAGGGTACCCGAGACGGGAGATCGTGACTGCCTCGAGGACGCCGCCGTACCGAAGTTGGTCGGCCATACGCTTGCGATCAAATAACAGCTTCACGTTGGCGTCGTTCGGTTTGAGGCATCGAATGTAATGGGGGGTCGTGAGAGTGATCATGTCGAGCAAGTGTTGGAGCTGCCGTCGAAACTGCGCGCCGAGACCAGTTGACACAATCGACGACTTGCGGCGAAGGACTGGTGCATGCTCGTCGTTCCATGCAGCGACAGGGACGTCCAACGGCCGGCACATGACGCAAATGAAAGGGTTCTCTGACGACGACAGCAGGTCATAGATTGCCTGGTGGGGTTTGTCTCGGTTCTTTTCACAGAACCCGTCGGCCATGTAACGGACTGCGCCGGCGTAGTGCATCACGACGAACGCTCGGTCGACTTGGTCGCGCTTGGTTGCTTGAAAGTGGTTGTGGCCATGGTAAATCTGGTACAACTTTCGGACAAACCCAGCGTCGGTGCCCTTGGGAATGTTACACTCTTCGTCTAAGAGAGCTAGGATACCGGTCGGCCGCGACTCGAGCACTTCGAGGCACCCGTCGTTCTGGGGCAAGTCCAGCGTCGTCCACGGAATCCCTTCTTTGTGATACCGGCCTTGCTCCTGTGTCATGACAAAGTCGATGAAGTGATGCTGCAGCCGCTCGTTGGCGTAGTTGATGCAGAGCTGTTCAAAGCTGTTGATGTCGAACGACTCGAACCCAAAGATGTCGAGGACTCCAATGAACGTTGCGTGGGAAGCTGCGCTTGACCCGGCAATGCACATGTTCACCTTGGAAACGAGCCACTCAAAGAGGCAGACATAAATCGACCGCGCCAACGCGTCTCGAGCGTCGTTCGCTTGGTCTGGCGTCAGGTGCACCACGTACCACTCGTCTTTGGCCTTGATCTGTCGAGTGGTCAGGGCCTGCCGCAATCGGTTCAAATCGACGGCCAGCAATTGCGCCACCCATGTCAGCTCTTGAGGCGACCGAATGTCCGAAGAAGGCGCGTCACCCGTCGCCACGGAACCAAATTTAATGTTGCCAAGGTGAAGCAAACCGCCCACAAGCTCTAAAATCGAATCCTACAGATGGGCATATGAATCCAAAAAGGATTTTGGACAGCATACACGACACCTTTTCATTGTCATGGAAGCCGACGATTGACATGGCTCGCATGGCTTTGTGAAAAGTATCGACGTCGGAGACGTTGTCGCGGCGGGCAACACAACCGCTTTGGTTCAGGTAATAGAACTTGGAGGGGTCGCAGTCGTGTAGGTGCAGTTTCGTTTGCAGCGATCTACGTGGCACAGTAAGATATGGGAAAACGGCTTGAACATGCACGTACCGGTCCTGCGCGGCCCCGGCCAGGACTTCATAGAAGATGTGGAAATTGCGCTCGCCAGCCGCCTGCCGCACCAATCGGACCTTTTCCAGAAGATATGTCTCAATGGATGTGCCGACAAGCGACAATGACCTGGCATGACCGTTCTTGGCGAACCAAATCTTGACAAACTTGCCAAAGCGAGAGCTGTTGTCATTGCGCAGTGTGCGCGCATTTCCGAACGATTCGAGGATCGGATTCGACTGCAGCACTTGGTCGGAGATGCTGCTCCCAGAAGAAGCGGCCTTGGCGTCGCTGCTGACGACGGCGAGGTATTGCATGATGAATTTAGTCGTCTCGGTCTTGCCGGAGCCGCTTTCGCCTGAGACAAGGACGGTTTGACTCTTGTGCTTGTCGACGGTCAACGCTCGATATGTTTCGTGGGCAGTTGTGTATACGTGTGGAGAGCGGTTTGTGCTGGACCCGGCATTGGAAATTGTCGTCTGAAACGCCGAAATGTCATACAGGGTGGGTATGGTTTTGAAAGGGTTCACGGCGAGAAGCATGTCGCCTGTGTGGCAATACACCTTGTCCCCGAGAAATCGCTCCTCAAGGCAGTGTACCATCGACGGTTCGTTCAAATGTGTTAGCATTCCAAGGTCGTCCAATTCCATCGGTGACACGACGTTTCCTCGTTGAACCTCCATCTCGGACTCAATAGTACTCCAAGGTAGACACTGCCCGTCGTCGAACTCCACCATATCTCCAGAGAAAACCCCTCGTATCCACGCGTACGTCGCACCATCCTTATGGCCCTTTCTTCGTCCCCACACGGGCCCTTCGTTCATCCTGCGTCACCAGCCACGGCCGCTGGCGCGTTCTTCAAGTTGAATCCTCTTCTCATCTTCTTCCTTTTGGTCTCAAGGGTATACAAAGATCAAGATAAAACCATTCGCTTTCGATATTAACTGGCGGAATGTCGGTCGTCGTAAAGTAATTGACGTTTAGTATTACTAGGCGTCGTTCAACATACTACTAGTACTGACTATATTGTCTTCAAAACTCAATACTAAATATGAAAGGTTCGCATGTGCACCCACCTTGCAAACAATCCACACGATGACACAAACACCGACGGCGAAGCATCAAGGCAAGCCGCAGCACGGCGGCAGTGACGCCGATGCGCCCGCGTGAAAAGGATGTAATAGACGAAGCTCGATTTCACCAGTTGGCGTGCTGTACCTTGTTGTGCCTAGTGTAGATATCACGATAGACGACAGGCACCGTTGTCGCGTGGGTCCGACCAGTGCGATGGGACACGAGCTTGCCAGCCCACGGAGGTAAAGGTGTTGACACATGAGACCCATTTGCACATTTGCAGCGGGATCGGGTATGCTCGACTGCGCAGCAACGTGTCACACGTCATGGTCCTCACGATGTGACATTAATGGCACAGAGGACGATGGGATCATTTGGCGGAAGTCGTGCTTGCAATCAAGTGTACCGTAGCTCTAGTGGCAGTCCTCCGTTGAGCGTGGATGAGAGTCACACGTGGTCTGCACAAATAATGCAAGAGATGCTGTGCCGATAGAAACAATTCCTGAATCATGTTGGCATGGAAGAGACCCATTACACGTTCTTGAGGGCGATCAGATAAGGCCCGAGACGCGCTACCGTCCCGGTTACATGTGGCCGTGTACCATTACGATGTTTACACTCCACCCACTCAGAGAGCACCTGCACCGACAGCGTCAGGCTAGACACTACACGCGATCCATCAGACTCATGGCTGTTCCATTGCACACCGCGACTTGGAGTTTGCGCGGCCTGCTGCGACGAGTTGAGGGAGAGATCCGTCCATACCTCTGTTGACGTGAACGTCCATGGTCGAGTTCAGGCTCACGCGGCTTGCTTGTCGCCACGTCCACTTTCCACAGGCGCATGGCGATCGATGCGATGCCAATTGAGTTGACAGCGTCGATTGTTGCGTTATGTCGTCACATGTCGCCGCATCTGGAGATGATCGATGGCGCCACTTCTGGCGTTCTGGCCGACAAATGTTTCAATTGTCGCGGGCCAGGAAGTACAATCAATACAACCAACAAGTCATTTGAATCCGCTCGGATGAAAAAAGGATAAAAATGAAGTTGAAAAAACATTTTTTGTCTCGACGTGGGAGGAAAAAAGGTGGGCGGCCGTTGCAAACAAACGTGATTTTTCCACCCAAAGCGGAGAGAGCGGGATCCCGTGGATTGCCTGCCGCGCGCAATTCGGCCCGATGGAGGAAGAACTGGCAGCCGCCAAACGCGAATTAGACGAGGTAAAGGAAGAACTCCTCCTCAAGACGGACGAATACAACGAGCTGGTCACGGCGAGCAGCATGATCGAAGCAGAACTTGAAAAGGATCTCCGAGTAGTGGAGCAAAAGGCCGAGAAGTGGCGACAACAGGCACAACGATTTGAAGACGAAGTTCGCGACGCCAGGAAAAAGATGGTCGTGCATTTTCGAGAGTCCGCGACATTACAGCGCGAATTGGACAGGACCAAGGAAAAACTACAGATTTTATCACAGGACAAAGCTCGATGGGAAACCGAGCTCGATCACTTGACAACCCAAGTTCGGATTTTGGAAGCATCGAACGAAGATCTCAAGCACCAGCTTGAACGAGCACACGAAGACAAGGTATTTCTGCAGCACGACTACGCCGAGATCGAAAAGGAGCACGAGTTGACCAGTGAGAGGTATCGTTCCGAGATACTCGATTTGAAGTCCGAATTGTTTGCGGTAAAAGTCAAGGTGGCCGAACCTCCCCCGAGGCCATTGACCGACGAGTTGACAGAGCGAGACTCACTTCGTCTAAGTCTGCTGTCAAATTTAATTGACGACAACCCGTTCCGCCCGTCGCTATCTCTGGAGCGCGACATGGAAGAGAACGAAAAGCATATCCAGATCCTTCAAGACGAGCTGCGGGAGTTGGGCAACCGGTTGCAGGAAGAAGAAGACCGACGAGGGCAGTTGGAAGCGCAACTTGTCTATATGCAGGATCGACAGGCGCACATGGAGGCAATGGAGGCGGAAATAAATGACATGTCTGAGGAACTGATCCAGAAAGCCGAGCAAGTGAGGCGCGCGGAAAACGAGATCACTTGTCTCCAAACCAACCTCTCGTTCACGCTGGCGTCCGTGGAAGCGATGCTGTCGTCGACGAAGGAGCAACACGAAGTCGAACTTGAAGCATTACGGGTGAAGTTGGAAGAATCCAGGAGCATGGCGTCGTCCCAAGAGTCGTCGTTCCGTGAGTTGTCCATGTTGCGTGCCGAATATTCTCAGCTAGAGGCATCGCACGGCCAAGCTAAAGTGCAGCTCGAAATGGAACGCTCCAAGTTTGCACAAGTGTCGGCGGAACTTCAAGAAAGCAAGGGTGCTACGGAAGCAGTTCAACAAGAGCTCGATGAGCTGCGCAAACAATTTGAGGAGCTGCAAGACCAACACCAAGTTGTCATGTCGGCACAACCATCCCAACCCCCACAGCCGCCGTCGACCACAGCTACTGGGAGAACTCCATCCATGGAAGGACACCACGACATGGCTCAAAAGTACCTTCTCGAACGAAAACGCAACGCGATGCTATTGTCCCGACTGCAAAATGTCACGGGCAACATGCAAGTCCTGTGCCGTGTGCGGCCGTTGCTAGCCCGCGACCCGACGCACAAAGGCCCGGACATGGCAGTCGATGTGCTCAACCTTACAGACGTCGCGTCGATGGAGATGAAGGCGGACCATGTTGACATGGACGCCCCTTGGAGAGTTTTCACATTCGACAGGGTGCTCAGTCCGCAGTGCTCCCAAACCGACGTTTTCCGCGAGGTGGAGCCGATTGCACAGGCCGTCATTGACGGCTTCAAAGCGTGTATTTTTGCCTATGGCCAGGTACGTATGTGATTGCGGGTAAATTTGCTAAGCATGCGTGCCTAGACTGGATCGGGAAAGACCTACACCATGGAAGGCACACCAAGCCAGCCTGGCTTGAACTTCCGCCTGATGAGTCACATGTTTGACTCGATGGCATTGCGTGGAACAATCGTGGACCACCCCAAGGCGATGGCGAGTTTTGAAGCCGAGTCCGACCGCCCCGTGTTCCATCTGCAGTTGGGGGTGTTTGAGATTTACAACGAAACGATTCGCGATTTACTGAATGTGAACCAAGTGCTCGACATTCGCACAGACGAGTTCGGGGACATTGGCGTCCCTGGCCTCCACATGGAAACGGTGTTTCACCCGGCGCACGCGTTGGACATTTTGGCCCAAGCACAAAAGAACCGATCGAGTTGCGCAACGAACGTTCACAACAACAGCAGTCGTTCGCACAGCGTCGTACTTGTCCAGATGCGATCCAACGCTGGCCAGCGTGGCACGTTGTACTTGGTGGATTTGGCAGGCTCCGAACGTGTCAAAGTTAGTGGCGACCATGCGTTGAAGGAGACGGCGGCGATTAACAAGTCGCTGGCCGCCCTTGGCGACGTCATGGAAGCGTTGGATAAGAAGCTATCGCACGTGCCGTATCGCAACTCAAAACTTACGTACGCGCTCCAAGACGTGCTCGGATCCAGCCAATGCAAGACCGTCATGATATTGAACGTGGCACCTGGTTTCACCACCGCGAGTGAAACGTACCGCTCGATGCAGTTTGCGGAACGAGCCCGTCGGATTGTATTTGCTCCGAACGGCATCAAGCCACGACAGCGAGGCCTCCTCACCGGGAAACAAGCATTTACTGAAATAAAATCGCTCAAGTCACAAGTGGCTGCAGCCAACACCAAGCTTATGCAGATGAATCAAACCATCGTGACGATGGTAAGCCTTGGATGATTCCATCGCGTACGCGCCTAACTCGATTGGATAGAAACGGGACCACAAGAACGAACAGGATAAACTTGCATCGCTGTTGGAGCAAAAGACCAAAGCGCTCGATGACGCGAAAGGTGTCGTGCAGACCTTGCGCACTGCCAACAATGAACTCTTGGAGAAACTCAAGCACGAAAAGGAGCTTCGACAGCAGGAATTGGTACAGGCGGAACAAGAAGTGAAACAGCGTCGCCAGTTGCAATCCAAGACCAAAGTTTCTGTGGCGCATAAAGAATCGCTCGAAAAACTACTGTTTGAAAGGGAGAGCGAAGTCATCAAGCTTCGTCAGAGCCTCAACGATGCCCGGCGGCGGAGTCAAAACTCTTTGATTCCTCGCCTGTCCCTTGAGGCCACCCAACCGCTGCAGTCGTCGGCAACTGCGACACCACTCAAGACTGTCAAAAGTTTAACCGCCGAAGAGCCTGTATCGTCGTCAGCATCTGAAACTGAACAAGAGTCCGAATCGTCAGACAAACAAGGTCCTTGTCGGGTCCCACAGCGAGTTTTGCGTCGCACGACGTACCCTCAAACCCGAAACTCAAGTGACGACCCTCCTCCCGTCGACTGCAATGCCCTTCCCAAGCGCAAGGCTGTGTCGGCAATTCGTGTGTCGAGCGCGGTCGCTGCAATTGAAGGCGCTCTGAGAAAACCAGTGTCGAGGTATGTGCGTCATCCCTTGGAATCGGTCGGGTCTGTGTGATTGATTCGGTTCGCAGCACCGTGGAGGCAAGGAGTAAAATTCCTCGAAGGACATTTGGAACCACAAGAAGCTCCCCGCGAGAAGACAACCAAGTTTCCAACGGCAATAAACAGTCGCCACCGTTGAAGAGGATGTGGAAGTAATACCCCAACGCTTGACGGCTTTCTCTTATTCGTGATGCAATTGTTGAAGTCGGGTGTCGGGGTGGGTGATCAAAGCGCCATTTATTCGCTGAAGGACCTTGGCCAGGACGTGGGGTTGGTCAAAGCTCAGCGACTCCAACGTGTGCAAGAGTTCAAGCAATTGGTCTTGCGTTTCGCCGTCGTCAGCCTCTTGGACAGTGTCAAACACGGCGGGCTTCAGCACATCTTCAAACAGACTCTCGCCAAAGTCGGCGGTCAATGCTTCCGACGGTGGCGGTGGTGAAAATTTAGCCTCATCTTCAAACACGCTACGAAATGCGATGGGTCGATCTCTCGCTGGAATGACAACAGCGTGGTGTCTACCTCCGAGCCGTCGACTTTTCCGGCGACACCATGTCCTTGTTCATTCTCACGGTCGCGCCAAAGTCCCAGTCAGAGTTCGCATCATCCATTTCTTGCGTGGAGGAAGATGATATCATTTTGACTTTAGTGCTGCTGCAGTTAGCTTCCACGGGAGCGTCGCCGTTTTGAATTTGGGCTCGCTACAACGCGGTCATCAACCAGTCTAGGATTCCACTGGTTATCGGTGCACCTCAATGAGTTCCGTGAGATACGAGATGTCTTTGTCCGATTTCGAGTTAATGAAGGGATGTTGAAGCAGCTCGAGCGCCGTCGGTCGAGCTGTGGCGTCTTTGATCAGGCAGCACGCTACAAAGTCTTTGAATTTATCACTGAAGTCGCCCTCGAGCTTCGGTGGGGGGTTCTTGGGAATGACGAAGAGAACTTTCATCGGGTGCAGCCTGCATCACCAAGAGACGCAAGGATAAACGATGCTGCACGTCACGTGGAATCCAGGAACTTACGATGCATGAGGAGGTGAGCCCAGCGCCATTTCAATTGCCGTGATGCCGACCGACCAAATGTCTGCCTTGAAGTCGTAGCTGTCGCAACGGTAAGATGATCAGAACGAAAGATATTTGTGTACTTGTTTTGCTGAATCACTTCTGGCGCCATCCAGAACGGAGTGCCCACCACCGTGTTTCTACATCAACATGAGCATTTGCAGGGTCAAGTGGACGGATGGAGACCGCTTCGTCATGGTGTCAGTCAACTGCCCCGTCACCCCAAAGTCAGCCAGCTTTACTCTGCCATCACTAGCGAGCAAAATGTTTGCCGCCTTGACGTCGCGGTGAATCTTTTTCTCTGAATGCAAATATGCCAAGCCCTGGGTCATGATGACGGTCTCTCGTTTACAATCGTCGCCGCGGTACCTTGAGCAGCTCGTGCAGAATGATAGCAATGTACACTTCATTCAACGGCCTAAGTGGAAGAATGAAAAGCATGGTGGGAGAACAAGTCACTCATAAATGTTCCAAGCGTACCCAGGGGCCATCAAGTCGAGCACCGACCCGCCAGCCAAGTACTCCATGATGATCCAAAGTTTTGTACCGATGATGAAAGAGCCCATGTATTTCGTCAGTTGGGCGCACGAGCACTGGGATAGCACTGCGATTTCCTACACGCATGCGATTACCTGACCTTCCATGCATTGCCAGCGTGTGTGGGACTGGCACAGTTTGTACTTTCTGGATGTCGTCGATTTCGTCTTCAGCAGCGTCGAGGTCGACAATCTTGATGGCGCATATCTCGTTTGTCCGACGATCTATACCTTTGAACACTTCTCCAAACGCTCCGTCGCCGACCTTGGTCAAGATGTCGAAGGAACTCTCCATCAGCGGCGTTGTCGTTGAGTGCATGCTGAGACTTCGTCCAAAAATTTGGGTCGGACATTCGATCCGGATAAAACACTTCCATGTATTACATTTTCACGGTTTTCGAAATTTTATCAAAACCATTGACCTTTTCAACGAAATCGCACTTCAGATGGATTGGATCTTGTCTTGATCGTGACATCACACGAGCAACATGAACAGCTACCTCGCGCTACGATGCCGCTCCGAGCAGCAAGTCATGAATGAGTTCACCAAGTCGATAGCTGCAAAGGACTACACCAAGCGCACAGCGGTGCTCCTTCACGAGCTCACGTTCTTCTACGTGTCGACAAACACGGACACTGACGGAAGTAGCGCGCACATTCACGACTCCGTGTTGAAAGATCTCACGACTCTCCTCACAAACATCAAGGACAAAAAAGAAGACCAGCGCATCATCAAGACAGTCATGATGGTGCTTCAGCGCATTGCCGAGCAAATGATCTTCTCGCACGGTACTACTCATTCACCTGGACAATAGGAAGCGCCATGACATACCTTCTGTACAGACCTCAAGCAGACGCTATCCATGTCAACTGCACCACCTCCTTCGTCGGTCAGTGTCCCTACAAGCCCTCGAGGAGACAAGACTGAGGCCATCATGCTTGCGTTGAAGTCATTGACGGACTTGGTCGCCAAGGCCGAAGTCGGCAACGCATACCCTCCTCGCCGCGTCGCTGCCTACAAACTGTTTATTGTTCTCTGCGCTGCAACGCACCAGCCAGAGCGTCCTCTCTCGATCACGTCAACGATCCAGTCATCTAGTGTGTGGACGATGCTAAAACTCGCCGCTTCCAAGAAGAAAGGTACTGACAAGGAGTTGCCCACTCAACTCGCTCTCTTGAACGGCGCTTTTCAAGTTGCGCGCCATTTGCCTTCCCCCACGGCTCTCGAATCCCTTGTGAACCAGTTCATTCAAGGCGCGTTCCTGCCCAACCGCCATGCTGCCGCAACGTGCTTGTCCCTCTTCGACGTCATGCCGGTCAAAGTGGTCGACGCCTTTTACGCCCATGTCACAGCGACCGCGTCATTTTCCCTCAACACGTCGGACGCCCTCACGACGATCTACTTGCTGAAGTTGTGCGGCAAGATCGCTCGTCTGCCTATCGCTTCTTCAGCGTCGTCCAGCGCCCAGAACCTGCTCGACTTTTCATTTGACACAACGGTGCGTGTCGAGGGACGCTTGATAGCAGGTTCTAACGACTCTGTCTAGACAAAACCGGTGAAGCGGCAGGAGAAGGCGTCCACTGGTCCGGCCATCGATACCCACGTGTCGGCGCGGATATCCGATCTCCTCGTCGATATATGCATGCAGAAACACACGTTCGCCCTCGCTGCCGCGCCAACATCCCCGACAAATGTGTCGTCATCAGCGCTTCCTACGACCGCGACATTAGCTCCATGCACGGTTCTCCTCACTGCGATTCAGGAACTGGCCCTCGGTCAGTTCGCGCCCAAGTGTTTTGAAAAGGTCCGTGGCGGCTTGTCACCGTTCGAGATTGCAGCGAACGGCGTCAACCTGATTTTGCAAACCCACGGAGACAACCCCCTTGTCCTTCAACGTGTTGCGCGGGTCATTCAAGTCGTCGCCGAGTGCCTCGACTTGACGCTGGTCGAGTTTACGAGTGGCGGCGGTCACTTGGACTTTTTTACCAAAGTCACCGACCGGATGTGGCAACTTGCAATGTCCCCGTCGGTGTACCAACCGTGCTTGATCCAAGAGACTTTGATTGCACTCGTGTGGCTCTTGCCCCGCACCTCTACCCATCGCTCGTCGCTCTCGCCGAAATCCCAAACGCAGTCGACAGCATGGACACGCTTTCTCGTGCATCTTCGAACGCTGTCGAGTGTTCCCGAGCTCGACCGACGCGACATTGCGTTTGCAATGTATCGCCGCGCGACCTTATTTGACCTGGACATGCCGCTTCTCCACCGCACGATTGCGGTCGTCCTTCACTGGTATCGATTGCACCCATGCCAGTGGCACTCCGACATGGGACTCAAACTTTGGACGACGCTGTTTGACCATCCATCGTCCCAGGTGAGTGACATGTTTGCGAGTGTTGTGGCGGTGCTGGACCACCACGTGGCGCCGTCTGAGCATCCCGCACATGCGCAAGCAGTACAAACCATGAAGTGCGTCGCCCTCCGCTTCCTAGCGTCTCCAACAGCGACACGACCGCTCGCGCACGAAGCGATGGCCGGTGCGGCATTAGACCTTGTCCTTCGCCTCACGAAGCTTGCCATGTTGGAAGAATTCACGATCCGCCGCCTCAGCGTCGTTGCCATGATGGCCGTCGCGGAAGCATCGCCGAATGAGACAAGTGAGCACGTGCGCCAGGTCCTGACTGGGCTCGACAAGCACAGCCATCAGTTGGGCATCCAAGACCTCGTAGCGCCATTTCTTAGCACGGGTCCAACGCCTTCGTCGTCAGCCACGGCTCCATTCCAGTCGACGAACGTTCCTCTCGCCCGAGTGTTTTAGAAGGCGGGTGTTAGATTAGTAAGATATGCCCAACGAGATAGCTTCTCCTGGCGTGATGATCTGGCGCGTCGAGCACGCGATTACTTGAACGTGTTGAAGTCGCGCACTTCGTTGACTATGTCGAGCGCTTTCGACAACAGCGTGCGCATTTCCGAGCAGTTGGCGCGGCGGCTGGCAATGTCGCCTGACTCCCGCAGCAGGTCGCCGAGCTTGTCTTCTTTGTACAGACTTGACACGAGCTGGTTCTGGACTTGATCCTTTGCGTGGTTCACCATAAAGCACATGATGGCTTTCGGGACGAGGTCGAGAAAGTTCTTGCGGACGATGTCAAAATACGATGCCAGCAGGGACTTGATGATTTCAGTTTCGATGCGTTCGCGGTCGGTCGGAATGTCCGCTTGGCGCATCGTGGTCGGGACTTGAGGCAGCTTCACAACGGGGTCTTTCGAAGCACTGGTGCCGGCCGACTTAGGTGCCGAGTCGGCCGAACTCTTCTTGAACATGCTCATGAACCCACTGGACGATTCCCTTTCGTCCACGGGACTTGCCGACGGTTTGGTGGCGGAAGCGCGCTTGGCTTGAAGCGGTGGGTCGGAAGACGTGGCCGCATTTCCATCTTGCTGCAGTTTATCCATGAGCTGGGCGACAGCGCGAGATCCACCGATGAAGTCGGGATGGTTCGTGTTAATGTACGACAGCTCGGTCTTGATCAAGTTGGAAATCATTAGTTGGGTAGGTCCCATCGATGCCCGCAGCATGCTGTTGACAACTTCCACGACGCGATCGCGGAGGTCGGCAAATCGAGTGAGTTCCACTGTTTCGCACTGCGACGTCACGCGTTGCAACTCGTCAAAGACAAAGTCGACGCACTGCAGGCCAGGCGCTTCGAGCCGCGCAATTTGTCGCTTGGCCAAAAGTTCAAACGAAACTTCCGGGACAAACAGCGACTGCCGCGGGCCATTGGCATTGCGAATGGTCGTGCGGATGTCGTTGTCGCTGAGTTGATCAAACGGGTCGACGGCCTGCACACACTTGGTGAAGAGTTCGTTGAAGATGTACGAGATGCGGGCGCCGCCGTACAGCTCCGTCATGTCGTTCGCGTTGGGCTGGCGGCCGTCCAACGAGTTGATGAACGACGACGAAAAGTGCGAGATCAACTGGAGCAATGTGGCGCCGAGGGCAGTCTTCGACATGCTGTCGGTGGGGTTGCCCATGCCGTCCATTTCTAGATCCAGTTCGGCCAACATGGACGAGATGCGCGACTTGATGTCGGGCAAACAGTCGCGGATGTGGTGCATGAGGATCGTGTTGAGTGATTTGCTCAAGTACTGCGTCCCCATGCGGCTTGCGATGCCGCGGTACGCCGGGTGCGCCTTGAAGAATGTCGTTTCCTTTGCTACGCTCTCGCGGATACCCACGCCGTTGTTAATGTCAGCTTGGCTTCGGTTCACAATACCGACGTATCTAGGACGGATGGAGTCATGACGCCAGCTTCATGGAGGTCTCGAGGGCACAGACACTCACCCTTTCTTCAGCGGAATGACGCGACCCTGCAGCATTTCCATGGCGTCTGTGCCGTTGTCCATTAAGTCGAGCTTCGTCAAGACACCAATCGTTCGAAGCCCTTCGGGGTCGATCGCGCGGGCCATCTTCAACGAGTCGCTGTTGGCCAAATCCGTGTTTGCCGCAGTCACGGCCAAGATGATAGAGTTGGGGTTTCCAATAAACTCAATGCACATGTCACGAATCTGTTCTTCAATGTTGGCAGGTTGGTCTCCCACCGGAACCTACGACAAGAGTACGCATGTGACGATATGCTGGTGCACTTGAGGCAGGTGCAATCGAAAATCGACGACACCATGCTTACCTTGGTGATCCCTGGCAAATCCACCAAGGTCAAGTTGAGCACGAACGGTGAAAACACTTTGAGCGTGATAGGTTTGTTTGAAATGCCCTTGTTTTTGCCCGTCATGCGGTCAGTCTCCTTCTCGATTTCCTCGCGAATCTTCTTGAAGTCGTAGAACTTTTGGTTCGGCAAGTGGTTGAACTCGCCCCATTCCTCGTCCTTGCTAGCGCCTCCATCCGTGTTGTACAGCTGCAGCACGAGCGGCCGACGAGTTACGATACCACTTCCGCGTGGCAAAAAGTCCTTGCCTACGATGTTCTCCAAGACGGAACTCTTGCCGCTGGATTGACTGCCAACCACGACGATCTGGGGAAGGTTGATAGGCGACTGTCCGATGGCTGAGAACACATCTTGGAGCTTATTGATGATCGGGATGAGCTGGTCCATCTCTGTGCGGAGGGAGGAAGCGCGACTCCGCCAATTGACTTGTGACGACCTGACACGGTCGAAGTCTGTTTATTATTTCATCCAACGCAATACAATTTTCAAGTACAAATGTTGAAATCTAATTCATTCCGTCGACACAACTCGGCATGGTGAATTTCGCTTGGAAATGTATCATCCGGATAAAGTATCCGTTCATTCGGTCGCGGTGAATGAATGAAACGCAAAATCGAAGCTGTGGCGCAGATCAGCATGGAAAAGCTCGGCGCGGTCACGGGGTCGTGGAAGGGAAAGGACGTCTTGTCGACGGAGCAGTTTGATGCGGCAAACGTGAGGTAGCGAAACCTTCCTCGTGACCCATAACTCACGGCGTGGACGAATAGATTCTTGTTCCAAGTAGCAGACCGCATGAAAGACATGGTTGCGCGCCAAGGAACTGACGACACCCTTCGCGGCAAGGTTCGCTGGCCGTACACACCTCCATGCGCTATTTACCCAACGTGTATGCAGGTGCTAGCGAATGTGTTCTTTGAACCATCGACTCGCACGAGCTGCTCGTTTCAGGCCGCCATGGTGCGCTTGGGCGGCAGCGTCGTTTGCGTAAACGAGGTACTGCCTGTCACCTAACTCTCGACGCAATTTCATCGTTCGATGCAGTCGTCGTCGAGTAGTAAAAAAGGTGAAACCCTCTCGGACACGATTAAGTGCTTGGAGTGCTATACGGACTTCCTTGTGCTGCGCCATCCTGTTGTTGGCGCCGCCGCGACTGCGGCAATCGCGACCTCCAAACCCGTCATCAACGCTGGTGTGTCCTTCCCTCGTGCGTGATTATATTGTTCTCATATGCAATGTAGGTGACGGCGTGGGTGAGCACCCGACGCAGGCGCTATTGGATCTGTACACGATCTACCAGGAAGCGAAGTTAGTTGACCTCAACTTTGCTGGCAAAGTCATCACGATGGTTGGCGACTTGAAGAACGGCCGCACGGTACACTCCCTGGCCAAGTTGCTCGCGCATTTTAACGTCAAGCTCAACTACGTTGCTCCAGGTAAGTGCACCAAACTTTCTCTGTGCTGACGATGCTCTGGGATGTAGAGTCGCTTTCAATGCCCAAATACATCGTGGAATCACTTGCTGCTCAGGGCGTCGTCCAGCATGCGACGTCCGACTTGGACTCCGTCCTGCGTGAGAGCGACGTTTTGTACATCACCCGCATCCAAAAGGTCGCTCTGTCTTTCCCTTTCCCGCGTCTTGGCTGGTGATCGATCTATTGACTTGTGCTCTCCAGGAACGCTTTGAATCCATTGAGGAGTACGATGCCGTCAAAGACAGCTTCCGCATCACGAAAGCAACGCTTGAAAACGTAAACATCATGAACGGTGCACACTATATATGAAACGGTACGTGTCTCCACTAGGCGAAGGCGACCGCCATCGTCATGCATCCGTTGCCGCGCGTGAACGAAATCGACGTTGAAGTCGACAGCGACCCACGGTCGGCGTACTTTCGTCAAATGGAGTATGGCATGTACGTCCGCATGGCGATCTTGGCTCTAGTCATGGGTCGCGCCTAAAGGATCGACAGTTAACGAGAACAGACCGTTCATCCCATCCATGCTTCCGTCCACTCTGCCATAGCATGCAAGACGTGTTCCACGCGATCCGGATAAGGCCGGACATTTGCCCAATGGGAGGTTGTATCCGGATACCGCGTCCAAACAATCGATTGGTTTGGGCGGTTTGCTGGTTTGTGATGTGGCTGGTTCATTAGCGATTTACTTTTGAGGACGCTTACACCACCATCATGTCGGCCGAGGAAGTAAACGATGTCCAAGTGGAAGTGGCTGAATTGGGAGAATTGGAAGCTCTCCAAGAAGTGCTGAAGAAGGCGTTGGTCCATGACGGCTTGAAGCGCGGCCTCCACGAATGCGCCAAGGCGTTGGACTCGCGCCGTGCCCGACTCTGCGTGTTGGCCCAAGACTGCGACGAGCCTTCGTACCAAAAGTTGGTCCGTGCCTTGTGCGAAGAACACGGCGTGAACCTCATCATGGTGCCCAGCGGCAAGCAATTGGGCGAATGGTCGGGTTTGTGCAAGATTGACGACAAGGGCGAAGCCCGCAAGGTCGTGTCCACCTCCGTGGCCGTCGTCACCGACTTCGGTGAGGAACACCGCGCGTTGGACGTGCTCTTGAACTTCTTGAAGAACCGCGTGGAAGCTTAAATGCCTCGCACTCTTCTCCCGGTGCTGCCGGGGTTTTGGTAATGTCGCTAATAGACCAGAACCCACCACCACTCTCGATAGACCCATCCGCCCCAGTAACTTTGAATGCCACCTCGTTCGACGATGGTCGGACTGTGTGCTCTCTTAACTTTATACGTGCTTCTCACTGTACTTGCTGATCGTGGACACCCGATGACTTCACGACGGACGGGAATAAATAAGGCACTGACGGACATGGACCATCGACGGACTGGCTTCACCCGTCTCGATGGTGCGGCACAAGCAGCTTCCTCTGTTTTGCTCGGTGTGTGCACACGTGGTACGGGTCGTCAGAGCGGACTGTCGACGACTCGTGGTCTGTCATGCATACATCTGTGGATTCCAAGCCCGTTGTCCGCTTCTTGTCCATTGAGGCGGCGCTTCGTGTGAGGAACGGCTGTGGCGGTGGTGGAGGCATGTGATCGTGGAAGAAGGGGTGATGCAGCGCCATGGCGGGCGTTATCCTTCGGGCCGGGCTACACGCAAAAGGCGCGTCATCAGCTTCAATTCTCATTCGAAGGAATCGCACGACTTACTCCATTTCAAGCATGCGGGACACCAAGTCCACGAATCGGTCGTAGTCGGCGCGGCTGTGGTCCGGCTCCTTGTTCAGCCGTCGACCGCCCAATGTACAGATCGAGTCGAGAGACACAGATCCGTCTGGCTTTAAGTTTCGCTTCTTCAGCTTGTAGTTGCGCGTGGGGGTCAAGTCAGGCAGCAGCTCACGCTCGAAGTACTCGCGGCGGACGTTCGGGTTGGCTTGTTCGACAATGTGTCCAGGAATGACGCCAAGCACAAGGGCCATCCTCCGGAGTTGGTCCGGCAGGTCTTGGCCGGCGAAGAGAGGCGACCCTGTGTGTAGCTCGACCAAAATGCATCCAACGCTCCACACGTCGATGGCAGTAGAATATTTCATGCCGAGGAGAATCTCCGGTGCGCGGTAGAACCGGCTTTGGATATACGTGTGTATCTAGGGAAGCCAACATGACGGGATGTTGCAAACTCCTTTGCGGTCCACGTACTCGCTTGTCGGAGAGACACGAGCTGCCAAAGTCGACGACCTTGATGCTGCTCCGGTTGGAGCGGACCAGCACGACATTCTCGGGCTTGAGGTCGCAATGAATGACGCCAACGGACCCGAGAAATTCGAGCGATTCGATCATTTGTTTGGCAAACTTGCGAATGAGCTTGAGGCCCAGGCCTTTGAATTCAACGCTGCGAAGCAACTCGTACAAGTTGTACGAGCAAAGTGGAAACACAAGACATTCGTGGCCTTTGTGGGAGAACTTGTCCAAAAGTTTCACTGTAGATCGCCGCGTTAGTCGACTATTGGGACGTCGAGGGCTTACCGATGTGACACCGATTCGCTTCAGAGCTCGTGTGCATGTATTCGAGAATCTTAATCTCCGTTTGAGCTTGGATGGTGAAATGAGAGTGGTTTTTGATGATCTTAATGGCCACTCCTTCCGATGTCGTTTCGTCGTATGCTTCCAGGACTTGGCCAAATGTACCCTGCAAAGATCGTCGACGTCAATAATTATTGGCGTCGGTAGAAGTGCCTGATGGCGTACCATGCCCAATTTCTTTCCTGTGATGCGATATCGGCCATGCAAGACTTCGTTCTCGGTGGGTACGTAATGACCAGCCATGATCTTGTCGACTTTCTTGGACGTTTCGACATGCTTCGTAAGGCCCGCCGTCGGGTCTTTCGATAGGAGGGCCTTCTCTGCCTTTCTCTCTCTTTGGGCCTTGTAGTACATCTACAACATCGACCCTGCGTGAGCGTCTGTGTTGGACTTCGGTCTAGATCGCTGCTGTCGGGTTCATCTTCCATACCATGTTGATTCCTTTGAACGTGGCCATCAAGTGCGTGGTCAGCCTCAGGGACGGTCTTACCACCGCCGCTCCATGCTCTTGGGAATCCATGGGTTCGTCGTCTTCACGTCGTCGTCGTCGGCACGCCCTCTGTGTTCACGCAGCGTGTGTGGTGGTGTGTCGGCGCCCGCTCCAGCTCGGATGGTGCGACGTTTGACTTGTTGAATATGTTCGGTGCAACTATTCGAAATACGCGGGCAGGCGGAACGGTTACGTTTTTTGTTCTTCCCACTCGATATATCTTGCACAATGTATGGCAGCTGAAACACGCGACAAAGAATTGCCGGGCGTTTCGACTGCCATACAAATTTCAAGTGAATTCCCCCTCGCCCCCCCGTCAAACTCGATCCAACGTTCCCCTACCCCTTCGTTTGCCGCCCTCGTCGGTGATTGGCTCATTTGAGCGCCACCGAGCCAAATCTTTCCATACACCCGTGGCCAGGGTCGAGATGCCACGACGTCATGGAGCATCGACATCGGACCGTGACGTTGGACGCAAGTGCGATCGAGTCGACGTAGTTCACACAGTAGAAAGTCATGGAAAGGCGCGATGGACGCGGAGGAGAACCGAGCACGAACGGCACGTCTGGAACATCGACCGACAAGAATGCCAAGGATACACGTTCGGACGATATAGTGAAAGCAAGTCCTCCGGCGAGATTCGAATGGGGAAATATTTCGCCGATTTATCGAACGTGGCAATTCGATGGAACAGCGCGCGAAATGAAAGTTGCGTCAAATGTGGCGAGGGCTTGTTGCAAACTATCGAGGGCGAGTCGGCGAGTAGGGGCAGCGTGGGTCGCGGGGGGCATGCCGAGAGGATGCCGTCAACATGGAACGCCCCGACGGATGTGGATCTGTGTGGACGACCTTCGGGACATTCGGAATGTTTGTGACGAAAGATTTTGGGTTGTTCTTGGAAACTTTACCAAACGGCAAAGTGCCCGAGAAAGTATGGTGGCGGTTACGAAACCCAAAGTCCAGGTCGAGAGGGGGCGGCGGACCTCACGTCGGTCCGTCTGGCACGGCCACCGACGACTGTACGTACATCGCCGCCGTCGGAGTTCGGCTGTGTAAGCCATGATCTGCGCATCATGGGATCTGCCAGGCGTTCGAACATGGTTCCGATTGGTGGGGCGATGTATGACCCGTAACGTGCACGACCCTGCTATGCCGAGCGGGTGAGTCTCCACCCGCGATGGGAGGGCTGCAAAAACGCTGCATGATACTGCCGAGATCTTCGACGTTGTATGATACTTAATACTCTTGCAAGGTTAACCGAGGGGCAATGTTCATGGCTTGGAGTTCTTGGAAGAGCAGTTTGCACGCGTATGGGATGCGGATGTCGACAACCTTTTCTTCCGACTTGCAGTACTGGCACCATCCCTCGTACCCGAGCATCTGGCACCCCTGGCACACGTTCGCCGTGAACGCGTCCGAGCTCAGCATCAACCGCTCGAGCAGGAGCATGCTCGCGCCGTACCCAATCAAACAATCGCGCTCCATTTCGCCGAGACGCAACCCCCCATCGCGGGCACGGCCTTCGGTCGGTTGGCGTGTGAGTACGGCACGGGGGCCCCGTGCACGCGCGTGCATCTTGTCCATCACCATGTGCTTGAGCTTCTGGTAGTAAATCGGGCCCATGAAAATGTAACACAAGATGGGCTCCCCCGTCACACCCGACGTGAGGTAGTCCTTGCCCGCGTAGTTGAATCCGTGGCTGACAAGCTCCTTGGAGCAGTCAAGCACGCGGTCTGCAGTGCCGTAGTCTTCGCCAAAGGCCGTCCCGAACGCGCGACGCCCGCTCAACACGCCGGCTTTGCCCGCCACCAACTCGATCATTTTCCCGACTGTCATGCGACTCGGAAACCCATGGGGGTTCATGATCAAGTCGGGGCACATCCCAAGGTCGTTAAACGGCATGTCTTCCTACGTGACCCGAACACCAGTCAGCACCATCAACACAGCAGCATCTCCCATGCATTCACAAATGTTGGGCACCCATACAACGACTGCACAGGAATGCGCACAGCCGTGTAGACAAGGCACCGTCCATGTCATTCGTGTCCCGCGGTGCAACTGCCAGTCGGCCAGAAGGACCCGCCAGCTTCATTTCCGCGGAGTCGTTCCATCCATGCCAGACATGTACCTGGTTGCGAATGGTGCCGCACACGCCCTTTTGCCCGTGCCGACTGGAAAACTTGTCGCCGATTTCGGGGCGGCGCGTCTGGCGCACGAGCACCTTGATGAGGAACTGATCCGACTCGGACGACGTGAGCATAACTTTGTCGATGTAGCCAGGCGTCGCGTTCTTGTACGAGACCGGAGACGGTGAGTAGCTCACGTCCTGGACTTCACTTGTGATGCTGATGTCGACATTGGCGGGGGATTCTTTGTTGACCATGATGCCGCCGCTGACGACCTGGCCGCCGACGCGGCAAATCCCATCCGCATCCAACGACGCATACCGCTGGTTCCGGAACGACGATCCTTCAAAGTCTGGAGGACCGACGATGCGATCGTACGTGTTGTTGGGATATCGCTTGACGACGGTCTGGTACTTTTTGAACACCATACACCGGCCAAACCCGCGGTCGAGGCTCGCTTTGTTCAACACGATGGCATCTTCAATGTCGTACCCGCTATAACTCATGACCGCGACGGTCGCGTTTTGGCCGGCGGGGACTTGGTCAAAGTTGACCAGGTCCAGCACCCGAGTCTTGACCATGGGGGCCTGTGGGTACACCATCGTGTACAGCAGCGTGTCGATGCGCTCAAACTGGTTCATCCCGATCGTTCCGATCGCTTGCTTCCCCATGGCGCACTGGTACGTGTTGCGCGGACTCTGGTTGTGGTGGGGGTACGGAATCAACCCGGATACGACGCCGAGAATCGTGACCGGGTCAATTTCCAAATGCGTCGTCTTCACGTCGATGTCGCGCTCGTGCAGCGCGACGAGACAATTGTTCTCTTCGTTCACGTCCACGTACTCGACGACGCCTTCCTTGATCAACGAGCTGATGGTGCGGACGCCCGTTTGGAGCTCCGTGATCTGGCGCTGCGTTAACCGCGGCTTTTGGGTCGCCGCGTCGACCAAGAGCAGCGGACGGCACACGCGCCCGCCGTCCGATGCGATGTACACCACGCGCTGGACGTCGTGCAGCATCACCGAGACGAATTCACCCAAGAGACCGGCGCGACGGATGCGACGCAGGCGACTCACAAACACCTTGGGGTCGACGTGCGTGCCGATGATGATCCCGTTGAGCATGACGAGGTACGTCGTCGGATGATTGATCTCTTCACCGGACGACAAGCACACGTCGTTCACGCCCAAGTCAAAGCAGAGCCGACGAATCGGCTCGGGCTCTTCGTCACTCGTGACGTGGCACAGCAGCGCCAGATTCTTCACGAGCCCACACGCTTCGCCTTCGGGTGTGTCAGCGGGACAGAGCATCCCCCACTGCGACGGCTGGAGCGATCGCGGGCCTGACACCTTGCGCGTCTTTTCAAACTGGCTGCTAATGCGCGTCATCATGCCCAGCGCCGACATAAAACTCAGTCGCGACAACACATGCGTCACGCCCGCCCGATCCATGCGAAAGCGCTTGAGCGTCCAATTGCCGGTCGACAGGCAGTGGATGAATCCATACGTGATCGTGTCGGTGCGGATGCACTTGATGATGTCAAAGACCGTGGCGCGGTTTGGTTTATTGAGCACCATGTCGGCCTGGCGCTTCAAGTCGCTGTTGAACTTCTTGAACAAGTCTTCAAAGAGAAGCGAGAGGAGCTGGCCGGCCAGTTCCAAGCGCTTGTTTCCGTAGTAATCCTTGTCGTCCAGGCGCGATCGGTCCTTGTCCGTCAAGATGACGCGGCGGACAATGTGCGCGACGTAGATGCACTTCATGCGAAAGTTAAAGTCCTCGCACGGAATGTGGTTGAGCACCATGACGAGGGCATCGAGCGCGGCATCCGTGACCTTTTGGCTCCCGCCACGCGACTTCATCTTGTTCCCAATGTACGTCAACGCTTGCGTCTGCGTAAACACTTTCAAGTCGGACGCTTCCTCGAGCGACGCAGCGAAATGGTCCGTTACATCGGCCTCGCACCCGATCAACGACACGATTTCCTGATCGCTCACGAGCCCCATGCCGCGAAACACAATCACGATCGGGAGGTCGTCCACGAACGAGTTGGACTTGAGATAGACGCGGCCCTTGTTGAGGAAGATGTTGGTGCGCGACTTGCGCTCGTGTGTGGACGACGTGATGGAGGCGCATACGTTGCGCTTGGGATCTTCTTCAAGGATGACGCGATTCTTGGACAATTGTTCATGGATCAACACGACTTTCTCGGACCCCTTTACGACAAAGTATCCGCCAGGGTCGTATGGGCACTCCTTGAGCGCCGCGAGCGCCGCTTCGTCTTTGTCCTTGAGCACGCACTTGGCACTCCGCAACATGATGGGGATGCGACCGATCAGAACCTTGTTCTTTGTCACGACCTTCGGTCCCAACCGATACTTGACCGAGACATAGATCGGCGCAGAATACGTGCGGTCGCGCAGTCGACACTGGTTCGGTGTCACGGCAGTCGTTACGTACGCGTCTTCGTCAATCGACGGCGTCCCAATGTTGATGTCTGTGTACGTCAAGAAGAACTTGGGATCGTGGTCGCTCCGAATGGTGTTGTTTGCTTGCGCGCGAACGATCTTTTTCATGTCGACTTCGGTGAAGTAATCGAACGAGTCAATGTGCTGCTTGACGAGGCCGCGCAGCTGCAGAAAGTACGGGAGGAGTTGCCACTTGTTCTTGACAAACCCGTCTTCTTTCGCTTGGTCCTCGGACGAAAGGGCCGCATCGACGTGGACCGTTGGATGGGTGGGGACGTTGGTGGATGCAATCTTGGAGGCTACCTGGGCCGGATCGATTGGTTCGGCCTTCACCTGAGGTTCCTCCTTGACAACGGTGCCCCCTCGACCCATGGTCTTGGTTCGAGCCATCGTTGTTGACTCCGCGGCACTTGCTTGGCTCTCGCTCCAGTTCGCGTTGTGGATCTATCCGACTGGACAAAAACCAGTCGTCGAATTCTTCGGATTGATTGGTCAAAATACTCAATTATATCCACCAATCGAACGCTTCAAATTCGATGAATGATGTCGCGAGACGTTGCGGAGGACGGTATGGAGGACGAACGCGCGGCGAAGAAGGTCAGGCTCATGGAGGACGAACCCGCTTCGAAGACGGTCAAGATGAGCGAAGGAACTGCCGCGAACGATGCTGTACTCATTTGCATTGGTACGTAGACGTATGGCAGAAGATTCGCGCGTGACAATCACTGTCTGAAGTGAATGACGCGAGCAACTGGAGTGACCTTCCGAGCTTCCATCCTGCCTTCACATACCACGCCTTTGGGAAGGAGGAAATAATTCGCGGGTATCGAGGACTATCGATCATGCTTCGATTCAACGCAAGAACGTTTGATTGCCTTGTGGAAGTCAACTTTGACGAACGCGATGAAGGGTACGTTCAATGTGCATGGTATACCTCTATAAAGCCAACGGCTAATGATGTAGTGCGGACGACATCATTGCCTTGATGGCGAATTCGCTACCCAAGGGGTTTACGCAAGACAAAGACGTGTTTCTGCGTGGCCTGGCCGACGTGACCTCGAAACCGTTTGGGTCCCTCGTGAATGCATACACCAAGGATGACAAGGAGTTCGCCACACACTACGCTGTTCTGTACGAGGATGATGCCGCTGCTGCATATTTCGATCGCATGCAGAAGCTGTCGCTTTGGTTCATCGAAGGTACCCTCGATTCACGATTTTCCACGTTCTTCCTGCGCATCATAGGGGCCGACGACATTGACGTCCGCGATGGTCGGTGGTCGGTCTACGTTTTATTCGACCTGTCTCGGGGATTCCTCCATCCTGCAGGGTACATCACGGTATTTGCATTCAACGCGCCCGTGAAACAGATCATGATGCAGAGCCTGCGCATTTGCCAAGTGCTCGTACTGCCCCCATACCAGCGACAAGGTACATGCACTCTCTTCATGTCTTGGTCCATTCCTTCTCTACATGCGTCCAGGTCATGGCGAGCGCCTAGTCGAATACATCATGCACCAAGCGCGGTCCCAACCAATTGTGCATGAAGTCACGGTAGAAGACCCCGTGCCTGGTTTCTCCATGGTAGCAACTCACTTGACGAACATTTCGCGCATTCGTGTGATCGTTTCCGTGTAGTTGCGGGACCTTGTCGATGTAAAGACTTGTCTGTCGCATGGGTTTTTTGGGCTGCACCCGAGTGAGACACCTGCCAGTCCCGGTCGCGGCACTCAAGTACTCAAGCCAGAGGACATCGAAGCAGTGAAGAAGGTACGATCTCATACAATGGTCAGTTGAAATGCTTAGCGATAACACGATATGCAGAGTCTGAAATTGAACAAGACCCAAATCCACCGATGCTATGAAGTGCTCAAGTTGCGCCACGTCGACCGCGCCAACGAGCCCGAATACAAGGCGTATCGCTTGGAAGTGAAGCGCCGCCTCCATGCCCTTCACGCGGAGGATCTGGGTGCTACGAGTAGCGCGGATCGGCGGAAAGGCTTGCTCGCGAAGCTATATGAGTCGCTGGAAGCAGACTACGATGTGATTCTTGAGCGTTGCGGCCTACTTCCTCATCCAGAGAGCTGATGGAATTGAAAAACCTGCGATATGCGTTGATGTATATTGGGTTTTTCCATCTTATTGGCTGAATGTATTTTATTTAACGTGAAATGATATTAAGCGCCTTGCGTTTTGACTTTAGCCGAATGCGTTTTACCTATTCTTGGCACGACATTTCGTGTTGAGTCAAGCCATGGTTGACATCACCGACGACAACATCTCGATCATCTCGGACGACGGCACGGCGAGCCTCGTAGAAGCGGTGGACGTGATGCTGAAGCGACGGCGGTACTTTCGTGAAAAGAAGCGTGACCAACGTCGACGAGCAAAGGTCCAGCTCAATGAGCGAGTTACACTGGAAGCCGAGTTGGCTCGCCTCCAACACGATTATGCATCCCACAGGCAACACGTCGCATCGAAGGATCTGTCCTTGTCATGGCAGGCTCTCGCAGCAGTATTTCAACAAGAGACGAAGCTTGCTTGCGCGACAAAGCGGTGTTTGGAACAGAAACTGGCCTCGCTGAAGTGGACGATACAGGAAATGCTGCGACTCGTGCAACCTCCACGCCCGGTACAGTCCCATTTCATCTATATTGATTGCTAAATATACTATAGATATCGTCACCGCCGCTGCACCAATACGCGTGTCTGTGCGCCGACCCCACGTCGCGGGCTATGGCCAAGCAATGGCTCGCCCAACACATGTACCACAATGCTGCCCGCGCCTTTCGCGACTTTCCAGCCGGCATGACAGCGTCGGACGAGTTCGTTCACGTCGAAGTGGACACCTCAGGTGCTGGCATGACCATATCTGAATTTGGCCAGGCTGTATTCCCGTATCCGTTGCACACCGTCGTCGCCTTGTTCAAACATCGCATGCATCACGTATGGGGGCTCAAGCCCCAAAATGTACGTGTCGTTGGCCATCTCCCCAGACGACGCGCTGACCTTGGTCTCGCAGTCGGTCACAGAATTCGTGGTCAACACAGTCCTCTATCGCACCCGCACCGCAGCTGGCGAGTACTTTAATGCGTTGGGGGCATTCTTTCCAGGAGAAGACCGATCTCTGTTTGTGCTTCGCCATATTCAGGACGACGACATTTGTCCAAGCGCTGGCAGTATTCAGCAGTACTCGATGGAATGGTCTGGCGCGAGTCGGCAACTGCCCTTCACACGTTTCGGTCGTAGGCTAGACGTGCAGAGTATTTCCGAGACGAAAACTGTCCTTCGGGTTGCATCGTCGATGTCCCAACCATTTACATCCGCCGGCTTCATGGACGTGGACGCCCTCGCCAAATACTGGCACATTCCGTTGGACGACGTTGTGATCAGTGGAGTGCACGACGTGGACGTCGATGCCAAGTGGGAGGCGCTGACGAGCGCTTACATCCCAATGCACACCGCTGCTGTGCAAACGAGCAAAGAGCGCATGCTCGCGGCACTGGCCCAGCTCAACGTAGATCCTGTGCTGTAATTCCACAACAGCGCGATGCAACCGTGTCTACCAGCAACACATCACACAGGTCGCCAAGCCGACGGGAACCGTCACCACCGCTGGATAGTTGCGGCAACCACCCAGCGCATCGGCCAACGCCGTGGATGCCCAACCTCGGCCATCCATCATGATGACAAATGGCGCTGTCGAGTTGAACTTTGGTTGTGCAGGCCGTTTACAAATGTTTGCAAATCCCAGCTGCGTTTGTATTTCAACATCTGATTGGCTAAAATGTTCCCATTGCTTCGCTTGATTGGCTATAAATGTCTCATCTATGCAACCACTGCAAAGATACGAAACTTGCCGCGGGAATCCCTCGGCAACTGTGCAAGGTCGGTCGGTTCCAACGATCGCGACCATCGTCCACGATCATTCTGCATTTGTCTTGGCGCCGCCAACATGTCGCCTTCCCTTTGCAACAAGAAGTCCACCGCAGACGACTGGAGCAAACTCGAGTACAATGTCGGGTGGGGCAACCACTTCGCGTCGGAGTGCCTTCCCGGCGCGCTGCCGCAGCACATGAACAACCCCCAACAGTGCAACTACGGTCTCTACTGCGAGCAGCTATCGGGTACGGCGTTCACGCTTCCGCGCCACAGCAACCAGCGCACTTGGTTGTACCGTATCTTGCCCCCTGTCGTGCACGCCGAGTACATCAAGACGTCGTCGGGCGATGTTGTCACGGACTTTTCCAAGGAACACACGACACCTCAGCAACTCCGTTGGGGTCCTATGGAGTTCCCTGCCTCGTATGAATCTGTTGACTTTGTCCAAGGGCTCAAGACAATGGGTGGTGCCGGCGACCCGACATTGAAGGCGGGTATGGCCGTCCACATGTACGCCGCGAATGCGTCGATGGTGGACAAATGCTTCTACAACTCGGACGGCGATTTCCTCGTCGTGCCACAAGAAGGTTCGCTACGCATCCTCACGGAAATGGGCAAGCTCTTGGTTTCCCCGCACGAAATCGTTGTTCTTCCGCGCGGCATCCGCTTCACCATTGACGTCGACGGTCCCGTCCGCGGCTACGTCTTGGAAGTGTACAACCGCCATTTTGTCCTCCCGGACCTTGGCCCGATTGGCGCCAACGGTTTGGCCAACCCCCGCGACTTTGAGCACCCCACCGCGTGGTACGAAGACCGCGACTGCAACTACACCGTCGTGACCAAGTTTGCTGGCGAGATGTTCTCGGCCAACATGACGTTCTCGCCCTTCAACGTCGTGGCTTGGCACGGAAACTACGTGCCGTACAAGTACAACTTGGACCACTTTTGCACGATGAACGCAGTCAGCTACGATCACCCGGACCCGTCGATCTACACTGTTTTGACGTGCCAAACAGACGAACCAGGCTGCGCCGTCGCTGACTTCGTCATTTTCCCGCCCCGATGGATGGTCCAAGAGAAAACGTTCCGTCCTCCTTACTACCATCGCAACCACATGACCGAATTCATGGGCATGATCTACGGCCACTACGACGCCAAGACGGACGACGGATTCGTGCCTGGGGGAGCATCGCTGCACAGCTGCCACACGGCCCACGGCCCAGACACAGAAACGTTTCTGGCGGCGTCGTCGGCGGACTTGAAGCCCGTCAAGTTTGACGGCGGGTTGGCTTTCATGTTTGAGTCGACGTATCTCATGAAAGTGACAAATTACGCGATGACGTGCCCACAAATGGACCACGAGTACTACAAGTGCTGGCAGCCGCTCCCCAAGCTGTTCAACCCACTCAAAAAGTAAATCGCCCTGTAGACTCGTCAATGCCAGTTTTCTATATATACCGTCAATTCCCTCACTGCACGAACGGTTGCCATGATGACACAGCGGCAAGAAATATCATCCGATTACCCACCAAATATACATATGCAAGCCATGACGATCGACCGCCGTCGATGCCGCAGAACGTATCGACCACATGCCTCGGCCTGCACCCTTGCTACGAACGTGGCGAGTTTGACGCAACAGCGACCTCACGTCCAGCAGAACATGGCTCTCGACGGCGCCGACCCCCCTGCCGGGTGACATTTTGTCGGAATATGTTGAATGCCAAGCGCGGTGATTGGTCAATGAATATCCGGATTTGTCCGGATAGGGAGAGATCGAGGTGTTACTGATGTCCATTTCCACCAACCTACAGTTCCGCAGGAAAAGGCGCTGCGGCGGCGACAAAAGCAGGTCGCCCATGGGATACATATGCGTGGTGCCGCAGTTTGTCGAGAACAGTAAGAAGCTCAATTCGTCGGAGGTCCTCAGTGACAAGGCCACCTTTGACACGATCACGAAGACGGAGAACTACCTTCCGTGCTTCCATGATGCAGCTTTCGTGCAGCAGCAATTGTACGTGTCGCTAATCATTTGGGCATCGTTCGTGGTCTTCTCGATCCTTTGGGTCGTCGCGTCCAACCAGCAGAACCGAACGCTCAAGAACGACGAAGTCGGATTCTCCCTGGCGCTTCGCCAGTGGGCGCGAAAGGACCGCATCGCGATCATCATAGTAGGTTTTGCTCGACGACACCGTCCCATCCATCGTAATTGCGGTGGCTTGTGCTAGAATCGACCCCTGCAAATGTTTTCATCGCTTGGCATCTTTGTGATCCTCGTCAACCGGTGCAACTACCTCTCTGTCGACGTAGCGGAGTACTACATCGGGCTCGTACTTTACCTCGCCGCCTTCGTCGACACCCTTGTTCGGTTCTGCGCGGCAAAGCAAAAGATCTCATATGCGTTTTCTCCGTACACAATTCTCGACATCTTCAGCTTGGCGTCGTACTTTTGCGTGGGATTCGCCCCGAGCCTCATGATTAACGGCAAGGAAGCGCGCACGTGGCTCGACTTTAGCATCATGAGATCCATCTTCATTTACCGAAGCTTCATGGAAATGGACTCGCACTTTGACACGTCCACGCGGGGTATCATGCTGTTTCGCCAAGCCGTGAGATGTTTTCTCTTGCTGGCGTGGGCCGCGTCAGTTATGTTCTTCGTCGAAATGACGGGAGAACTCGATTCATTTTTCGACAACGGCTTCGCTCATTTGTATTCGTGCTCCAACGGTACCGCTGAGACCACCTCACGGCGCCACGGATTCACCGGTGACGTCGCTAGGGACAATCTCGAGGTCGAACGATGGGACGTGTGGCTCGGAAACGTGGTCCATGATGTTTGCGCTGTACTTCACCGTCGTGGTACGTCCAGCGTGAAGTTTTGATTCGTGTCGACGCTCATGGTTCGGAAGACTCTTGGCACGGTCGGGTACGGCGACAACGCAGCGCACTATCTGCCGTCGCGCCTCCTTGTCATGGTGTTCATCTTGGCCGGCATCATCTTGTTTTCGATGGAGATTCAAAACCTCGTCAACTTGTATCAACTACGCAAAATCGGGAATCCACCGTACAAGCCCAAGTCCCGCACGACGCAGCACGTTGTGATCATGGGCAACCCCACGTATCCTCAAGTGCGTCGATTTCATTCACAAGCCCATTCTTTACGTGTGCATCATATTGCTGTAGCTCTCGGCCACATTGCGCGAACTCTTCCACCCCGATCATTTTCAAGGCGTCGATCGAAAGTTTCTCCATGTATGCTGCTTCGGCGGTCGTAGGAAAAAGCGGCGTGATGTCGGCATGTGTCTAGGCGGTCGTGCTGGGCGATTATTCCTCCAACTACGTCCAAGGTCTTGTCCATCGATTGGAAAGCGACCCGAAATTTGCGTCGACCGTCACCTTTGTGGCTGGAGACCCCACCGAGGACGTTGATCTTGTACCGCCGTCAGCTCGATTGTGTTGCTCTCACCATCTCGGACTTAGGACCGCGTGCGGCTCAAGGAGGCAATTGGAGCGTTCTTTCTACCCGACAAGGTACAATTGAATCGTGAACGAGATGACATTGTTGGTGGCCTAGCTCGCATCGGACGCTGTCAGAGAAGACGCACGCAACATCATGCACATCTTGTCTGTGAAACAATATGCTGGGTACGTGGCGTGTAGTTGAGGGTGCAGCAGTGAGGGGTACATCGCATCCTAGCTATGACTTTCCATGCTGGGCGATCGCACTTCGCAACGACAACATCCGCCACATGCTGTCTGCTGGTGTCGACCGAGACAGCATTGTGTGCGAGGAAACGATGAAGATGGGTGTGATGGCGCGCAGTTGTGCGTGTCCAGGCTACGCAACGTTCCTTTCGAACCTGTCATCGTGCCTGTCCCTCAATAGACCAAAGATGAACTCGCACAACGCTCCATTTAACCTTCGGTCGAAAGCCGTCCACACCGGCGACCTTGCCTCGACTCCGTCGACTGCCGCCCAGCCATGGATGGACCATTATCTCGCCGGTGCCTCGCGAGAATTTTACGTCGTGTCGCTCAGCAAGGTCACATCATCGTCTCTGACTAATCTTTGGAACGGCTGCGCACTTTTGTTTAGGAGTTTGCCGACATGACATTTCGTGACGTGGCGAAACAGATCTTTGCCCGTTCCAAGGTGCTGTCTTTGTCTGGTTGTGGTCGAATCGGACTGAATGGATGGACAGGGTGCGGCGGTGCTGATTGCTGTCGAAGTTGTCGTCGAAGATCCGACAGGACAAGACGCGTTGGCGGAGTTTTCGACCGTCCCTCGCATCCATGGAGTCCGCGTCGTGCTGAACCCAGGCCACGCCATGCGACTGAAGGAAGGCAGCTCCGTGTATGTCATCGCAGACGACCTTGCGAGTGTTCAGGCATTCCACATCACGGACGAAGAGATGGATGATGAGAACTCAAATGCGGACCACAGTCCACGGCTATCCACTCGAGCGCAATACTCCTCCCTTCACATGCCGCTACTTCCAGCAGGTGTTATCTCATCGTCCACGACGACCCAAGCTTCGGTCAAAGCGGCGCCGCCGCCATTGCGCTATCGTGTACGTCCGAAGTCCCTTCTACTTCCATGGTTGAAGGGCAAGTTATGCTCCCTTTAGGCCTTGCTCAGTGGCGAGAGCGTGCACTTGGTATAGATGACATTACCACCGTTCTTTTGAACAACGCACGTAGGATTCGACGTTGGACCGAGTAATGACTTCGATTCGACTGCCGACTCGCCGCCCCGACCTCGTACTGGACCCCCGACGAGCGTCCATGATGGAATTGTTTTCGTCCTTGCGGGGTGGTGCCGGCTCGTACATGCACGACAAGCCTCGCGAACTGACGCCACCGCCAATGTCTGTGTTGGAAGATCCGCGCCACATTGTCGTGTGCAGTTTCTTGGGCGAGGAGTCGTTAGCCGCCCTTCAGTGGTTCATAACTCCCTTACGAGGGGTGTATTCCCTGAATATGCCTCCGATTACCATCTTGGACGCGTCACCACCCACGGGTGACTGGGTCTCGGTCCTCACCAAGTTCTCCGACGTCGTACGTGCTTGTTCTTCGTTCAGGTGGCTCCTAACATGCCGCTGTCCTGTAGTATTATGTGTGCGGCAGTCCACTCGTGTACCAAGAACTGCAGCGTGCAGGCGCCAAGTCGGCGCATTCGGTTCTCGTTCTGGCCAAGAAATCCAAAAACGGAGCGACCCGAACGGACGGTGCTGGGCCCATGGAGGCGACGTTGATGGACGCCGACGCGATCTTCACGACGATGCTGGTCGACCTCAAGATGAACCCGAGCCGCATGTTTACCCTCACCGAACTCACGGACGAATCCAACTCGAAGCTTCTCAACAAACGCTTTGTGATCGAGCCCGCCCACGAGCAACACGACGACGGCAGTGGCTCCATCGACAAATTGCACTCGATGTGGGACATTGCCTTGAGTGCATCCAGTGGCGTCCACAATGGCAGCAACGCGTCCTCGACGCCGTCCATCTACTCGATGCCTCTGTACATGTCTGGTCGACTGATGCATCCGCAGTTTTGCGAAAACCTTCTTGTGCAGGTGACGTCCCCATATAGTACTCGCCGCAGTTTCAATGCAAAGCGTAACGCTAGTCGTACTACGATCCGAGCATCCACCGCATTTTGCGCCAACTCGTCGGCGGGCCGCGGTCCACCGGCATCATCTGCGCTGTCCCGTTGCCGCGAAATTACCACGTACGCATCGAAGAGTATTCCCTGCCGTACATCGTGACGGTTTGGTCTTGTAGCATGGCAGTGTGGAGTATGGAATGCTCTTCCACGCATATGCAGACCGCCACTTTCCTGGCATTCTCCTCGGAGTGTACCGGAAGCCTCCCGCGACTCTATCGTCAACCGATGGTCTCCCTGTCGTGCTCACCTGTCCTGTCGACTCCCTCACGGTGCGGGCATGGTCGGCACGACCAAGTTGTGTCATGTGTGGATGGTGTAGATGGAGGACGGGGATGTGCTGTATGTCCTCTATGGTTGGAACGTCCTGGAGGATGCTGCCAAAGCGATCCAAGCTGCTTTCCGAGCAAACCGTCGCCGTCGGCCACAAACTCGCGCGCCATTGTCCAGACGTCGCACGACTATTTTGTGAAGTTTACACGAGCTCAGCTGTGACGTTTGGCCTTTTTGTTTCGTTTTGTAGGCTGCATGACGATTTTCTTGCCCTTCTTCTCGCCCTTCTTCTCACCGTGCTTCTTGTCGTTGTCGCGGCGCTTGCGCTTCTTGCCTTTCGTCTTTTCGAGCAAGTCGGCCGGGAGCGTCACATGTTTCCGCCGCTTTCGTGCGCGTTCCTTGGCTTCCACTTGCTTTTGGTTCGCGGGTCCCAAGAGGACGCGGAGATCACGCAGGAGCGCCGGGCGCACCGGGTACAGCGCGTCGGCCGCGCGCCACTTGGCGGCATCCCACCCGACAAATAGCTGGACGCCATCCGTTTCCACAATCTTGGCAGGGATCGTGGCACCACCAGCGCTGCCAGAGTCGCTCGCTCGCATGAACACAAAAGTTTCGCTGTCCCAAATCGGAAAACTGCCCTTCGATAGCACCTTCTTGTTCGAGTAGCCGGGGTATAAGCACCGGTCAAACACAACCGAACCTTCGTGGCGCAGACCATTGGCTTCGGCGAGCGCCACAATGCCCCACTGCCCAAACGGCGGCTTCGTCTTGTGAGTCACGTGAACTTCGCCGTGGGGAGCCAAGACGCTGACGACGGCGCGGAAAAATCCCTGCAAGAGCGCCTTGTTCTCTTCCATTTCGCCATTCTGACCGTCGGCGCCGTCCGGCATGCGGACACACGGGAAATTCCACACAACCCGATCAAACTTTTCCGATCTGGCCGCTGCTTTCAATGACGTGACGCTCGTGGCGTCGACCTCGTGGACAACAGTCGCGCCTGCGTTGGTTAATGTGTCGAGAATTGCAGCGCTATCAGGGTATGTTTCCACCACGGTGTCCTTGGCTTCGTGGGACGTGGCTGTTAGTTGCGCCCCGTCGTGGAGATATTCCAGCAGCGCGCGGGAAAAGGAAAAGTTGCCATCGCCTACGGTCAACACTCTCTGCAAGGGCTGGAACATGACGTTCCGAGGAACAATCTCGGGTTCGGCCGAGGCGTCGTCGGTACCATCGTCGCCGTCGCCAGTGTTGGCATCAGGGTCGCTAAAGCGCGGGCATTGCTCGGGCCTCACGTTCGGCATGACGTCTTTGCCTCCATAGATGAAGAGTTTATAGCAGCATGGTCTACACAAGTTGATAGCGCATTGAAGCGTGTTGGCCTGCACATATAGCTTGTCCGTGGCGCGGTCGGTCGGTGTCGCGTCGGCCATCGTGGCGGCACTTGAAATGTGGTGGTGTTGGTGCCGTTGTACACATTTGATTGGCTGCGAGCACCATGATATTTCCTGTTCAAAAATATCCGGTCAAATATTATATATTCATAGCAGAAGTAGCGGGTACAATACTACGATAATTATCACACACGCGACATTTGAAACTCGTGCAACTCGGACGGGATCCGCGATAGCATTTCGCAAAGAGGGTGACTTGGCTGGCGGCTCGCGGTGGGGCGCTGACAGGGACCCCATTGTACCGAATCGCATTGAAATATGCATAGCACAGAGATGATGCGCCCACGCAGCCAACCGTACGTTCGACGAGGAAGTGAGTGCTCATTGCATCATCTCTCTGCAAACCACTCGTCGAGTCATGTTACAGGCACACACTGCGTGAGCCACCTTACGCGAACGTAATGTTTAAGGCGCCGAGCGACTTCCGGGGTCCTTGATACGGTGTGCCATGCCAGCTATGCTTTCGCGTTGTTGTTTCACGTAGCCAGCGACGCGCTCATGAAAGGCAGCGCCGTATTCGCCAGCAACAACCTCAAAATCATCCACGCTGCGATTCCAACTGTTCAAGACAGCGCGCATGTGGTCCGAGCACTTGCCTTCCGAGTGTTTCGCCCATTCCTTGAGCTTCACCAAGTCCATGGCATGATGCTACTTCACCATGCACGATGCATCCTACATACCGTGGCTTCTGCCTCTGCCGCACGTTGCTGGGACACAGCAAAATAGGCCCTTGCTCTCGCTTTGATCTCGTCATCGTCTTCTTCGAAGTGCATCTTGAGCTACAAACGACAACGTGAGGCGCCACGTCCAGCACAAATTATTGCTCACGTGCCAAATACGCTTGCGCTGACGTCGGGTCTGGCGCTGGAAGAATGGCTGGCTTGTCGTCTGCCTGCGACATCGCTATACACAATGACGTTCGAGTGACGGGGAGTTTGTTGCAACGGTCAAACTTTGCTGGAGCAGCTGCCAACTGACCATCGCAGTTGGACAAAGCTTTACAGCTCGTCCCAGGTTGCGTTTCCAAGGACCAAGTGGCGAACAGATTTCCATTTTCGAAGTCAATGGGCCTCGCTTCCTGCGCCTCGGAAGGTTCTCGAGATGGAGATGTGCCACACGCCAATGTGAGATGTGATTGTGGGACGTGGGGCTGCTGGTACATAGCAGCTAAACGGAGCAAGGGGATGGCACACGGAGAAGACGAAGCATGGGGCAAGTGCATGCTTTACTGGCATTAACGCCGAATGAAGAGCTTGCTCTTTGTGGGGGCACCGTGGGTTTTGCCCTTGACGTTGCCCTTGCCACGGTTCGACTGCGTTTTCTTCTTGGCAAATTTGGTCTTATCGCCACTGGATCGAGCCTTTCGTCGCTCTTCCTTTCGGATCGCGCCTTCTTCGCGCAGTTCGGACTTGGCAAACTTGTTGACGCGCTGTGTCGGGGGCGGCTTGCGACCGTTGCGGTAGTCGAGCTTGGGGGCGTCATCATCCCCTTCGTCCGCCCCGACCACGTTGGCTCGCTTGTGTTGTTTTTGCTGCCACTTCTTGTACGTCTCGCCGATCTTTTGCTTGCGTGCGGGGCCGCCCGTGCTGTTCTGGCGCTTCAGCGTGCCGTTCTTGAGGTCGCCCACCGTCGTCTTAATAAATTTCTTCTTGCGGACGTCCCAATGCAGCAGTCGGCGCTTGTTGTTGAGGGCCACGGCTTCGTCCGGGTTGACATCCAACATGGCGTCTTCCAACCGGGCTTGTGCAAATGCGTTGCTGCGACCGCCTTCGCCGCCGCGTCCGAGCGCTTCTTCCTTGGCCAAGTCCTGCTCCTTCATGTACCCAATGTAGTTTTCATCGTCCTTGAACTGCTTGGCATTTTCGCTGTCGTTAGCTTTGTCGTCGGTCGCAGCCGCGTCGGCGATCGCTATCTTCTTGGCTTCCTTCTCCTTCCACAGTTCGGCCATGTCGATGGTTTCCCCCTGTGTCTTGAGCTTCTTCACCTTACGGCGGTCTGCGGCCGACAGGTACCGCTTCGTTCGGACACCCGCCGCGGCCTCTGCGTTCTCTTCTGCTTGTTTCTCCAATTCCGCCTGCGCCTTCAACTTGGCCCGGAACACGTCGACTTGCCCTTGATCCAGTTCTTCCGTCGCATCCTCGGGATAGTCGTCCGCCGACGTGGCCGCCTTGTCCTTTTGGTTCTTGTCAATGATCAAGTTGTGCAGTTTTCGCTTTGTCTTCATCATGACAAGACCGGGCGACGTCTTTTTCAACGAGTGCGTGCCGACAGCGATCTCAAAGATCGTTGCGTTCGGTCGAAAGCCCTTCAGCTTGTCCAAGTACGCTTCCTTTCCCGCAAGTGAGTCGTCCATGGCGTCCAAGAACAACGGGTGGACCTACACAGCACGTCCCCATCAGCTTCCCACACAAGAAATCGCCGTACCTTTTTCATCGGGAGCTCCTTGGACCGCTTAATGGACTGCTTGGATGGCTCGGCGCGGGACCTGCAGTACATCTTGTATGCGTTCGCGCAAACACTGACGAGAGGCGCAATAACAGAGTGCCGAGTCAATGTTTCCCGCAGCCCTTCGTTCTCAGCATCCACGATGCTCTGTGGCAGGGTGCCGTAGTGCACTTGCTCTACAGTCATCGTCGACAAAGAGTACGGCGGGACGTCGGTCGGCGTCGAGTCCTCGAGGCGCCGGCCCAGGTACAGATGTAAGTCAACCATGAACGGCATTTCGTCCGGGTCCACAAAATTGAACGCGACACCGGACCGCCCCGCGCGCGCGGCACGGCCAACGCGATGGACAAATAGCTTGGGCGTCGGGGGAAACGTGTAGTTGATGACGTTGTTCAGCAAGGGGATATCAATGCCACGGGCAGCGACGTCCGTCACGATCAGGATCGGCGTTTTCTTGGCCCGAAACTTGCCGATGTTGATCTTGCGGCTTGTTTGGTCCATGTCGCCGTACACGCAAGACGAATCCAAATGAACGGTTTTGAGCAGCTCGTGGAGAAACTCGACATGGTGGCGAGTCGCGGCGAACACGATTGTCTGATCTGTCGCCGGGATCATGTCCCGTAGCAAGTAGATGAGTGCTGCATTCTTGTCTTCGGTGCGCATCGTGAAGAAGCTGACTTTGAGCTGGTCCGAGATCTGGTTTTCGACATCGAGACGGATCAATTCGGGCTCGGTCAACCCGGCGCGCGCAAACTGAACGAGTGCGCGCGGCAACGTCGCCGAGAAGAGCAGCGTTTGGCGGGACGCAGGCATGTTGCTCAGAATTTCATGGAGCTGCTCGGCAAAGCCCATTTCGAAGATCCGATCGGCTTCGTCAAAACACACGTACTCGATTGCCTGGAGGTTGAATTCCGGGATTTCCTGTAGCAAGTGCATGAGCCGACCTGGTGTCGCGACGATCACGTCGGGGTTCGACGCAATCAGCTCAAACTGTTGTTCCATCGAGTCGCCACCGACAATAAGTCCGCACTTTATGTCGGTGTACTTGGCCAACGACTTGGCGAACTTGATCGTTTGGACTGCCAGCTCGCGCGTCGGGGACAATACGAGCGCGCGAACGCCGACTTTTTTGCTGTGTTCCTTGAGCTTCTCCAGCATGGGAATGAGGAAGGCAGCGGTTTTCCCCGACCCCGTTCGAGCCATCGCGACAACGTCTTTGCCGGAGAGCACATGGGGAAGCGACTTGCGCTGGATGGGGGTCGGGACCTTGTACCCCATGGCCATGACAGCCTTGAAGATCGGCGGACTCAAGCCCAGCGACTGGAACCCGCCCTGCTTGGTCGCCTTCTTGTCCGTAGCAGCCATCGCGCGCGACTTCAACTTTACTCCAAATGCATGATTGGACCTGGCAGTGGTCGCTCCGGATTGGTCAAAATACATGATATTTTGTCCAGTTAAACATCAGCATTTCGCTGGGCTAATTGCTCGTCGATGCTCGCAATGTTGCGGCCCATGAGGTGGACCTTGTTGCTCGGGCAAAGGAGACTCGCCATCTCGTACCGCTTCTTTGCTTCTTCAAGCTCCCCGACCTTCTCCATGAAGTTGGCTAGGTACAGGTGTGTGTGGTAGTTGCCTCCGTCGAGCCGGATCGCTTCGCGGAACGACGCGGCCGCGTTGTCGTAGTCGCCCATCGCCACGTAGCATCGAGCGTACGTGCAGAGAAGGATGCCCCAACTCACATGGTCGTGGGTCGGAACTATCTACAATGCACGGTGCATTCAGTTCCCCTTCCATGGTCTGTCCGAGCCAAGTGTTCATCGGGACCTTGAGCGCGTTTTCCACAATGCCCTTGGCTCTCTCCGGATGATGCGTCAATTCCACCAGCGCTCTACGCAACGCCGATGATACCACGAGTTCAAGTATCGTCAAACGAGCCTCAGGTTCCACGTGGACGGCCGCTTCTTGTCGATTTTCAGGGCGGCAACACATGCCTCTCGCGCCTCCTTGAAGCAGCGATTCTTGAGCTCGAGCTTAGCAAGGGTCACGAGCAGCGGCAATTTGTTGGAACACGTCATCGTGGCTACATTCGTTTGGTCATGCATCATTAGGCCCGCATTCACATACCCTTGTCGAGCGTGACGCGCATTGCCTTGGGGTCGCCGAGCTTCGACTCGACTCGGGCCAGCGAGCACCAGTAGTCGGCAGCCCACGGCGCCTTCTCCGTCGCCTACGTTGCGTATCGTTTACATGTTCGCGTTGCGGTCGCCTCGCACCTCTGTAAAGAGTCGCTTCGCCAACTCGAGCGTCCCGTATCGCTCTTCAAACACCCCCCAGCTCTATCCATGCCGTCGCGCGCTAGTCATGGCATCTCCATGGAAGAACGGAAGCGACGTACATGCCATAGCTGCGCATTGTCGACCGCGACGGTGACGCCAGTCGCAAACGTTTCCCGGCCGTGTTCGACGCCTTCCTTGGGGTCCATTTTCACGTGCAAGTACGCCAGTCCCTGCCACCGCGTGGTCGCGCCGCGATGCATCCGTGGCGCATCGTCGTACCGTGATGTTGGATGCCGACGTCGGGTGCTGCTTCAAAATCGAGTGGTAAATGTTCTGCGCCACTTCAAAGTTGCCGCTTTCTTCCTCGAATTGCGCGTACGCGTTGTACGCGCGCGCATCGCCCCTGGCAAATTTCGTGTCTACCGACGCCCCCAACGTTTTCCGTGAGGCTCTCGCCATGCCATGGCAAGGTTTTCGTACGCTTCATAAACGCTTCCCGCGCGCCGTCGTTGTCGCCCATCTTGGCCAGCGTCAGCGCCCGCAGCATCAAGAGCGGCTTGTCGTACGGGTCCGTCAACAGCCCTCGGTCGATGATGGTGAGGGCGTCGCGGAAGTTTCCCCGGCGAAACTCCAAATACGCCCACGCCTAGCTCGGTTCGTGAAAAGGACGCGTCGACAACGAAAGCACACATGGAACACTTGGGGGGTGCTGTCGCCTCGCTCGGACGCGGCCGAGAGGAGCTGCCGCGCCAGCATGACGTTGCCATGACGTCCTTCAAAGAGCGCGTAGGCCTGCATGCATGAACGCGTGAGAGCGACAGGTTTTTTCACGCGATGGCGACGGAGAGCGCGAGGACCTCGGCAACATGCAAGTCCTCTGGGAATCGCTTGGTTGCTTGAACGAACATGCGTCTAGAGCATCACCGACCACGTGAACGACGGCGTTGATAAGAAGAGAGGACATCCATACCGCGCCTTGTCGGTGTTGCCACACCGGTCTTCGACGAGGGCGAGGCCGAGTGTGGCCATCGCGGCCTGGAGGCTGTCGCTGGTTTCTGTGGCCAGGATGACGGAGAAGAGTCTGCGCGCTTCCGTGTAGTTTTGGAGGTCCATCTCCATCGTTCCCCACGACTGGTACAGCACCGGACTGAACCGAATTTTAGATGCCTTGGCGTAGATTTTGCGCGCGAGGACAATCTTGCCGTCGCGCCATTCCTACAAAGCCGCAAACATCGAGCATGAACATGCCGATAGATGAATAGAGGCTCACCATGGTCGCCCACTTGTTCCACATGTCCATGTCGTTGTAGTAATGCTTCTGCAACACGTTGCGGAAGAGGCGCCGCGCTTCCTCAATGTCCTCACGGATGAGGCTCTGGAGCGTCACATGCCCGTCAAACGGATTCTTCAACACGACTTCGTCCAAATGCGACTGATCGGGCTCCCATTCGCCTGTGCGCTCGCTGTACGACCCAAAATACCCCAGGTCCGCGCTGTCGAAGCTCGACGACATAAACCGTTGTTGGCCATCGAACGCACGAAGCTGCTTGAATCCAAGGGAAGGTCGGGTACAAGAGTGCGCTGTCTGAAGAGCTGGAGTCGTTGGGAAGTTGACGGCGTGACGGCTCCAACGGCCGCACACGGCGCGATGTATTCGGAGTGCCCGCCGAATGGCCATCGCCGACCGTCAAACCACTCCAGTGAATTGCGCACTGCGGACAGTGGAATTAAATTATATACATTTTACAAGCCAAAGGTTGCCACGAGCACATTTTATTTCAGCAGCATGTCATCCACGATCAATGCCAACTTTGTGCCGCATGCGGTCATCGAGCATGCGGCAGTGGATTCGATGCTGTGAGGAAGCAAGCATGCGTCGTGGCTGATCATCTCGAGTAGATATGTGGCATGTCCTGCGTGCCGTCGAGCAGTCCACTCTCGCAACGAGACAAGTACTGTACATAGTCGTCCGACACACACCACGAAACCTGCCGAGTGTCGTTGGTAGATCGGTTCATGTGCCGTGCATGCAATCAGCCGGTCGATGCTACGAACGCGTCCTTTAGCTTCAAGCTTGTGGTGCATGCAGCATGATCTCGTCTTGCGTGATTGACGGCCCTCCAGATGCGGTGTTCGATTGGCATGACCCTCGTCACAGTCATTCTCTTCAACGAAGGTGGGTCGATCGCGACCGCTGGTCCACCATTCAGTAGCGGTTCCTGTATGCAGTGGTCGAATCGTTCCTCGGGTGTTCGCCTACCATCTACTACGAGGTCGGCCAGCCATGCTATGTGCGGATCCGTCATCCGACTTGAATTCTGTGGCAGCTCACCCAAAAATGGTCCTCGTTTCCGGCCCGTGTCGCCACCCTCTTGGAAGGCATGCATGTCGCCATGACGTTGCGCGTACGATACCGCTCTCGTCCTTGTCGCTAATCCTGCTGTCCAGACGCCTCCTGCGGCATCATCCCCATCGCGCGACTCGATTTCATTCAAAGTAGGCTCGTCGGCACGTCAAGTCGTTCGTCTAACGGTCAGATCCCATAGAAAGACCCCAAGGTCGTGGCCATCTCCCCCCTCTTCCGTCCTCCAGGCAGCGGCCCCGTCGTCAACGACGCGATCGAGTGCGCCACTGCCGACACCTAGTTGGCGATATAGCACCGTCGAGAATCGAATCCCCATTTCTCCACGAAAGTCCAAGTCCAAGCAGTGTCTGTGACAAGCATGCATGCCCCAACTGCCATGTCCCGTTTTACTTCGTGCTTTTCGGTCGCAACGGTGCGATGGGAGCAGTCGAGCCCCCGTTAGACGGCATTGACTTACGGGGTGCGGCCGTTGGGCCGACCTGGCGCGGTCGGGCGCCAAGGTCTCTCCATCATATTGCGATTCGCTTGGTTGGCAGCACACCCAAGAGACGACGATGGCATCTTCTGGCAAAGGGGACAAGAGCGACAAGAGCTTCAGCATGAGTGTGGTGGACACAGTGACGGACAAGCTGCACAAGGGCTTGGACATTTCGCACACGGTGACGGACAAGCTGCACAAGGGCTTGGACTTGACGAATGAGCAGCTGCACAAGGCAAGCGGTTTACGTGCGTCTTGATGCTGACTAGCGCGCGGCTGTGTGTAGCTCAAGAGCATTTACGACTCGCAGGACGAAAAGGTGCGCGAGATGACCAAGTCGTACTACGACTCGTTGTACAAGCACGCGTCGAACGCGCAGGAAATGGTAGGTTGTGGCTGTCGAGGCGAGGGGGCTTGACTGACTGGAGGATAGTTCAAGGAGTATGCGTATGGCACCAAGGACAAGGGGGTCGAATACTACGAGAACATGAATGATTCGTTGGACAAGTGGCGGAAGAGCTTGGATGACCTCGAGTCGAAGGCGGGGGAGCACGCAGGCTCGTTCAAGGACCAGATTTCGGACTACGTGAAGCACCAGCGCCAGCACATTTCGGACATGACGGAGTATGCCAAAGAACGAATGAAGAAGATGTCGGGTTTGGACAAGAAGGACAAGAGTGTGACGGAGCAAGCAGGCGAAAAGGCACGTGCCGCCAAGGACAAAGTGAGCGAGAAGGCGGGAGAAGCCAAGGACAAGACGAGCGAGATGGCCAGCGAGGCTGGCGAAAAGGCGACCGAAGCCAAGGAGAAGGCGAGCGAATTGGCTGGAATGGCGTCGGAGAAGGCGGGTGAAGC